TGCGCCCCCGTGTTCCCCATTAGCCGCCATGCGCCGCCGTGCTCGCCCTCAGCCGTTGTGCGCCGGGATGGGAAGGAGGGGAGCGACAGTGAAAGGGGAAGCCCATGCGCCGGCTATTTCCAGCCGGTGCGTCGTTACCGCCGGCCGCTTCCTCCTCCACCGTGCGCCGTCTGCTGCTTCGCCTCCTCGCTCCCGCGAGCTGGAGGTCGGGGAAGACGGGGTGAAGCGGTACGGGAGAGAGGGATGGGGGGTAGGGCGATGGCATTTGCGGGTAATTTCATCGAAAATATATGGGCAATTCTATAACGCGGTTGGAGTTGGAGTTCAGGAGCGACCAAAATGCCGCTCCAACCCGCCAGTTCAATTTCTCAGAGCGATTCCATGCGCTCCGCTCCAGCTTTGAACATATTTGGACCGTTTGGTTGGACTCCAGCTCCAGGTAAGTTGAATCTGGGAGCTGAGCCCTGCCAAACAGGCCCTAAATGCCCTTCGAGATGTAGAAGGGTTGATAGTTGATTGATCGACTAGAAGATCGATAAAATATGAAAGCTTTCACATGCCTTTCTAATAAAATATAGAAGTGTGTTGCACATTTCAAGGTTTTCAATTTACACTGACATTTTTCGAAAATATTGTTTATGTTTTATGCTAATATAAGTATCTTTTGTTGATGTTCTTTTATGTAAACCATCTTTCACGTGCTATGCAATACACAATTATTTTTCATATGCATCTATCTTTGGTTCCTACATATATTGTATAAAAAGGCTATGTAAAAACTTTCGCATTTTTTGGAACTTATAGTGGGTTTATAAATTGTCAACCCTTCTATGATTTGAAGGATATTTGAAGTTTTTTTTTAAGTATTCACCCCCAATGCATATTGTAGAAAAAACTGACAGAGTCATGGTATATAATAGAGAGAGGCAAAATCGATGACAAATCATTGAATTAGAGTAAACTCGATGATATAGAATAGGCTCTCTTATGATCTTTGGCCAGACAAGTTGTAGGTTTTCCATGACTAATGGCATCACAGCTCTTAATCTAGATAAGTTATTTCTATTCAATAAAGTATAGACTGGACGTCATGCTTGTCATAGATTTAGAAAAATCGTAACACCATACAGGTTGAACTTTGTTGTTGAGTTTTACCTGTCCCATGCATGATCCCTAAATTATTCTGATGCCCAAATAATATTCAGCGACCGTCGCCCTCCGGCTCCAAGTCTCCCAACACAAGCAAATGTGATTACAGGATGAAGGAAGACATTATTTGCATGAAACGTTAGCCGCGATGACTAGGAAGGATGGGCCTTATTTAGATGAGCTGCAATCTTTCACGTCTGAAGGATTGGATTCCGGCCTATCCCAATTTGGCCCAACAAAATTGGATATTTTTGTTAGGAATAAGTTCACCGGAAGTCCCTCAACTTAACATCGAGATTTATTTGACGTCCCTTAACCACAAAACTAGAAATTCTCCACCCCTAAACTATACGGAACCATTCACTTAAGGTCCCTAGGCAGTATGTGGGGCCCACATGACATCCTAGTCAGCAAAAAAAATAATAAAAAAAGTACGTGGGGCCCACATGTCAGCTGCACATTCCTTCCCTTCTCTTTTCTTCTCCTCCTCCTCCTCCTTTCTCTTCTCTTCTCTTCTCTTCTTCCGTGAGGGAGGCCGACGGTTGGCAAGCGGAGCGGCGATGGGAGGGTGGCAGGCGAGCGCGGCGATGGGTGGCGGCGGGCCCGTGTGGCCGCGAAGCGGCGGCAGGATGCGGGCGGAGCGGCGGCGGGCGGAGAGGCGCCGCCCTCCGCCCGCTCACTGCTCCCGCCGTCCCGGGCGCCTGCCACCGTGCCCGCCTCCTTTCCCCCTCTCCATGCCGCCCGCCTCCTCTCCCCCTCTCCACGCCGCCCGCCGCCGCACCGGCCCCCTCTCCCGCTTCTTCCCCACGCACCGCCGCGCCCGCATCTGCCACCCGCATCCGTCGGGGAAATCGCTACGAAGGACAAAGGCGACGCCGATGACGCACGGGAACAGGAGCAAGGTCGCCGTCCGCCTCACTCGCCTTCTCCGCCATTCTCCTCACCGCCCCGGCGCACTCGCCCGCCGCGGGCCCGCCACCGCTCCGCGCGCCGGCCGCCGGCCTCCCTCACTGAAGAAGAAGAGAGGAGAGGAGAGGAGAGAAAAGAGGCGACGTCGGGGCGGGCGCCCGTGAAGGTGGAGAAGAGGGAGAGGGCCTCCCAGGGGCGGCCGTGGCAAGAGTGCGCGGAGAGGATGGCAGTGTAGGACGAGTAGGCAAGGGAGGGAGAGAGGGTCGACAGGGAGAGTGCGCCGCTCGCCGGCGGCGGGGCCCGAGGTCGAGCACCCGGCGCGTTCGAACATCTCCGCCGCCGAGCTCGCCATCGTGTCGACCGCCACCTCTCCTCCTCTCCCGCCGCCATCGCGGACCGCCTCTCTCTCCCTCTCCCGCTGCCGTCGTCCCCGCTCCGCCGCTGGCCACCTCTCTCTCCCCCTATGTCGCCGCGCCCGCTCGAGAGAACCCGGAGAGAAGATAAGAGAAAAAGGAAAAAAAAAAAAGAGAAATGTGGGACCCACACCATTGTCTCACTTACATGTAGGCCCCACATATTAATATTAATTATTTTTGCTGACTAGGATGCCACGTCAGCGAAACCACCCATGTATACTGCCTAGGGACTTTGAGTGAATGGTTTTTTGTGGTTAATGGATCCAAAAAAATCTTATTGTTAAGTTGAGGGACCTCCGGTGAACTTATTCCTTTTCGTCAACTGTTTTCATGATTTCGATCTCTCGCTTGATTTCCACCCGTCTCCTACCTGCTGCCGTAGATTGTATCGCGGAGATAACGTTCTGTTTGTATTGAACCTTTCCTTTTTCAAGCGAGTTATTAGAAACTTCATTAAAAACTTTTAACTGTATCCGCATGTCCTTCGCAGATTGCATCTGAAACAAATCCATATCAGGGTCCTTTTTTACTCTATACAGGCACACCAAGGTCCTTGTAACTTCATTTTAGCAGTGGTTTTTACTATTTCGCTTGTCTTTGTAACATTGCAATCTGCAAAAGCAACCTCCTGTTAAGCCGGATGATCGTCATAATGAGTATTATGCAGAGGAGGAATAACTGGGAACTAATTTGGGTCAAGTGGGCGTGTGTGCGTGTCTTCTGAGTTGTACGCGTTCAACAAGATTAATTTGGAGACAAGATATGAGAGGTGATTAAATCCATTTCACTAGTGTGCAATGAGCACCCTCTTCTCTTTATAAATTCTGTAACGGTTGATTTTAACAATAAAATAAACTTCTACGGTTCTACATCTGCTTTCACTGCAAACATCTAGTCATACAAAGGAATATTTTGAGCCGCAATATTAAAAAAATAGGGATAAATATAACAAAACACAAAATTCTGACATGAATATAAATGTAAAATAAATGATTGCAAAATATTAAAAAAACACATGAATGAATGTTTAATTGAACCGTAGAAAAACACATGAATCTAAAAATTTCCCACAAGATTAGAGCTCTTACTAAGTTTTCTTCAAAAAATATATAAAATGAACCATTCCATATAAATTCTATAGTATCTGAAAAGTTTCAATCAGTGAATCAAATAGGCACATAAAAAAAAGTCCTATATGATTTTAATGCTATGAAATTCATGCATAGAATCCTTTAATTAGCCCTTATACATCAGTACTTACAACCTTGTCATCATGATGTACTTCCTCCGTCCCAAAAAAAAAACTTAACCTATTAAGGGATGTAAGTTTTTTTTGGATGGAGAGAGTAACTCGCAACTCTCTTGCCTTGTGGAGTACTCCCTCCGTCCCATAATATAAGGGATTTTGAATTTTTGCTTGCAACGTTTGATCACTCGTCTTATTCAAAAAATTTTGAAATTATTATTTATTTTATTTGTGACTTACTTTATTATCCACAGTACTTTAAGCACAACTTTTCGTTTTTTATATTTGCAAAAAAAATTTGAATAAGACGAGTGGTCAAACGTTGCAAGTAAAAATTCAAAATCCCTTATATTGTGGGACGGAGGGAGTAGTACCTAAGACCAAATACAAACATATTACTCATAATACAAGGTTAGTATAACCGTTCGCAACTCTCTCGTCTTGCAGTATATATGCTCCCTCTAGTCATATAGTAGTAATACTTTAGACTATGTTCGGTTAGTCCCGAGAGAAAGATTAAAAGGGATTTATTTCACACCTATTATGGTGTGGAATTACTCCCCCTCAAACCCCTCCAATCCGCTTTAACCCCCTCCAAACCAAACAAGGCCTTATGTTTTGAAAATAAAATAATCAAACTTTATAACTTTTGTTTCTAAAATACGAAGACCATACGTAAAATTAGTTTTGTATAAATTAGTTTTAAGAAGTACTTCAACATCCATAAAATCATATATCTATTGTTATTTTTATTTATACTATAGTAGAAAATAAAGGCTATTGATTTTTTATATTTATACTGTAGTAGAAAATAAAAAGTTACAGTTGTTCTTTTAAGGCCGTTTCGTTATCAACCGGAGGGAGTAGCACACATCCAAGCCCACCGAAAAACGCCCCACGCAGAAACCGGGCCCTATAAGGTTATTGCAGGCTTGCAGTTATGACAATTGACAAGAACGATCACTAAATCCTGGGCTACAAGAGCCTTCGGTGTGCGCTGAAAAGGTCAGATTAACACTGAAGCTTCGCCCAGGTTAATCGTGCTCGAAGTTGCACAATGACGAGGTGAAAGGGGCCAAAACTTCTTTTCCCGGTTCGCTGGTTTTTTAAGTGCCGGCGGGCGATGGGAGGTGGACGACTGTGCTGTGTGCAGAGTAGTATAGAGAAAATTGATTAGCGTACAAAATTGACCCATTGCATAGTTGTACAAAATCATAAAAGAGAACAGGGTCGATGTTGCAGGAAAGATCTGAAATGTAAATGAACAGAGATAGAGGAAATTAGTGACGAATGAGACGAAGACACATCATCCATCTTTATTCATAGAATCCACAGCAACAAGAGAGATACAAACACACACAGACCAATGTATGATACAAATGAATAAGAAATAAACACAACATGCCTCACTCGGAAACGCACCCAACCCAACCACTGCTACTAGTACTACTCTATAGCCGGAAACGACTCGAAACGAGCCGTGTCCAAATCGGAGATCATCAACGAACCAATTCCATCCATCACCACCTCGCGCGCCTGCCTAGTGCATGATCCCACCCGCGACGAGGATGGACAGCACGGCAGAGCACGCCACGGCCAGCGCCGCCGACGCCGCGCCCCCCGCGGCCGCGCCCGTGACCGGCGCCGGCGCCGGTGGCACGCCCCCGTCCACCTGCGCCGACGCCACCGACGCGAACATCACGGCCACCGCCGCGGCCACGGCGACCAACACGGCGCCTCTAGATGCCATCGCAGGAATGACCGAGCACGGCAAGCGACGCAGAAGCACCTGGCAGGGAGAGAGAGAGAGATAGAGAGAGCGGTGAAACGGTAGCGGCATGGGTAGTGGGGTATATATCGAGGTGGCGCGCGATGACGCGATCGGAGGCTGCCGCCCCGGGCGCGCGGGGCGCTTGGCGCCGTAGGCGCGACGCGTGGTGGGCCTCTCCGCGACACGTTGGGCTCGAGGGTGGCGCAGGTGGCGCGACGCGAGGCGGTCTCGGCGCGGGCACGCGACTCCCCACCCCACCACTCGTCGGGTCTGACGACTGACGCCCACAACCCAACCGACCGGAGGCCCTCTGATTGGCGAGGCCCCAACCGCAACGAGTCCCCTGCACGACTCGACGACCCCGGCTAAAACCGACACCATACCATTCATCAGCCGCCATGCTACGCCAAGCACAAACACGTATTAATCCCGGCTAAAATTTACAGCAATACTAGTCGACGAACGATACGTTTGTAGTACTATATACCACTTGTAATTTGCGATGACTAGCAGTAGAATGGTAATTTAACGTCGAGTACGAGGCGTGTCTCCCACGCTTTTTTGCTCGGGGGTCAAGGGTCGTTGTCGTACATGTACACGTACGTTCGTGCGCCACGCAGTGACACACACCACACCATGACGCACACAAAAAAAAATTAAAAGCTGTGCACATGATGTGTAGGGAGACGTACAAGCCCGGCTACGGGCGATGCACAGGGCCACCTGCCGTATCGATCGATCGATCGATCGCACGGTGTCTACCTCCAAAGTCGTCGCGCGCGGATGCGTACGCTGACGCTTTACTGCCACGATTCCTCTCGTTGGCTCGTAGCGCGTGCGTCCGCAACGAACGTTCCAACGAGCAGCCGAGCCGACTAGTAAAAAACGTAGCGTAGTGTGTGTTGGGGTCAATCACGGTACATGCGCCCCTGTCCCGCAGAAGATGTCACGTATTTTTTTCGCGATAGAGACAGGAGGCGATCGACCGGACGTGTGAGGTTGTGACCGTGAAATGTGCCTAGCACCTGCATCCATTTCATCGGTCCTTCCTTCGCAAGAGCTGTACGCTACATTGGCTACAAAGAGAAGATAAAAAAAAAAGTGTTGGTACACCTAAAAGTCCATTCAGTTTCGTGCTGAGTTTTCTGAACTGGGTCTGAATAATGCAAGAGCCGCAAAAAAGAAAAAAAAACTCGAAGTGTCTGAACTGAACGTGCGGCGGAAGCCGGTCGGCGCCGTCGTCGAATCGATCGATCGGTCGCACGGCGGAAGTTGCCAGGGCGAAAGGGAGGGCTCAGCTGCAGGTAGAGAGCACGTCCGTCTCAGTAGTCGGCTCGCGATTCTCAGCTTGTGGCCGTGGATGCGCTCCATCGATTCGATCTTGTAACACGATGGCATGTCTCGATCGACAATACTGGAACGATCTTTAGGGGATTTTTATCACTCGGGTATATATGCATATCATCGCCAAGCCGGCCGGTAGATCAGGAGTTAGTAATTGGACTTAAGACATTCTGAATCTGTTCTGTCCCTCGTTTTGCCGTGATCGCCAGCGTCGATGGATGGGTCGTTGATTTTTGCGTACACTTGTCGGTAGCACAAGACTTCAGCCGAGGTAAACAGTTAAGATCGTCTACAGAATTACAGATAACTTGTCGCCATTGCAAGTTAGCTTGAAAAGTAGTTGATTCGTACAAATACACACCAAACCAGCAAGACGACAGTGCGAATAACCAGGACAATACACGAGTTTCTGGTACTGCCCTTGTTACACGAAAAATATTATTTCTGGTAGTGTACTTATAATGTTTCACTATATATAGATCTAATGTTGCAATGAATTAAAATATTATTTTTTAACAAATCACCCATATATTTTGGAAACCCTCTATTAAGATAATTTGGTTTATTTTTTGTTCCACAAAAAATGTTTCACCTAGTGTACTCACAATATTTCTCTATGTATAAATCTAATATTGCAGTAAACTAAAATATTCTATTGCAACAAAAAAAAAACTCACATATTTTGGAAACTCCCTATTAAGAGAATTCGTTTCATTTTTTGTTCCACCAAAAAATGTTTCACCTAGTGTACTTATAATGTTTCACTATATATGGATCAAATGTTGCAGTGAACTGAAACATTCTTTAGCTATTTGCTGAAACATTGTTTTATATAAGGTGAAACAATACCCGATTTAAGCAAGTGAAACATTTTCGATCTACTTAGTGAAACAATTCCGATATACCTGGTGGAATATCGTGCAATATTTAAAAATAATTCAATAATAAGCTAATTTTTTTCATCGGAATATATCCATGTGTAGTCTTATTTTGAAGATTTAATTGCAACAAATTTAATGGTGTAATCGGATCATGATTTGGATAAGTAATTTAAGAGAAAAATCAATTTAAAATAGTTTTACACGTAAATCGGATAATGACGTTAGCACCGATTTTAACCTCCTCCCATCATGCGCCCGAGCCGGAGTCACGTCCTACTCCTACTTCAGTGTGATTGTGTGAACAATAGTGATAGGGAGGCAAATCTGACGGGCAAGTTATTATTATCTAACAGAAGTTAGGTTTTCTGTCATAAAATTTCTTCCGGCTATACTACTCATTCTAAATACTTTAGCATATATTAAGTTTTTTTTAAAAAAAAACTATAATACTAATGATAGTATATTGTTAGGAGGGTACAAGGACACATACAAAGGTTTCTATTTGCTATCTCTCAGTTACCAGCAAAACAAAATCGTTGACGTGGAAAAGAGAGGAGAGGAGATAGATGTAGTTGTTTTCCATGACATCGGCCAAACAACAACTTTGGCGAGCAAAAACAACGAAAAATCAAGTGTTCTACATCGTGGTATTTAACAAGAGGCGGCCTTGGATCCCATGGGTGATTGGATTTTTGGCAAGGAATGGATTGGTGTCGCATAAAATCGACATCGATGCAAGCTACCATTTAGGAGTTGCACATATTTGGGGAAAGAGGGAGGAGTAAATCCACTATTTATTTATTTATTTATTTATTGGGGGGAGAGGGATTTGAATGGAAGGTGATAGATGAGTGATAAGTATTTTGAGAGACACTTTAAATGAGAAAATGGGCATTTGGTCACGTTCCAAAAATGGTTTCGATGGAATGCCATCCCGAAAACACGTTTCGCTAAAATGCCAATATGGAGCGCGTGATCACAGCCACTTTGTTATTTTCTCCATTTTTGTCATTTTCAATTCCATTTTCGTTGGAATATGGCTTGATGAGACCAAATTGCCCCCTGCTCACCGAGACCAGCGGTCCTTTCCTCTAGGTCATCCACCCAGGCCTCGTCGCCGGCGGCGGCGGCGACCACGCCGTCCTCAATGCGCAGGAGCAGGTCTTGCTCCATGTCGTCCAACCTCTTGACATCGTCCATGTCCTCGACGAGCAGGAGTAGGTGCTCCGGCACCGCGTTTTCAAGAGTCTGGACCTCCTTGACGCCGCGTTCCTCTCCAGCCTCTACGGAGACGCGACCGGGAGCGTGTCGGTCCTCGTCCCCACCACGGCCAGCCTCATGGAGGCGCTGGGGAGCGCGTCCAGCAGGCGCATGCGTACTCTGCCTTATCTCGGACATCATCGGCCTACGCGAGCCGCCGCTCGTGCCGGATTCCTTGCTGGGCTAGAGGCGACTGGGTGGATCACCGTGCGCGCGCCGGCATACGTCACGTGCTGGGCAGGGCCGCGCTACACGGAGGCGTTGGTGGCCTCCCCGGACGCCGCCGCGCTCGACACCGTTGTGTTCACCTCCACCGCCGAGGTGGAAGTCCTGCTCAGGGGGCTAGACGCTGCGTGGTTCTTGACGCTCTCGCCTCGATGAGGAGCTCCGCCGCGAGCAAGTCGCCGCTCATGTCGATCCCCTTTCAGCCGGTGAGCGGCAATTTGGTCTCATCAAGCTGCATTCCAGCAAAAAAAATGGAATTGAAAATGACCAAAAAGGAGAAAATGGCAAAGTGGTTGTGGTCAGGCGTTCCATGTTGGCATTTTAGCGAAACGCGTTTTCGGAATGGCATTCCAACGAAACCGTTTTTTGAACGTGGCCAAATGTCCATTTTTCTCATTTTAAATACTAGAAAAATAACTATTTTTAAGAGGAAGGTACTCCATCCGTTTCACAATGTAAGTCATTCTAGCATTTCCCACATTCATATTAATGTTAATGAATCTAGACATATATATCTATTTAGATTCATTAATATTAATATGAATATGAAAAATATTAGAATGACTTACATTTTGGAAAGGAGCAAGTAGTACATAACTAATACAAGATTAGTAGATTACACCTCAATTTGCTAGTTTGCTCACGAGAGGTCCTGTCTTCCCGACTGAACTGTGAACTCCCAGCACTTCGAAATTAACAATAGACTTGATTTCAAATCTGAACAAACGATGATTAGTGACCGGGAGGCAGCTGTTGGCCGCTGTCCCGGTGTCCCCTACATTCATTCACGCGCGGCCGTGCGGCACCATGAATGCATGAGACCATATGGGCGGAGAGTCGGGTTGATCGAGCTCCGCCCCAGGGATCCTCGCGGATGATTGATGATTCTTCCACCGCCGCCGAAGGGTCACAGGACTCACAGGTGCTGTCGACTGTCGTGCTGATCCGACGGCTTCCAGTAGGATTACCCATACAGAGGACCACATGAATATGAATTCGTGCAAACGAATCCCTAATTCGAATCGCTATCAATCGTACGCAAATAGAACCCCTAGGATCGGGTAATTCGGTACAAGCGGGAGCGGTCCTAACTTATGCATTTAAATCTCCGATATTTATGCAAATCAGTCTCTTCCATACCGATTCGTCGCCCTTCTTAGACAGACCCTAACGTTTCGGTCGGCAGCATCTCGCCGCCACGCATGGATCGAGCTGCTTCAACCTGACTGTGGCGGTGTGCCCCGCCGATCGACCAATAACCGCAACCATTACCTTTCTGTGTTAAAATAATCTACAACTAAATTAGATATAACTTGATACTACGAACCATACCGATATTCGTAATAATTGATTATGTCTAAGTTGTTACTCCATTTATTTTTAGACAAAATAAGAGCATCTCCAACAGAAATTTGACCAACACAGAGAAAAAATGAGCTCCAACAGATTCTTCATTCGGATGACCAAATTGCTCCTCCGACAGACCAAATGTAGCCAGCCTCCTCCACTGGCCAAAGGTAGGTCCCACCACCACTCCTAGTCTGATCCTTCCTCTCTTTCTGTCTACCCACCAGCAAGGCAGCAACTTGAGCGCATCGGCCGGGGCCGAACCGGAGGACACGCCGGCCACGAGCGTGCCGCCGGCGTCTGGGCCACCATCCGCCGCGACTATCGTCGTCTGGGCCACCGTTCGCCGCGGCAGTCATTGTCATTGTCGCTGCGCCACGGTCACGTAGAGCCGTCGCCACCGCAAAAGGCGAAACCACGACACGCACAGTGAGGAAAACGAATCGCAAGTCCCAATCAATTCCTGCCATGCCGGTGGCGGTGGTGATGGCGAGGAGGATGAACCCTTGTTCACGGACCTCCAGAAGCTCCCGCCGGACGTCGCCTGCGACGTGGAGGCTGTTGTTGGCGCGGCCAAGGGGTTCCACGCAGGCGCCACATGGGCCAGGGGCCTCCTAGAGCGGTGCGGCGCCATCTGCATCACCGCCCCTGCCGCCGCCAAGCATCGCCGCGAGCCCTCTTGCCTCGAGCAGCAGCAGCCGCTGTGCCATCACCTGCGCATCCACCGGCGGGAGGGTGGGGAAAGGGAATGACGTGAAGAGAAATGAAGAATGGTAGAGATTGACATGTGGGACCCACTATTAAAATTGGAGAAGGTAATAGAGAGATCGTTGGAGTGAAATGCAAATTTGACTCTCCAACTCTTTGGCAAACTGGCCAAATAGGTATTTAGAAAGTTGTATTTAGAGATGTTGTTGGATATGCTCTTATTAATTCTTATCTACCCTAGGCCTCAACTCCTCCTGGCTGAGCCGCCTCACATTCGATGCCTGCAGCTTGGCACGAGGCAAGGCCCCCGACCCACCAAGGATGTGTTCGGAGGAGGGGGTTAGGAACCCCTCCTCTCTGGCACGCAAAACGAAGTTCGTTTTATCGCATGATTAATTAAGTATTTATTATTATTTTTTTAAAAAAATTAATATGATTTTTTAAAATAACTTAGATATAGAAAATTTTTGCATAAATTATACCGTTTAACGGTTTGAAAAGCGTGCGCGTGGAAAACGAGATAGTTGCGTTGGGAAAATGGGGGGAAGAACACAACCCAAGGAGGCATGGACTACAGGGCTAGCCGTGTTGATTGGAAAATTAGGGCTTCCATAGGATGGCCTATTCAGTCAAAGAAAAAGCCAATGTTTGAATTTTCAAACACAATTTTTATATTGATTTGAGATATTTTCAACATAGTTTCTTTTTCAGCATTGGCTTTTAAGTCACCGAGAACACATATATAAAATTTTACCTATAAATACATTTTTATTCTCTAATAAGCCGTTTTGGCTTGTTACGAAAAAAGCCAAACGATGAGACCCTGGGCCGTTGGTTTGTGCCCCGGAGCCCTGATCACGCGAAAGTGGTGGATGGCCGGATCGAAAAGTTTTGGGGGATTTTTATCCCGTTACTCTGCACTTCTGCAGATCATCAGAAGCGCCCGGAGAGCTGGGTCCTGTGCTCTGAATTATCCAAGGGGCAAAAAAAAAAAGGCAAAACGAATGAAAAGAAAATGATTCAGATACTCAAGGGGACAGGATTTTTGTTCCACGTTAGATTAAAATCGCAAAATCATTGGCGAGAACGTGTTGCTGGACCCATCAAGATGGAACATTGTTGATTGGCGAGCTGGCACGCATGCTAGGTAGATAGCTAGTTCATGGGTCCCATGACACCGTTGATGCGCCATGGGCTTGAACTGGCTTTTGTGTATTTTGCAAGGCTTGCACAGCGCCAAACCAAGCTTCCTCCTATCATAGCATCAAGTTGAACAAAGTTGTTCCTCGCAAAAAAAAAAGTTGAACAAAGTTGTTAAAGATCTTTTTGCCAGCTTCAAGCCTTCAAACATGGGGTTTGCTACAGTGTAAATATCACTTTTAAATCCTAAAGACTAAAGAGGATCACATGAAGTGGACCGATGAATTTTCAAACACACTTCGACAGCCTGCAATTTACCAGCCTTTTAACACTTCATTTCTCTAATCTAATAAAAATCTCCGCAACACCTCCTGATAACGAACGAACTCGCTATCGCTTTTAGTTTGAGTAGGGGCCGGAAAACACAAAGGAAACGGTGAATAGTGCACTGCAAATCACGCCCAAATTGCCCAAGTTATTGGTCGCCGAAGACTCGGCCAAGTGAATGACTCGTGGAAAAAATCTCGTTCTAGAACAACACATGCGCGCGTTAGCTGCAAAGCCTGCAACTTAATCAACCGTGACCAGTTCAAAGTTCAGAGATGAGAGGTAAACCAAACCAAAGCACACACACAACGTGGACGCCTCTGGCTGCACGAAACGGGAGAGATCACCGCGCGAAGCCGCCCGTTCACCATGCACACATGCAGGCACGTACGCGAGCCTCCACATGGCGGCCACTCGCATCCCCGAATTAGCCCCCCACTAATCCCGCTATAAATTGTCCCCGTCCCCGCGGCTCATCTCCCTCCTCAGGCAAAGCGCAGCAGCAGCAGCAGCAGCAGTAGCCATCTCTTCTTCCTCTCGCCTCCGTTTCCGCCGTCGCCTGCTCGGTTCCAGCTGAGACCGTGCGCGCGCGCGAGGGAGCAACCTCGAGAGGAAGGGGATGGAGATGAAGAAGATCGCCTGCGCCGTCCTCGTCGTCGCCGCCTCGGCCGCCACCGTGGCGTTCGCCGCCGAGGCCCCGGCTCCTGCGCCCACCAGCGCCGCTCCCGCGGCCGTCGCGCCGGCCATCGGCGCGGCGCTCGGCGCCACCGTGGTCTCGTTCTTCGCCTACTACCTGCAGTGAGCCCAGCCGGAGGAGGAAGAGAGGAAGAGGAGGAGATGGATGCATGGCCATGGCTACTAAACCGATCCAAACACGCGCGATAATGTGGGTGCTTTGATTTGTGCCAACTTTGATGCCTCGTCTTCTTTCTTCTCTTTTTATAATGGGTTGTATTTTTGATGCACCGGTTTGATTTCGGTGCTTTGATTTCTCATATTTCGTCCACCCTATTTGAAGGGAATGGATATTGTACTATTATTCACCATTTGTTTGGATTAAATTAAGATATTGGAATTACTGGCTACGCATTTTCGTTTGATTTCACCATCATTCGGTTACACACGTTCTGACGTTCATCTTCTAGGAGACGCGCATCAATCATGACTGGCATGTTAATTTGGCAATGGCATTGCCGTATTGGCATTCGTATTATTGCCTGTATCTGAATAAAATCGAGTTCATTTCGTACTTCAGTAATTGGATTACTGAAAGGTATATATAACTGCTAAATTTCTTTTCAGTTTTTCCATAACGCAGTAGATTAATTATTGCCATAACACTCAGAAACAAACAATTAAGCAGGACCAAATGGAACAGCCTGGAAGGGAATGATTTTCAGAAGGCCAGTGACATCAAATTGCGCTGTAATCATGCCAATATAAATCATTCTAGTTCCTTCGAACAGAATGTAATTTTAGTCCGCTTTGCAGTTGGCAAAAGACTTACAAATTCCGTTAAAACATACATAAGGGATATGTGGTGGCTTAATATCACCCGAGACAACTAAATTCCACAAGTATGTTCCTCCTCTTTTTTTTTTTTTTTGTCGAACTGACAGATCAAAATAGGCCCCAGTTCATTAGATCAAGAAAATCACAAAAATCTTACTAAGCATTATTGCTAGCTCTCCTGAAACAATGCCTAAGTAAATAAAACTCTGAACAAAAGTTGTAAAGGGGGCACACGATCTGCACAAGTACAGAACTGAGCGGCCAAAAATAAGCATTGGCAATTCAGATTCAACTACTCCAGCAGCGGAAAGGAAATAAAACACAGGATACTCTGTTGCCAAAGACAAGGAGAAACATCTCACTACAACATTGACATCAGACCATCAGTCCACTTTGCCATTGGCTTATTTGCACGCACCAGAAAGAATGAAACTAATCGGAAAAAAAAAAGGTTCCGACAAAGTCTCTGCGATGCTGTATCCCTTAGTGGCCAAAAAAAAAACTTGCTTTCGAGTCATGTTACTTAGTGAGAGTGTAGAGCATGTGATTCAGAATGACCACCACAATTGATTCATAAGTCATATCAATGATAACAATAGACAAAGAAGCATGCTGCCATGCGCAGGATTCAGAAACAAATACACCATATATGTTCTTTCTCGTTAACCATGACAAATGTATCAGCTTGACAGGAATGTCGCAAACTCGCAACTCATCAAGGAAACAGAAGATTAATCTAGAGGATACAATTCATCTTGAAATAATGCAGAGTACAGATTACAGAAGAGCAGACAACTAAAGCAAAGAGCCACACTTCATCATAGGCAGGTGCCAAGGTCACCCATCCCCCAGCATGTAGCTGGTACCTTGGCCTTGCAAGGTCAAGAACATTATAACCAATAACATAAGGATTTTCCCACCCTTGTGCAAGAGGAAAATGATAATGGTGGCATAGGCTTGATCTCAGCCCAAGGAGGATACCTAAACTAAAGATGATGTACTACATGGAATGCTAACAGTCTGACATAACCAAAGATGAAACGAGACCTGAAAGTTTAGGAACTGGGAAGCTGAAGGTGATCAATGTGTATCCTCCTTTCAGCCAAAATGCCAATTTATAGTAATAGAAAGGCACCAATAATGGCAATGGTTATCTACTTGTTCAGAAAGAGCTATTTTAACTAGGCCAACTGTTAAGAGCTTACCAATTAGCAGATAATATTGCCGGTGAATCTTTGTCACATCCAAAAGGAAAGTGACACTTTGTCACATCCAAAAGGAAAGTGACAGGCTATTCCACTGCACCCTACAGAATTCTATTTATCAGAGGAAGGCTAACCTAGCTGATAGAGGATGTCTGACGCATATTCTGTATACAGCATTACCAGTTTGCCACTTAGACCAAACCTACAAGTTAAGCACAGTGCAGCGTACTGTATATATTTATTAATAATGATAAACTCCATGCCTTCATCAGTTTTGCTCTACAGAAATGATCAGTATATATGATGCCTTCCCATCAATAGAACTACTACTCCAGATTATTTCTAGTTTATCATGGAAATCTTGTCAGAAAATTATCAAACTTCTCAGGTATCAGGATACCTGTAAAAATCTCATCCAGGACTGTAGTCTGCGATATCTTACTTTCCCCTAGCAGGATTTGCAAGGCCTATATGGCCATACCATTTGTTGAATATATTGCTACAAAAGCATATTTTTATTTAAGGGATAAGAATCAAACTTTTAGATTGTATAAATTATGCAAAGCTAAACCTCATTGTATTCATAAGGCAAGTCTGGACAGTGGGAAAGTTCCAATTATACAGCTCACGGTTTATTAAAAGCAACAACCTTTTAAAATAAAAACCAACCTTTTAGGTCATGTCAACATTGCTAAAGACTACCTTCAAGTTAGTGCTGCAGATAGGGAGAACTTATTAAAAACTTATTGATAATTCAAGTTCTACCTACAACAGTACTTACAAGGTCTCATAAAGAAAGTATCTGCATACATTTCCATCACTAATCAAGACATCACTAATCATCTTGCAAAGAAACAAAATCAGCTCAGTGAGGGGGTGATTGGATTATATTTAATCCCAATACTGTTTGCTATTTGGAAATAGGAGAGAGATTCAGTATGCAAGCTACAAAAATAGATATGACAATGTGACCAATAAGATGTAAAATAGGAGAACCTATCTAATCTTTATAGAAAAACAGTTGTCCAAATAGAAAACAAACAAATTAATTTACTATCATTTGGACATTGAATAACAAACCATTTTAAATTTACACAAATAGAAACGTGTCAATACATAGAGCAATGCTGAGAATTTCAGTAGACGAAATCACATCAATTCAAAGCCATTTATTGATAAATTCTTGTGACTTTTGAAAATATATTGATCTCTTGTGAAACTCAATGTAAACTTCAACAGCTCACAAATCAACCTAAAAAGACTCAAATTACTGATAAAAATGAGCTGTGAACTGAAAACATAAACAGACAAAGAGCTTTCCAAATGCATTCTCACCTCACTAGGTACCAATAGCTGTCTAGTGCAAGATGATAACTTGACAAAACATGATGGTTTCAAAACACAGTTCAGCCATAAACGAGTCAGCAGGCAAATGGTATCTAGTAAAATGTTTTTACAAGCTCACTGCTCACCACAGGCACAGCAACCATGCTAAGTTGCTAACAAGTAACACAGAGCTGGTTTGTCAAAAATCCACAGGAAATAAGAAGATGCCAGAAGCACTTCGATACAACATAAAGTCACTGCACTTAGCAACATTTAAAACCTTTTGCGGTTTAGCTCTGCAAGGTATTTTGTAACATTGCTTTGACTTCCATTAACATAGTGGTCATAGGAAGAGTAATCTCTACATTTGCAGGTAAAAGTCGAGACAGTAACATTACGATTTCCTTGATAGTGTAAGCATACACAAAAAAAAATTACTCTAGCAATGATCGACATCCAAAAGCACCCAAATTTCATAGTTCAGACTCTCATGCCTACCACCAGTGCACTTTTATTATCCGAACAATGAAACTAACCATCCTTCCTAGAGAGTTTCACCGCATCAAGATCGTAGCTACTGACCCGACAGACACCCCGAGAGCGCACGAGATGGCGACCACCCGCGTTCGGAGCAGCATGAGGTTCACATTCTTCGTGGCCTGGAGGCACAGCGTGAGCACCTGCAGCCGCCCGTTGGCCTCCATCTTCTGGAAGAAGGCGATGGGCTTGATGGCGCGGCGCAGCACCAGGGCGGCCGTGAAGGGGAACGCGAACGCCACCACCCCCTGCACGGCCGCGGCCGACCCCACGCCGACGGGCGCCGCGCCCGATGCGATCCACGCGCCCGCGGCGAGGTGCGCCCCGCCGAGGAGCGCGAGGGAGCCGCTGATCCGCTGCACGGCGGCGCGGAGCGCGTCGAGCTCCCTCCGCGTCTCGTCCGCGAGCGGCGAGGTGTCGCGCTCCACCGTGGGCCCCTCGATCTCCTGGTGCTTCATCGACTCCGGGGACACCGGAGCGGGGCCGCCGCCGCCATCGGGTTGCGAGGGAGCGGAGAAGTGGCGGTGCGGGTGGAGGAAGAGGAGGGGATGCGGCTTAGGGAGAAGCCTGGCCGTCTCGGCGGCGGGGCTCAGGAGGCGGCGGGAGAGGTGGGAGATCGCCATGGGAGAGCAACTCTGCTGCGGAGTGTGCGGCGGCGCAAGAGAAGTCGTCTCCTCCTCCGGTCAAGCCGAAGGCGTAATCCTATAATCCGCTTTCCACATAATGTCACGGTCTCCAATCTTTCCGTTTTCCAGGACCGGAAGCGGGTTAACATAGGATCCTGCGGCTGGACACGTGGCGGAGCAAGGGAAAAACGCTAGGGAGACGGGGGACGGAGCACATGCCGGCCACACCGTTCAGCGGCTGCCGCCTGGTTCGGATTTGCCTTCCTTTCCAAACCAGAGAGCGGTTTACAGAAAACCGCCTTTCTCTTCTTCCGTCTTCTTCCCTTTCCATTTCTCCCTTTTCCTACCTCGCCTCGCCGCCCGCACCGAGCAAACTCAAACCCTCGCCGCAAGAAAGAAAAACAAATCGAGAGAAAAAACCCTCGCTGCTCGCCGCCCCAAGCGAAGCCAGCCATGGTGGTGTACACGCAGGAGCACGTGTACCGGCACCCGTGGGACCGCGTCACGGCGGCGGCGTGGCGGAAGTTCACCGACCCGGCGTCGCGCACGGCGCTCTCCCACGTCGCCGACGTCCACACCCTCCACCGCCGCGTCGACCCGGAGGCGGGGCGGCTGCAGGCTGCGCGCTCCATCACGGTGCGCTCCCCGCCGCTCCCCTTCATCCTCCGCCGCCTCCTCCCCGCCGCGGCGTCGTCCCCGTCCGGCGCGGCGCTCTGCCACTGCGTCGAGACCTCGCTCGTCGACGCGCCGCGCCGCGCCATGGACGTCGTCGTCCGCAACGTCTCCCTCCGCGGCCTCATCGAGGTCGAGGAGCGGTCCACCTACCGGCCGCACCCGGAGCGGCCCGAGGAGTGGACGCAGTTCAGGCAGGAGACCACGATCCGGTGCCGACCGCTCTCGGCCCTCGCCGCCGTCGCGGAGAAGGTCGAGACCCGCTGCGCCGAGAGATTCCTGCAGAACAGCGCCAAGGGGAGGGAGGTCGTCGAGCGGATCTGCCGGTATCTCGAGGCCGAGGCCGCCGGTGCTGCATCCTCCGCCATCTGAGTTGGCCTGGTTTGCGCCTCCTCACTTGGCCTTCCTTGATCTGATCGGATCGAAGGATTCGCTCGATCTGTGCTGCGTGCGCGCGGCGGGACCTCGCCTCTTGGCCAGGTCCCTTGCAGTTTTCCATTTTTTTTTATGAAATGATGAGCTGAATCCTGAATGGAATAAAGCTTCTGGACATATACTTAATTTCTTCTTGACCGTGGAACCATGTTAACCCCAATTTGTGCCTGTTCTTGTTAAGCATATTCAGATATGCTATGACATTTCTAGTTGTTATTGTGCTGATTTGACGAATTCGTTAACTCTGATCTCTGATGTTTTCATGGATTTACGAATGTGTTAATTCTTGAGGGGACAATTTGATTCACATATAGGATACTGAAGTTCGTATGTTCTATCATTTTTGTTTGCTGATAAGAAAACCAACTGGGTGCTGTGGGAATGTGTTAACTGGTAGATACTGGATTAGCTTTCTTCTTGGACAATTCTTGCAAGCGTAGGTTGATTGGTACTTTGTGACTGTTGTTGTCTAATTGGCTCCTCTATTTGACTATTCCTCCTCTATTATGATGTTGATTCCAGGAAAATTATAATCTTGTGCATTGGTCACATTTTCTGTTGTTTAATCTATTGATGGATAAGTAGCTGCATTGACTCATTTTTGCTCTACCACTTGAGACTGATTGAGTTAAGAAATGAGGTGAGCTAATAACCGTACCTCTAACGTGTTTGGTGATAACAATAATTGTACTGTTGTTTCAGCCTTCTTTGTTGATGTCCTGAGCAAGTTACTGTATCTAGGTTGATAAGCTGTACTGCCTGAGTTAGTTCTATCTTATTGGCTTCTGAGAAAGTTTCTTCTTTACCTGGATGTTTGAGTTTTATAAGTGATTGGCTGGGGAATTAACATTTAGTTTATTAGTTATTATAACATTTTCAGAGGGAACACATTGGAAATATATAGATCAATACAAGTTCGGATTCACAGTTTGAAACCCATGTCATGTGTTAGGATTGCTGCCATCTTGTGCTCATAGGTATCTACATCTTATCCTACGGATCCAGCTTTCTTCAGAGTTTTGTTCCATTTTGCTTGATTTGAGACATGCTTGAAATGTTTATTTCAACATCTTCCCGACATAGTTTTGTATGGAATAATGAGGCGATGGGCCACTGCTAGTTCAGAATTACTAGCTTTCATTTGTTCCTCTTCAGCATTTTTCTTTACTCTGGTACAGGCATAAGCCCTCTCACAAGACACCATTCTTCCTCTTGGCTTCATTGTTACTGTGTTGTTGCTCATCAGTTATCACCATATTTGACTGTATTATGTGTTGTTTGAACTGTGATATGAGATCTAAACTGTTTTCCAGTATTGTTTTTCTTCTGTATTCCAGTGTTGTTTGGTAGTTCCATGATTGTTTGTCATTAAATCTATGAAGAATTAATTATTTTGTTGTTTATAAACAAAAAGAATCCAGTGAAAATTGCTGGTGTTTGTTTTGTTTGAAAGTTTTAATGTATATAGTTTTCAGCACAACCTGTTTCAATACTCCTGAAGTCCTGAGAACCGAAACATATTCTGCAGAAATGCTGATGAAAAACAGTGAAGTTTATGAATGCTGATATTTTTGTACTCCCCCAATGGCATCAGCTACTAGCCTACGAGCAGCCTCTGCTGCAAATTCTTGTAGACCTCAGTGCATCGGCCTCTGTTGCAAAATAACACCTACGAGAATTGGTGCTGCAGCTGCATGTATATCTGTGTTGGACTGTTGGTTGGGTCCAGCTCTCTAAGCGTCACAATTCTGAATTTCGGATGGTTGTGTTGCACAGGAGTTGCTGCGTTTACTGAATTGCTCTTACGCCCTAGAACTTCAAGGTGAAAAGTTTTGGCGTGTCACATCGGATATACGGATACACATTTGAAGTATTAAACTTGGCCTTGAAACTCTAGATGTGAAAAGTTTTGTTACACACATTTGAAGTATTAGACGTAGTCTAATAACAAAATAAATTACAAAATCCGTCTGTAAACCGCGAGACGAATTTATTAAGCCTAATTAATCCGTTATTACCAAATGTTTACTATAGCACGACATTATCGAATCATGGCGCAATTAGGCTTAAAAGATCCGTCTCGCAATTTGCACGCAATTTATGTAATTAGTTTTTTTATCTATATTTAATACTCCATACATATGTCCAAACATTCAATATGACAGGGTAAAAAGTTTTTGTGTGGGAACTAACATGGCCTCAGTCGTGTTCTCTGCAAAATGAACAGTTACTTGTGTTCTCTCCAATCTGAACACCAATCCAAGCAAAGCTCGTCTCAACTCGAGCCTTCACAAAATCAGAAACAAGCTGCAAAGTTCGAAATATAAGAATAAAATGGAAAAAGGGAAATCACCATCTAAACGGGCTTCTTCTAGTTAAATGGGCCGTTTTTATTCTGGTACAGTTAGGCCCAGTACGCGAGCGGAGCCCTAACTCCGCGCCGCTATAAAAGCGTGACCCCGTCGCGTGCGACTAGGGTTTATCTCCTCTCGCCGCAGCCTCCCTCGGAGCCAGACAAAGGAGAGAAGCGCGAAGGCGGCGGCGGCGGCGGCGCAAGGCGAAGATGTCGGAGAAGAAGCGCGGCGCCGGCACCCGCAAGGACGAGGTGGTGACCCGCGAGTACACCATCAACCTCCACAAGCGTCTCCACGGATGGTATCGCCTCACTCTCTCGCTCCCTCCCTCCCTCTCCTCCATTTCCCTGAGCTTTGTTGCGCTTGCAGTAGATCCACGAGCTAGATGTTGGTTTCACGAGGTGTTAGGGATCTAGCGCTTTGCTGGTGCGGAGGGTTGCTGCCTGCGAGCACTTTGTGGGCTCGTGAATGGCTGATACACCTTGTTTGGATGGATATCCTTAGACCAGCTACAGCACAGCAGGAATCATATGACCGAGGGGGGTTTGATTCATGTGGATCCTTCTCTTGTATTTGATCCCACATTCCTATTTATGTAGATCTGCGTTCGAGACCGTAGCTTCGCTTTGTAGCTATTTATTGCCATTTGATTGGGTGTTTAATCGGGTATAGTCAGGTGTCTGCCTTTATATATTGTTGTGGCTGCACACAGTTACATGCCCGGCTCATGGACTCTGCTCATCGTTACATTTGTTGCTTCTCCTTGTGCTACCAAGTGTTCCATTTGGGCAGGATATTTCGTAAGAGCGCACTGGTTAAATCCGTATTTTTTTTTCTCACGTATCTTCATAATTGGATGGCATTGTACTGTGATTTGTTTGTGTTGAAGTATTGTTTGCTCTAATGATTTGATCCATTATGCCCCGGACATAGTCAGGTATCTGTCTAAATATGGTGGTTGATACAGTTACATGCCCGGTAAATAGATGTTGCTCATCGTTACACGTGCTGCCTTTATATGCTATCATGTGTTCCATTTGGGCAAAACATTGGAAACAAGATTACATTATGAAAACACTGTTATGTATAGTTATTGGCAGTGTGTATTATAGCAGTTCATCTGTTAATCTGTTATGTTTGCCCTGTCATTGGTTCTGCTAATCAATTCTGGTCATTCATCTTATGTGGTTCATACTTTTTAGCACTGCATAACTAATTGTTGTTGCACATATTTTCTTTATAAAGCAGCCAACTTCACAGTTCATATTACATTTGACCTTTTAGATAAATGCAGATTCTTGTTTAGAAGTTTTGCAATCTTGAAAAGTCTTGATTTGTTGAAATAAACGTTATAATGAAATAATTCTTTCTGATAAACAGCACCTTCAAGAAGAAGGCGCCGAATGCCATCAAGGAGATCAGGAAGTTTGCACAGAAGGCCATGGGCACAACGGATATACGCATCGACGTGAAGCTTAACAAGGCCATCTGGACCAATGGTATCCGGAGTGTCCCAAGGCGAGTCCGTGTTAGAATCTCTCGCAAGAGAAACGATGAGGAGGACGCCAAGGAGGAGCTCTACTCTCTGGTCACAGTTGCTGAGATCCCTGCAGAGGGTCTCAAGGGTTTGGGAACCAAGGTTGTTGAGGATGAGGAGTAAACTTTTCATTGTTATCTGTCAGTTAGCGCTTAGTGCATATTTCCATGATTCCAGTCACTATGCTGAGAGCAAATTTGGAAGTCTTGCTTTAGCGTTTTGTTATCTACTGTTGATGATTCAAGACTGCATTTTCTTAAGCGCTTGGAATTTTGACATGTTTGTCAACCTTTTGGGATATATACTCCATGCTATCGTGCTGTGAACAAGGATCACTCTTAAGCTTAAAAAAATGTCTGTTAGATGCTGGTATTGATTTTTTGCTTGAATTTGCTCACATCCTTTTCTGCTACCATCGGCTTCATTGGTTCACATCATTTGTTGAGAGGATAGTTTGTTGTGAAGGTCGTAACGGTTCAGCTATTGTAATGCGTCCGCCATCCAGTGATCTGATTTGCTGAGTTCTATTCGTGCGTATGCTATTTTTCTTGACGGTAAGGGTTCAGCTATGCTAATGCGTCCGCCATCCAGAGATCTGATTTGCTGAGTTTCTATGCGTACGTGTGCTATTTTTCTTGACGGTGAGTGAACCGTCGAGACGGGCCACCAAGTTCCTTGTCGCGCCTATAATGTTAGGGCGCCTCACTTTTAACGGAGAATATATGAAGGAACTTCATGAAAAACTCATCTAAGCAAAAGTAGGAACATGTTATTGTAATTTCATTCTCAAAGCTTAGCTTCTTTTGAAATAAATTATATAGCTCCAAGGGCAGTTCTCAATGGTACAAGCTGTTGTGCCCGGCTAAAAAATACAAGTTGTTGTCAAAAAAATCAAAGTGCATCCTAAGACATGATCCCCGTCGGCAGGAAGAAAATTCTGGACGGATATGTGGTGTACCAGATTTTGCGGCAGGAAGAAAATTCTGGACGGATATGTGGTGTACCAGATTTTGCTATGCTCATTAGCAGCAACTTACCTGCGACAATAGGAGGAACTATGAGATCTCAGAGTTACACTTCAGATAGTGAGATCAAACACCGAGTAATAAATTATGGGTAGGGCATAAAATGAATAACAGATCAGAGCTTTCCAAATTTGAATAAATAAAGGGTAACATGGAAGTATATGTTGTGATAGCACTGTTCAAAATGAAACATTGGAGAAAGCAGATTTGACCCTTATTGCAACTCTGTTAAGACATTTTTTTTCCCAAAACAGACCAGAAGAACTTGGTGTAAATTAGCAATAATGCATGGTAATGATAGACCGCATACTACATTTCACAGACAATGGCACTTGGAAGGCAAACCAACAGATTCCATAAAATGAAATTTAAGTATGGTAGACATTCACAGCATGTAACAAAAAAAAATCTCACGGCCCTTTGTGTATATATAACATGGAATTCAATCACCTTCTACGTATGTGGAATGCTAAAATAATGACGTTAAAATTTCTGACAAATTTAAGATGTGATTCAGACTAAAGTAGAGAACAGCAATTGCCTAGCTAGCTCCCAAGGCTGTTACATGAAAATAAAAGGGATTTCCTAAAACTATATCTATCAGTCCCAAATCATGCCAGTGATCAAAGTATCTTGAAACTAATGGTCATAAACTAATGCAATCATGCTGTCTTCAAAGAATACTACTGTAGGAGTAAAACTGATAATTATCCTGCAGTTTTGCAAGTATTGCTATTACCCTAGAAATATCAGACAATAAAGGAATGAACTTCATCAGATATACAAATCTTAGGGTAATGCATTTGAATATTTACATTGTGAGTCAACTGGATGAATTGTTAGAGCAAAAACACATGGAAGTATTTATCAGCAAATTACTGTACGCTGTGGAGAGCATTGTTGTCGTTTTCTTAATATTTGGAACAGTGTTAAGTGTTAATTATAGCATATCAACGTAGGCAAAACAACTAGGTGTGTTACTAAGCATGGGTCTGCATCTTATTAGACGCCTAGACGGTTAGCTCATCTGGTACGAATGTAGTAGAAGGGCTCAGTCATCACAGTAAATCATTGATCCTACCAAAATACTACTAGTACCAAGTACCAACTATGATTCATTACCCACCCTATATTGCACTCTTTCAGCAGTAACACGGGCTAGGAATACCCATAACATCTACTAAAGCCAGGCAAAAAATTATGTCACATAACCAATAGATTGGTTGTCAGTAGGAAACTATGCTTGTAACATGGCAAAATCACAGCTAATCACGCAACATATCACCAAAGTTGTCGTTCTACAAGTAGAACTCTCAATCGGAAACAAGTACAAAATAATGAAATCAAGTACTCCAAAATTTAATCATAATAACTACAGCGTAATGTCATGACAAGATGAAACATTGAAATGCACAATTACATATACCTATGGATCAGAATTCAGAAGTAGATTGCCATCTGAACCCCCTTCTCCACGAATCCGCACTTGGCATAGTACGCGCGTAGCTCGGGCGTGCAGTCGAGGATGACCTTGTAGCATCCGGCCTCCTTGGCGATCTCCACGAGGCGACGCACGACGCGGAGCCCGAGCCCGCGGCCGCGCGCGGCGGCGTCGACCACGACGTCCTCCACGTGCCCCACCTTCCCGCCGCCGCGCAGGAACTTGCGCTCCACGAAGAGGCACCCCGTGGCGAGGATCCGACTCTCCGGGGCGGCGGGGTCCTCGGCCACGAGGATGACGTGGTCGTCGCCGAGGGCCGCGAGGTCGGCGAAGCACGCGGCGAACTCGGACGCGGTGAGGTCCGGGCAGGCGGAGAGCTGCGAGAGGAGGGCCACGAATCCCTTCTCGTGGTCTGTCGCCTCCAGGCGACGGATTTGGACGGAACAGCCGGTCTCCGCGACGGCGGCGGCGGTGGAGGGTTCCGGCGAGGTGGATGCCATTTGAGATCGGGAGCTTCTTGGGCTTTGGCCTTCGCAACTCACAAGTGACAGTCCGTACTAGAACGGGCCATGCGGGCTGGTGGATTCCACTGAAACAAACTTGCTAGTTCTAACATGTTCACACAATATTCAGGGCCCAATTGAATCACATGAATAAAAAAACAGAATAATAGGGAAAATTAGAATTTTGGCATGAATACAAGTTTAAGGATTAAGGACCCCTTTCAAACATATGATTGAAAAAAATAAATGAATAGAAAAAAAATAGAGGAATATGATAAGAATTCACGTGTAAAATAGAGGAATATAAAATCATAGAAAATGTATATGAATATGTGTTTGAATGGGGTATAAAAAAACACAAGAATATTTTTACTTAAGAACTTGGCCCACTTTCCATTTCTAATAACTAACACAAATTATATCCATTAATTGCTTGTTCTCCTGCAGTGAAGAAAGAGATTAGGAGCTTGATTGCCTCGAGCCTACGCAAAGCAAGTGAAAAATGAGCTCAGACTGGATGGAAAGTTTCATGTGTTTCTCCCATAGAATCAGCAATGAAGGAATATTTCCTTCAGTTTTCCTATGACCTATTCCTACAAATCAAAGGCTGCTACAGTGAATGAATCCATAGGAACTCACATCTTCTGTTTTTCCTTCGTTGCTCCTTTGTTTCAAAAGAGCTCTAAAACAGATGATTGTAAAATACAGGAAAACGTAGGAATAACCGTTTTATTAGGCCGCAAGAAAAACACCAGAATTTGAGAAGAGATAAAAGACTCAAAGGATTTTTTTTTCCATGAGATTCTACCTCATGATAAAAATGTCCTCTAAAATTTGCATGGGAATAGGCATTTCATAGGAATTTTATAGGATTTTATAGGATTCATTCCTTTGATTTAAAAGGCTATATAGGAAAAATTCCTGTAGGAATGAAATCCTCTAAAATTCCTATGAATTTCCTTTGAATCAAGGGGGGTCTCATACTTTTTCACAGCTGTGGCTTTCTCTCAGGATTAGAATCTTCTACAAATGGTTTAGATTTACGCTTGTATTTTAAGAAGCTGTAGTTATAGAATACAGGAAATGAACTATAACTACGAAATGAAAAACCTAACTTTTTAAGATTTTTATAGGCTAGCTACCAATAAGTTATTTCTTGAATCCTAAGTTTTCTAAATAGGACAAACCATTACTCCCCTTGATACAATGTTTGGTCGGGTTAATATTTAGATCTCTGTGAAAGATTACGATTTAGATTAGCGTTGTAACTTTTTGTTTTTCGCCGGGCCGCGTTGTAACTTTGATAAGTGCAGAAAACATTTACTTCTGCAGACTGATAAGTCATAATACCTTGTGCCATGAGCCCATGATATACGATTATATGTGGAATTCCAGTAAAAGAGTCCAAGTTAATTTCTAGAATGGTTAAATGATTTGTTACAGTAGCTTGAAAAGAAGATACAGGTCAAAAGATTTTGCATGTTCAAGGAAAAAGGGGGTGAAATGATCTAGATATTGCATACCCCTCCGTAGTTGGCTACATCACATGTCCCATTCGTTCATTCAGTCAACTGAAAATAAAGTTAGGATTATACGAGACATACACCTACTCCAATACAACAAAATACCGAAGACTAATTAATACATGGTCCTCCACAATAATTAGCAGCATTTCTCTTAACCTCTGCTTGATGCAACTGTGGTGCACTTTTAGTTCGTTCAACGGAGCATTATTATTGGTCAATAGTGAATGGATCGATATGCGAAACTTGAACGGCAATTTACATCGTTTCTGGATATGTTTTCTAGCTTGTACGAAGTGGTCACTGGACAAATTTACAACTATCTGCATGTTTCATTTTCATGACATCAAACTGATTTCCGTTTCCCTAAACCATATATTCATATCACTACTCACTGATTACAGATTAGAGAGGTTAATAATTGTATATTCCTATTCGCCCCCAGACGACGTTACTGCATGACAGCACGCTACAACCATTTTCTTTTCGTCTGTTCGGCAGTGACGTCAACGAATCCACGTGGACCTGTAAATGAACCATTTTGATTCTGAACTGTTCTGAGAAGAAGATTAGATTCAATACTGCGATATCCCAATGAGAACGTCAGCCATGATAGTGAGGACTTGACGAATGGGAATCTCTGAACACAAAGTGCATCGCCCAAGTCTAAACTGGAATATACAAGTCAATAGAAGATGGTTGGCAATGGAGAACAGAAACTTTTCCTAGAGCTGCTGGGATATACTATACAAACCATGAACATATCAGATGCCATGAACATGAAAGGGTATCTCTATTATCATGTAATAGGGTGGTACTATTGTATTCACTAATTAGCTCGGCTAGCTGCTGAAGATTCGGTTTGTGTTTTTGTTGATAAACATGTTATAAATGCATGCGCTCTCAAGGCGCGGAATAGTGAATACACACCTTATTCTTGTAAGTATTTTTAAAAGATTACACTTATCACTAAATTAAAGTTATAAATATGAGCATATATATTTAGTTTACCGAATAAACTGTTTTCATCGTCAAAAACCTAACCAGTTAAGCTACGAGTCTACTCCCACTTCGTCTGCTTGTGTTTTGGTAGAGAAACGGGGGTTCAGAAACGGTTTCGAGATGACGAGGTCCGAAGAAGCGGCGGGAATCCGGAACTGGACGGCGGTGATCCCTCCCTATCAGCGGCCCCACGCCCGCGCGCGTGCTGTCTCGCTCGACGCATTCCAAGTCGGCGATTTCCCCAATTTTTCCAAGTCCACCCCACCACCGAGAGCCTGCCCCTCTCGCTCTCGCTCGCTCGCCTCGGCTCGGCCCCGTGCCACCCGCTGCCGATAACGTGACCCACGCCTTTTCACAACCACCCCCGCGACGCGGATCGGACGGCTCAGATGCAGCGCCACGACGATCGTGCGGCGCGATGCGCACCGAGTGAGAGAGCAGGAGACGGCAGCGCCTTTAATACCGTCGTCACCGATCGGCTTCCGTTTTTGCTCGCACACGCTGCGCAGCGGCAAAGTCGCGGGAATCTTCGTGGGCTGCTCCGAGCGGCGACGGCGACGGGGCGGCGGTATCTCGCGCGGGGGTCAACACAGCTAGATCTCCCTCTCTCTGCGTGTATAGAAGGGCGGTTGCTGGTGGGAGGAGGAGGAGGAGGTTGAGAGAGGTATGCCCATGGAGCACGGGAGGAGGCAGGGGGTGGTGGCGATAGAGTGCGTGGCGGGCGGGTCGAGGGCGGAGGAGTGGGGGCCCGGGAGCAGCGAGACGGTGCAGACGGGCGACGTGGTGGAGGAGATCCTCATCGGGGTCGGCGGACGCGGGGGCCCCGCGGCGCACGCCGCGCCGTTCAAGGGCGGGCGCGCCGCCGTGCAGAGGCTCCTCCACTCGGCGTACAAGCGCGGGGACACGTCCGTCGAGGTGCGCGTGCGGCGGCCCGCGCACGCGCAGCAGCTGGTGACCACCAGCGGGGAGCTGCTGCCCTCCCCCGCGGCGGGGGCGGCGACGACCACGACGGCGAGGATGCAGGCCTGCATCGTGCCGCAGGAGGCCGCGGTCGGGGGCGGCGGCGCGATGATGGCCGTCGTGGGCCGCAGCCGCCAGTACGTGCTCCGCTCGATCCGTGACCCAAACTACGCCGTCGGCTTCGTCGACCGCATGGAGAGCGAGTGCATCGCCATTCGAGGTACGTTCATACGCCATGTCGTTCCTCCTCATCACGATGCAAACTACTACGGAGAATTAGATTTTTTTTTTCGCTGAATTTTTTGATCCATGTCCGTCCGTACAGCCACTTTCCTTCGGTTTGTGCAAGCTCTAGACCAACCAAGAAAAGTAAAAGTCCGCGACTGAGCTTTCGTTACATGCCATGTTGGACTTTAATTAAAAACAGACAAAGAAGGAGGATAGGGCTCGTGTGCCTTCTGCATACGACTTTTGTGCACAAGTTAACAAGTAGATGGTGGTAGCTTGATAGGTGACACCTTCTTTATCGTTCTCTCTCTCGCGAGAGGAGATCTTTTTGGCGTGATCGATCACGGTATCGTTTTCGATTGGCATATACTTGGATCAATGCTGATTGATAATCAGAAATTTGCCATCTTGTGGTTGCAATACATGGTGTGATTGCTCAGTCTGGGGATATGATCAGAATATCCTAGGTTTGATGTATGACAGAGTCAGGATTGCAAGAGCTGGTGATAACATTGTTGTTGGTGTTGGGGGGTGGAGGGCAGCTGGTTTGTCTGGGAAATTTGAAGTTTCTAGAGTAGCTTGGCTTGCACAAATTAATAATATGGCCATCCATTAGTCCAGGTTTTTTGAACGAATTCCATTAGGTTATTCATGGCTACAATGTTTGTTTGATTGTTTGTTGAACAAAGGCTTTACTAGAACACTACTCTATTTAACGATCCTAATTGCTTCTTCCGTGTGCAAGCTGCGAAAGTCACGGTTGAACACTTTTGAGCTATCATGGAAGAATCCACAGTAGCCTATGGCAGATTACTGGTACTGCAAACCACGCAACTACAGCAATAACAAAATCATAAGATAGCTCGGAGAAAAAAAAATCATAAGATAAGATATTTATTAAGCGAGTTAAAAACCTGGGTAGTTTGCATTTGATGGGTGTTCTGCTTCCACAAGTAAAACAAACACGTCAGTTTCAGATAAGAAAAACACCAAGTTGCTGTAGTCTAAGCTCAAGTTGCATACTTCCAGGCAACAGACACGGCGGTGCACGTTGTTTGGAATCTGCATTTTGATTTCTTTATACAGAACGCCACTTGGCGGTGATGATAATTGAATCTTCCCTCCCCTGACTCGGAAAAAACTTGTCGCTAAATTCCAATGCGATTCAGATTCCCTGGTTGACTTTACTTCCTCAGTCATCTTCCATAGAGTTTTTTTCTTCTTCAAATTTCTTATTGCCGCTCGTAAAACAGTGAGCAAAGATCATGCAGAACTGCATAGAATGCAGCATCTTCTTTTTTTCTTTTTGAGTTTCTGATCTGAACCTGAGAATTGATCGGCATTTTTCTTTTTTCTGTTTTTTTACGGTGACGTCCAGGGTCGAGGAGTTCGAGGGTGGTGTGTGCCCTGAGCAAGGCGCAGCTGCAGGACGGCTACGTGGCCTACCCGTGGGAGAAGAAGATGAGGGAGGCGCTCCCGATCCCTAACTCCAGCAGCTTCCTCTCCATGCTCGTCCTCCCCACGGCGCTCGACCGCGCCGCCTCCCGCTACAACTCCGTCGAGGACACCCTCGCCCGCGCCAACGCCTGGATCCTCTCCTCGCAGTCGTCCGGTGTGCCCATCTCCTTCCTCAACGTCCAGACCGAGGCCCTCCTCACCAAGGTTCCTCAACAGCGATCAAACTTGCCTAGAGTAAATGTTTTAGTAGCTAGTAGGTGTTGTGCGTGACATGCATATCTTGCATGGTGGTGCAGATCTCCGGCGAGACGGCCTCCGCGACGGTCAACTCGGGGTCACTGGCCGACCTCCCGAACCTCGCCAACGCCAGCCTTTACGGGTTCGAGGACTACCACGGCGTGGACATCGGCGTGGTGAAGGCGGTGCGCGTCTGGTACACCGCCGCCGCCGGTGAGATGCCAGTGGAGATCACCCTCGAGGCCGGCGACACCAAGCTCGGCTTCGCCATTAGCCGCACCGAGGAGGTAGTACACCTTTACCGTCATGCCATTCATTGCATCTTGTTAACTCGTCCTTGATCCTGCTCGTGTGATTCGTGTCTGATCAATTGTGTGGATCACTCGCGAACGAACAGGGATTCATCTACATCTCGTCCGTCATGGAGGACGACAGCGGCTTCCTGGCGCCGTCGACGAGGTCGGGGCTGCGCGACCTCTACCGGGAGGCGAAGCGCGCGTCGAAGCTGCTGGTGATCTCCAGGGTGTCCGGGCAAAAGGTCCTCCCGTGGATGGTGTCCACGTCGGGCGCCATCCGGTGCTTCGACACCGTCTCGCTCAGCCAGAAGCTGTCGCTGCACCGGCACGCCCTGCGCCCGATCCTGCTCCACCTGCTCATGTGGGAAGGCAAGTCGGCCGACGCGCCGGCTCGCCCGCACGAGCCCCGCCTGCCGCCTCAGCCGGCGCCGTACCCGGAGTTCGCCGCCGGCCTTGTGCGGCAGGACTCGTTCGGCGGCGGCGAGCTGCCACGGCAGGACTCGTTCGCCATAGGCGAGCTGCGGCGGCAGGGCTCGTATGGCGTCGAGCTGGTGCGGCAGGACTCGTTCGGCGTCGAGCTGGTGAGGCAGGACTCGTTCGCGTGCACCGAGCCGCCGCCGGTGCGGAGAGGAGACCTGCAGGGGAGGGACACGGCAGGGGATACATCCTTCAGGTTCCATAATTTCTCGTTGCCCAACAACTGGGTGTGAATGTGCGATTGAAATTGAACACCAAGGGACAAGTCTCACTGGTTGCTGTACATATGTATACTTCGATGGGGTGGCTTTGTGCTCATACAGACTGTGGAGTGCATTGTAGTGTGATGGAGCTTACATAGAGTATAATTTTGGCCGGTGAATAGTCTTGCTGTTTCAGCGATACTTAGTTCGAACACTGTTGATTGTGTTGGGAGGAGAATAACAGTTTCATGTTTGATTTCAAGTATGAAATTCATTGCCATGGATTGCAAAGCCCATATCTTTCAAACACCTCGTTTGGAAGTTCAACGATACTACGTATATACTTTATTTGCACGATTACTAATACCAATTTGGCACATTCAATAGAGACAACCTATCTTCATTCAAATATTCCATTTGGAAGTTCTTTTCTTCCCAAATGCACTGGAGAATTGTGCTTCATTTCACTAAGAAGAAATATTTACAATTACAAAGAAGGGATTCCTTTGATCAAAGAATCCCTCCTACTAAGAACACATCCCAAAACGGATCACCCACAGGTGAGGCCCGTCCAACACCCCGTTCGGAAGTTAAAGAGTAAATATTTTATTTGCACAATTGATACCAGTTTAGTACATTTGAAGAGAGACAATCTATCTTAACAAGAGGTTTGAAGCATGGACATGTACGGGCTGTGCAGGGAACAACCCAACAGTTTCAGCATGTGAGCCTCCAGCAATGAAGATACATATCAGCCTGGACTGTTGTTCCGTTTGCTGATCATATGAATTGTAAGGTTAACGAGAAATCTGCATAACGTCTAGAATCCATTCTTTCCTTTCAGATTGATTACTGATAGTTCCTGTTCGACGTAGTCGCCAGCACAGATTGGTGGATAACTATGAGCATCGGATGCTTCAGCAAAGTGGCCCAATGGCTTAAGGGTTGCATCAGAAGCAATGTGTGCAAACAGCTATTTACATAAATAGGCAAATGGGTAAGTCAATAGTTCACCAGAGCAAGTAAGATTAAATTGATGGAAGTGCCTCATGAAGTAAATCACATCGAGAAGGAGTGGTTAGCACTTACGGTTGATGAAACCCTCCACAAGCTTCTATTTTGCTCTCTTGCTAATGCTATTGCCTCTAGTGTTCTCTTGGTTACCACTACCTCATGCATTCCAGCTAAACACTCCCCACCAGTAAGCCATTCCAGCTGCAGTTAAAGAACATAAAGTAATTCAATTGGCGAGATGCTTTACTTGCTTGTGTGTTGGTTCATCACATCCAAGTTGTCAGAAATAAGCCCCATCTTTCACTAGCTTACACTCCCAGTTTTCTAGTGTTTGTGTTTCAGAAAAGGCTCAAAATACAAATACAAAGTTTGATTCTATGATTGACAACAGTATCAATTTCATGGAAAACCAGAATTTAGAGATCAGAACAGAAACCAATATGCATACATATGACCTTCTATTGATGCGCGAATATGAACTAATTAAGATACTTGCAGTAAAACTGGCAAAGCTAACCTGTTTCCCTGATTGAATTAGAAGACAGCCAACAGGGACCTTAACTTCCATCTTTTTGCCGTTCCTTAGCCAGATGTTCAGGCCTGGAAATCTACTTCGACCATGTATGGTCAGGAAATTGAGATCATAATGGAACCCAGCAAAAACAGTGCCCTCAGAACCATGCCGCTCAAGGTCACTTCCAGTTGGTGCTAGGAGGTGTGGTCCCTATGAAAAACACACAAATAATCGACCAATGTCAACAGGATGAATGCAGAATGGATCTGAATAATGCATTAAAATGCAGCGTTCATTACATAATTACAAAAAAAAAAACAACTCAATTTCTGTGAACCAACAGAAATATTTTTAGCTAAGTAAACATAATGCTGGGACCTGGTACTGTTTACTTGCATCCTGAGTAGATTAACAAATTACAGCAGGATATTACAGATTGTTACAGCATTACCTCCTTCATCAAAGAGGTAAATGCATCCTTTGGCAATCCAAATCCAACTGCAGCCATCTCAGCAACAACCTATGAAATGACACGGCCGCTTGTATATAATACAGCAACAAAAAACAGAAATTAAATGTAGAGCATGATCTACCTCAATTGCAGAAATCATTTTAGAACCCCAGGAATCCATGGTCTCTTTCCATTCAGGCAATCCATCAGGGATAACAGGTTCCGAATTCAGCTCCTAAACCAGGTTTCTCACAAGTCAGTATAGAACATAGCGAACGACCACACACAATATGCATATCATTTCAGATATCCACACCAAATTAAAAGGATCAAGCAAACAGTCTCAACCTTAAAACGGGTATTCGCTGGGCGAGGACCCACTCTCCACATATACCGCCATTTCGGGTCTGGACCCTTAGGAGTGGCGGGCTGAAACTCCTCAGGCATACTCTTGATCTTGTCTTGCATCTCCTTGTCGACAAGACTGCGAGGTACCTCCACGCCTTCAGGTGTCACACCAACCTTAACATTTGAAACGGAAATAAAGCCAGCATTACAATAGGGACAGACACGATGTTTTGTGCCTGAATTCTCATGGCGATTTCACAATGCAGAGAAGATGGTCTAACAAGTAGGGTACTTTTAGTGATCCTGCCTAATAAGGACCAAATTTAACCCAAACCCTCGCCTTTGATCCCACCAGATTACCTGATAGTGGAGGTTGGGGCGCTCCTGGAGGCACTTGGAGTCGGCGGATCGGGCGAAGTAGTGCTCGACGACGTCGAGGAAGCGGTCGTTGTCGGCGGCGGGGCAGCGCGGGTCCTTCACCAGCAGCGCCCCCGTGTCCCGCAGGCTGGCGCTCACCGTCGCGCACAGCGCGCGCACCGCCTCCTCCCCCGCCGCGCCGCCCCCGGCGACGGCGCGGTCGAGGTACGGCGCGAGGTCCACCAGGGGGAGGTCCATCGGCGGCTGCTGCTGCTGCGCGCGCGGAGAGAGAGAGGCCGAATCAAGTCGTATCGCGACAGGATTGGAATGGGGGATCGGCGGTTTTAAGTAGTGCGAGGGGGAGAAGTGGGAACACAGCTAGCGAGCGAGACAGGAGGGACGATGCGTGAAGCGAGCGAGCAGTAATCCGCGAGAGGGAGAGACGGAAACGCAAACCGGGGGGCGCGCCTGGATAAAAATATTCTCCCAGCCCCCCGCGGTTCAGCCACGTCGCTGACACGAGCAGTCGCAAAAGAGAAATCGGTTCGTTGTTTTTCGGGGGATTTTAGCGGAAGACGAGGACGAGCCGCACGCCGCAGACCAGCAGCAGTCGGCCTCACCTGCCCCCCTCCCCAACGCCGGCAAGACGGCAAGCGCACGGATCGCGCCAATCACCCGCCCTCGCCGGCGGTTCGTGCGCAGGTCGACCGACGAAGAAGCGAGGGGAAGAGGGGAAGGGAATCCGGGATTAGGATTTAGGACCACTGGACTCTGGTGTAGGCGTGTACAGACTGATATACGCTTGAGTTGGGCTGTTTTCGTTTTCTCGGCTCATTCCTCAACGCGGCTAGACGGAAGAAACAAATGAAAAGAAAGTCTGTCGTTCGTCCCTCGATTATAGTTCGAGTATGTTCCTCCTTCAAACTGAGGAAAAAATAGTTACGCGAATAAGATAAAATAACACCTATCCTTAAAAAAAAAAGATAAAATAACACCTTGTTTATACATATGAAAGCAATTGAAGAGCAGACAAAAAGTGTACCTAGGAGGCAGTGCAGGGGAAAAAAAGCAGGAATTGGGGCACGACCACGTAGGAGAGGGGAGGGGCAACCTCGCGCGTCATGTGTGTCATGACCTAAGGTCATGAATAAGATTGGGGATAAAGGAAAAACTCATTTTCCCGCCTATCCTAGAAAATGAGTCCGAACACAAAATGCATGTCTTTTGATGAATAATATTTCTTTATCTAAAATTGTCCTGTCTTGCTACAGGCTTTTGGTCGGTTTATATAGTCCGTAACCGTACATGTGAGATTACAATCTTGTCCCCATTGGGCCCTTGTGAGTTTACAATTATACCCTTGCCATGTCAGCAACTTTAGAGATATTTTGGTACATTTGGGATGTCATTATAGTCTTTTGGTGCCAGCTAGCCGGAGTGGTTGAGAGTGGTCCCATGGAATCTTCTCTTGGCATCTTTATTGCTCGAGTAGTATTTTTCATCTCGGGTAGTCTTTTCCACCTAGAATATTCAACCACTCTTTTCCACTTGCTTAGTCCTTGATATTTTACCTGTCACTAGTTAGAAATGCACTCAAAAGATATTATTTAGCTTAGTAACATAAACTTGTTTGAATAGTACTTTCCAACTCGAATAGCATTTTACCATTTCGCCACTTGAATGGTATTTTGCCATTACTCTACTCAAATATAATTTATCATTTTGCCGCTTTAGATGGTATTTTACCATCCGAACACTTAGAAAAACTCAAGACCTTCTCTATAGTGTTTTGGCCGAATACGAAAGGATGGTGGTGGCCCCATGCTACAACAATGTGAGAGGGAAGGACAGGATGCGCAGGTGTGGGTATAGCGTTGCGGTTGAGGGAGGTGATGCGCCCATTGAGGGACACCTAGGTGTTGGTTGCGGAGAAACGCGGCCTCACGTGTCAAAAGAGAGGGAGAGTCTTGCACCGCGAGGGATACCATGATATAGTTGCTCTTATAAAAAGTCTTATCATATGCTGACAGGTAGGGTCCACTATAGGCCCCTAGTTGCCTCTATTGGATCTTGCTTCTCACGAGGCGAGTCTGCCTCAGTCATATGCCCTTTGCGTCGACTTAGGTACGGACGCTAATGACTTGAGTCGTATGCCCTTTGCATCGACTTGGGTACGGACGCTGATGACGTCTACTGGTCCCACCTATCGGCTTTAGAGAGATGTGTGTGTCGGGTTGTGGTGGGCCCAACCAAGCGATATGATAGTCAACCACATTATCTGACAGCCCACGTTCTCAACTTTCTAGGGGTAATTATGGCCAGTTCTATAGTTAGCATGTCGCCTCTCATACGCAAAAGATGGATTGGTATCCCTCGCATTAAAAGCGAGGGCAGTTGCGCGACGTGAAGCATTGAAGGTTCGCACCCCATCGTATTTATGGCATAGTAGGGGCCCAAGCAGCCACATGGCTCGGGACTCACCTGGTTTAAAACAAGAAACCAAGTTCCCGGTCCCACCTTTCGCTGTCGTGGCCCGATCCCACATGGCATGGTTAGAAAATCCTTAGAGTCCTAGATAGCCAGTAGTGGGGACCTAGGTCCCCACTTTTTCATATATGGTACCTATAAAATAACTTAGAAAAAAATACCCGTGCATTGCAACGGGTGAAGGCTATTTTCATCTTATTATTGTTCACCGTGAAATTCATTGTGAGAATTTGCTTAGATATATATTTTTCTAGAAAATCATGTCAAGTTAGCATGCGAGTCTTTTTTAAAAAGATTTCTTATACGACTCCTTTTGCATTTCCAAAAGCGAACGAACTTAAAGCCCGACTCGAATACGGATATGTATTTGCAAAAGCGAATGAACTTAAAAACGACTCATACACGAATGACATACCAAAGTACTGGCAAAAATATCTTCAATTTTTAGAATAGTAGAGATTCTCTTGTCTATCATTTTGTGCCGTAGACGCTTTTTTTTTAAAGTGTCATGGACACTATTTTGATCCCCAATATTATTTTACTTGTTTATTTTCTTATTGTACCGATTTCTTTACCTTTTCTCATGTAGGGAAACATAGTTTGAGGCTCCATTTCAAAATAACTTTCTAGAGCTTTTATAATATCCTCTATCTAATTAGACCAAATTTTGCAAGAGATCTCACTTCTAAAAGTTTGAAGAAAAGATGCTTTGCTTCAAGAAACAACCAATCAAGCACAAAACCTTAGTTTGATGCCAAGCAAGATATGCTTCTTCACTTGGGTGAAGGTAAGAAATTTTGTTCTTTAACACTAAATAACATCACAGAGGATATAGATGGAATCCGGAAAATACTTGATCCTATTGTGCATATCCATAACGGTGACACCCTTTAGAAGTCTCTTCTCAGATTGAGAGAATCAGTTGTGATTCTAAATCCTCTTCCTCATCAAAAGGAAATCATCACACTATAACACTATAAAGAACATTGTAGCAATGGGGACTCTTGATGTAGAACACAAGATCTATACACCCATCAGTCCTCATCACACATGCAAAACTGTTGGAGAAATAAACATCTTATGTGAATGTGTCTTTATTAAAGAGTTTATGATCAAACCCATGAGAGGGTGAGACAAAGTTCATTATGGAGATTGTCCGCATGTATGAAGCCATGAAATCAGAAGTGCTTGTTTTCAGTCAATATCTTGAACCATTGTCTTTGATCATGGACAGTGGCGGAGGACGGAAAAAAAATACAGGTGTGGTTCATGGACAATTGTGTTAGCAGTAGCACAAAACAAGAATAAAAAGAAAAAAAATACATGCTTTTAGCAATACATCACATGTAGGAATTAGTGATGATAGATAGATATATCATATATGTAGAATCTACGAAACAAATAGTAAAGATTGATTAGTATAATATATTCGAGGTTGATAAGATAAGATAAATATCAACGATCTATCCATTTTCTGATGATGGCCACTTCTTGCTTGCTTGGTGACTTGCTGCTGCACCCTCCACCCTGCGTCCACCCTATGTTGCACGCCTCCTAGCTTGCCACTGTCACCGCCTCCCATGCCATGTCGTCGCGCCATCGCTCGACGTGGATGCCACAGCTCTGTGTGGTTGCACCCAGGAGCCTAGCAGCCACACTTCTCCCGACCAACATGGTTCTTCCTGCCTTCTCGCTAGCGACGCGTTGCCTCCGCCCTCTAGGCTCCGAAGACTTGCAGCAGCCACCAAGGCGCCGATGGGGATGGAGATCGGGGGAATCGATGGAGGTGGAGAATGGGGAAATTTGCCTCTAGATTCAATAGTTAAAAGCCATGTTTACACAAAAACACCTGCTAGCAAATGATGCATGTGCGGATATGACTCGTTCGTTTGATGATGCTTCACTGCGCTTTGTCTATCTCGGTGGTGCCTTGTCTCTGCCCAGAGCCCGGAGCTGGGGGTAGCGGGCAATGAGGTATGGCGAGCGCCACATCTCGCCCTACCGAGTCCTCCATCACTGATCATGGACCAACTTAGTAAAACGTTCGATTGGACTGAAGGTAAGGAGATTCTATTTATGAGTGAAATGTCTTAGTTAAAAATCGAGTAGCCTTCATGGTGTTAGAGTAGGCGTCGAATTAGTCCTAGTAGGTTAAAATTGGACTTGGAGTTGCAAAAGGTTGTTGATGGTGGAGTTAGTGTCGGACTCTGTAACTCGGCGATCCTTTAAGAAGAGTGGACAACGTCGTAATTTAACCATGGTAATGACAATGTAGTGCATGTGCACAAGGAGAGGATGGCGGTGAGGCCATAGACTCATAGGAGCTAGGTGTGCCATCGGTCCCATGTATTGATGTCGTCATTGTGGTTCTAGACCCGGAATCCACGTTCTGACCAAAGCATATGTCCTATTTGGATATCGACAAGTTGACAATGCCACTAGGTTTGCTACTCTCAGGAACATGTTTTTCTCAATATGGTCTCGTCTATATCCTACTACAACCCACCTTTTATCTCTCCATATCCCCTCTCTCTCTCTCTCTGTCCCTTTTCATCCTCTACGTGAAGAAGAAGACCAATAACATGTGGTACGGTGCAATAGTGGTTATCATTTTAGTCAAACTAACTCAATCAAGTCAAGGTTACGCTGATTTGAACTTAATCGTATAAGGACAAATTGTGAGCCTAGGCAGAAATGGCTTGTTTGAGTGATTCATACCATTTTCATTAGAGCTTACACTGGTTTGCTACTTTCCTCCGTTCATAAAAAAAATGTAGGTCATCCACTTTCATTTGTTCTAGTTATTTTACCATTTACATGCTGATCTTTTTTAGGCTTATTTGATGTTGTTGTGCACTACATTGTGCTGAAGCACCCATCGGACCTGTAGAGCTAACATAGAAGTCCATCATAAAAACTGAACCTCAATCTAATCATATAATTTCTATCATAACCTTCTGCTTTCCATTGCAATGCAAGGGTAGTTTGCTAGTAAAATATAAAAGACAAAAAATGATATGGGACACAAAAGAAACATGGTCTTTATTGGAGTACACTTAAAAAAACATATGACAATCTAGTTTATTGGTTATTTCCCATTAGATATCGCGAGTATTATGTTTATCATTTCTTACTGATTCGAAGAGAGAAACTTTGCTAAATAACCAAAATTCCCTTCATTTCGTCCATTCGCTAGTTGGCACTTTTTCTCACTACCGTCCATTCTTTCTCACTGCACTTGATGCTCCCGTGATGCTCCTTCTCGTTTTCTTCTTTGTCCGGACATAGCCCACTTCACATTGCTATTGTAAAGCTAGCCCTTTTCGAAGGGCACTTTGTGTCATTTGACTATCCAAAATGGCAATAAATGACAAACTATTAAGGGCGGTGTCTCATGGCAAAGAAACAAGAGGTTAAAGTATCCATTAGAAAACCCTTGTTTTTTAAATTGTCCTCTAGCAAATACCTTGTATTTTTAGTGTTCTATATCTACAATCGCCATTGTTGTCATCAAGCGTACTGCCTGTTTACTAAGGCAAGAAAGCTAACCACTACATGCATGGATCCACAAGGCCGCTCCTTCATTGCCACGGCCCGTAATCAATAGTTCTTGTTATACCAATGCAATCAATCATCCTTGCTCGCAGTCAACTAGCACTAGAGGTTGAGGATTTGATGAACGTGAATCTCATATGTCGATTACTCAAGAAGTATAAGAAGCATGGTTAGAACATAATAGTGCATTCTTATGTGTAACATTGGACTTTCGATTTGTAAAAAAGTCTACACATAGCTTAGGAGAGAGCTACAAATCGAACGTCCGTTGGTATAAAAAAATTCAGACGGTCAAATGTTTCAGTTGACCGTTGGTGCAACATTATGTTATACATGGTGAAACAAAAAAAATCAGCCTCTGATACATACAAATATTTTGTGAAACACAATTCGAACACATGGTGAAACATATTTGTTGGAGAATGAACTCCTCCACCAGGGGACCGTGAGGCCCCCCTTTGTGAGTTCGGCCAGGGGCAGCGGGAGAGATTCGAGGATTCGGTGAGTGAAGCCGTGTGATGTTGAGGGGGTCGAGCCCCCCAAAGACGATGAGACCAAAGGGGTTTATACAGGTTCGGGCCGCTATGAAGCGTAATACCCTACTCTTGTGCTTGGTTTATTGAGTGTAGAACACTAGTGCTTGAGGTTGCGAGACCCAAGCGCGAGTTCGCTCGAAAGTTCCCCCCTCCACCACTAGGTCTGGACCTCCTTTTATACCTCAAGGGGTTACCACATGGGCCCAACAACCTAACCTAGCTCCGGTGGAGAAGTATTATAATTTTTGCATTAAATGCATGTCTGGTCTCTTGACTTGGGAAGCCAAGCGCACGTCGTCTTGATGATGGGGCCTGTCAAATCTTGCCGCCTGACACGAGGGGTGCCCCTGTCAGTCACCATTTAATGGGTGAAGACTTCTGGGCTCCTATTACACCGGGAAACGGGAGCCTTGCTTTGACCAAAGAGGGAGGACCGACTCCGGCTGGGATAAGAGTATAAGAACCTCTCACCATCATTATTTGATGGGACATGTCGGGCTGCACGTCGCCTGACATACGCGATGGTGCGCCTGACATACTGGGTCCCATCGGTCATTCGACCGGTCACAGACCGGTTGAGTGCACTGCACACCGCATTAAATGCGGCGTGGCGCGACCGCTCGGGTCGCCATAAATGCGGGTAGGTGGACACCTGTAGGCGGACACCTAACCCACCGTACGTGGTGACCTAGAGAGGGGGTCGGGGGAGCCCGACCCCTAGTCACGGGAGGGGGCGGTCGCCGCTCGACCTCGGGCCCGATCCCCCCTCGGGGGAGGGCCACGTGGCGCCTGGGGCAGCCTTCTCCCTCTAGTCTCGGCCAGGGAGTGGCCGCCGCCCTATCTCGGGCCCGACCCCTCTCGGGGGAGGGCCACGTGGCATTGGGGGGCAACCTCCTCCGTCCAATCTCTGGGAGGGAGTGGCCGCCGCCCTACCTCGGGCCCGACTCCCCTCGGGGAGAGCCACGTGGCATTGGGGGGCAGCCTCCTCCAACTAGTCTTTGGGAAGGAGTGGCCGCCACCCCACCCCGGGCCTGACTCCCCCTGGGGGAGGGCCACGTGGCATTGGGGGACAACCTCCTCCCTCTAAACATGATACTCCCGGGCCCATATCACTGACAATATTGCTATCACATATGAAACATTAAGTTTTTATTGTTTGAAACATATGTTTTTCTTTCGTCAGAATATAGTCATGTGATATTTTGTTATAAAGATTTAATTATAACAAATTCAACGGCATGATCAAATCGCTCATCGGATAAATAGTTTAGAAGAAAAAGTATTTTTAAGATCACTAAATACATGCATACATGCATGGTGTGGGGAGAAAGCCAATCGAATGGCGGGAGAGAGTAGTGACGTAAACATCCCATACTTTTTATCGGTCATTTATGAAACATTAGGTTATATATGGTGAAACAAGAAAATTTAGTTATCGAAACATTTAAATTTTTTTATGAAACATAACAAAAACATGTGTTGAAACATATTGCTACCGCGTCTGAAACATTAAATTTTAACGGATTGAAATATATGTTTTTCTTTCATCGGAATGTAATGATGTGATATCTTGTTGTAAAGATTTAATTATAACAAATATAATGGTATGATCATATCATCGATTGGATAAGTAGTTTAGGAGAAAAAATATTTTAAAGATCATTATATCATGTAATGGATGTATGAAGTGGATAGGGAGATAGTAGTTTGCCCATCTGACTTTTTATGATACGTCAGACGTCCGATATTAAGCGTTTCCGCATAGCTTATGCCAAAATTAATTTCCCCAAGTTGCTTTTGTGACGAAGTCTTGAATGGAATGGCTGCACCACGCGACACTCAGGATCGTCATTAGTTAGCGTGACAGGGGTTTAGAGCCGCCTAAACCCCTCCCAAAACCCTAACAACCCCCCTAATCCCTCCCACGGGATGGCTCCACAAGTAGACTACCACAAATACCCCTTCTACATCTCCCAAAAAAAAAACAAAACAAAAAAAACAATCCCCTTCTACAAGGCAGCACACCAATGCCCTCACAAATATCACTCGCATAGTCGCATTACGTGCGCAGCGAATTAAAAAAAAGAAAAAAAATAATGAAAATAGCCAGAGCGCCTCACCCAGAGCCGCAGAGACCAGCGGCCAGAGGGGGAGGGGGCTAGGGGGCTCGCTCGCCCATATAAAAGGCGCGGGCGTCCAGCCGCCACCGCTCTCTACCCAAGCAGCCCCCCTCTCGCGAGGCCAATCATTCTCTCCCTTCCCCTCCGCCTCGCGCCGCCTCTCCTCTCCTCGCCCCCCTCACCGGAGCCGAAGCTTCCCCGCCGCCGCGCGGCAGGTTCGTCTCACTCGCCCCCCCTCCCCCCTCCCCTCCCCCAATCCGTTCTCCTCCCCGGCTCGCGTCCGGCCGAACGGAGCGCCCGCCTCGGGGTCGATTTGGCGAGGGTTTAGGGTTTTTGATTCGACTCCAGATCGTGTTTGGTTGGGGTTTAGCGGCGCGACCCGTGTTATTAGGGAGTCGTTTGTGTGGCCGACTCTGTGGTGGGGTTTGGATTTGATTTGGATTTGGTGGGTTTGGTATTTTTTGGCCTGGGCAGGGAATATGGCGGGGAAGTCGAAGGGCGCGAGGAACAAGGCGAAGGCGCAGGGTGGAAGCCAGGCCGCCGTCGCGGCGGAGCCGGAGGTGCCGGTGACCGATGGAGTCGAGGATGCCAAGCCCGAGATCGAGGAAGTTAGTGAACCTGCCGTCGTAGAGGGCAGTGACACTGGCGCTGAGAAGGAGCAGGGCGATGCAGCTGGGGAAACACAAGCCGCGAAGAAGCCAGCTGAAGGTAATGGTCTCCCCCACTCGATCGTGTTCATATACTGATACTGTATTTGTTTCTTCAAATCAGAAACTGTGCCTTGTAGAATATAGAACATAATTTTAATAAAGCTCTGGTCTTAGAGAGATAAATGAATTGTGCAATACCATCGTGTTAGAGAAATATCTGAGTTTTAGTACTGACAGGCCATCGGGCTAGAGAATTACCAAGTGTGCAGTACTAAGTTTTACAAGGATACAGCTGGTATCTGCATTTTTAGTAATTAAGTAGTTTAGAACGATGCATTTTCTTTTTTAAAAAAATTGTAGGGTAAGGCTAGCTGAGTTCAATTTATGTGGAATGAAGAACACGTTTAATGCTGCTGCTGTTGACTTTGTTTTTGCATTAATGATGATAGGTATACATAGTATCTACTGCAATGGGCAAAAAAGTGTCTTTAGCATTTGTAAGATGCAACAACTGATACTTTCCTGTTCTAACTATTTCAAAAAGCTGTGATAAGCTACAAAACTCTACCTGGATAGAAACTTTCTTGAACTGAGACACTTGTTGGAATACTCTACTTATCTTATTAACAGCATGTCTCTTTGTTTCCACATTGGGCTACCCGTTCTCATTTGATCGATCATGAGGACTTCCTATGTGCTTAGATGTGTTATTAATTATATTTCGTTCTCTAGTGACTTAAGTTCTAACAACCAACCAACCGTTTTATCTCAACAGGGGAGGTTCATCTCTACCCTGTTTCTGTTAAGACACAGTCTGGTGAAAAGCTTGAGTTGCAGGTATTTTATATACAAAGTGTGCTGTGTCTCTCAGTCTGTACTGGTTCTGTGTAATTCGTATCATGATATTACTTACAGCTAAGCCCTGGAGACTCCGTCATTGATGTCAAACAATTTCTCTTGGACGCTCCTGAAACGTGCTTCTACACATGCTATGATTTGTTATTGCACACTAAAGATGGCTCAACTCATGAGCTTGAGGACTATAATGAAATTGCTGAGATTGCTGATATAACTGCTGGTGGCTGTTCATTGGAGATTGTTGCTGGTATGCAATTCAAAATTATCTTTTTTGGATCATTCTCTTCAGTTGTTCCTTTTAAAATTTGACGCAACGATTTGTGTTTTGTTCTAGCGATATATGATGAGAGATCTATTAGGTCACATCTCCGTCGTGTCAGGGAATTGCTATCCCTCTCTAGTCTTCATGTATCACTTTCCACATCCCTTGCTCTTCAGCAAGAATCTGCACAGGAAAAATCTGCAGATACTGCAGGTACAACCCTTGGTTTTGCCCTATGCTGTGTAGTTTATTGATGACATTCTATATTATTAGGAATTTTTTGCATGTCACTGATTAGTTTACTAATTTACACGCAAGTTTTGATGTTCTGTCTTTTCTTTACTTAGGAGATTCTGGGAAAACGGCTAATCAAGAGCTTGATGGGTTGAATTTCATGGAGGACAGTACTGGTGCTGTCATTAATTTGTTGCCATCTGTACCAGCAGAGATCAAATGCGTGGGTAGCATAGTTTTTTCTTCATTTAATCCTCCGCCAAGTTATAGGAGGTAACTCTAATGACCGCATATTCCGCACTTGTGTCATTTATTTGGATACCTTAGAAAGATTGGTCAAATATAAGGCTATTGCTTAGTATTTTGATTCTCCATGGAATTCACAGTCGTTGATCCTTTCTTCAGATTGCATGGAGATCTCATTTATATTGATGTTATGACCTTAGAAGGAAACAAGTACTGTATCACAGGAAACTCCAAATCATTTTATGTGAACTCTAGCAATGGAAGTATTCTGGATCCAAGGCCTAGCAAACAGGCTCTGGAGGACAGCACCCTAGTCGGTCTGCTACAAAAAATCAGTGCCAAGTTCAAGAAAGGTTTTCAATTGCTCTCAAATATTTCCTTATTATGTCAAATGACTACTCTTAAGTTTCTATAACAATAGTCGGGCAAATCTTATGAAGGTTTTCGTGAAATTTTGGATCGCAAAGCATCAGCCCATCCTTTTGAGAATGTTCAGGCCTTGCTCCCAGTGACTTCTTGGTTGGGAGCTTATCCTGTGCCAGGTGATTTATTCAGTACATTCCCTGCTCACAATTTCATTCTCTTTTCTGTTTGTACTAAGGTTTTAATGACTATTTGAAGTGTTCCGCTTCTGGTATGGTCAAATCTTAAGCTAGTTATGAACATGTTTTCTGCCGGCAGGCAGAATGGTTTGATGTGCACAACTATTCTTATGTTGTTTCTACTTCTACAACTATTGTAGCGTTGACTTCAGTTGATATACCCCATAATCATTGCCAGATTCTTTTCAGCTGATTCTGACCTTGTCTGTGAACCTTTCATCCTTCCTATTTTCCGTAGCTCTTTACGTCGATCTTCTTTGCTAATTATTCTTGTTTTTGGGACTGCTATTATTTATTGTAGATTACTCCATGTATTTTGTCTTTTTGTGTAGATGCTGTAATATAGCTTTTATACTCCACATTTTTGTGTTAGCAGAACATAGAAGGGATGCAGCTAGGGCTGAAGATTCTGTTGTGCTGTCATATGGAACCGAATTGATTGGCATGCAAAGAGACTGGAATGAAGAATTACAGTCTTGCCAGGAGTTTCCTCATAGCAATCCTCAAGAAAGGTTGTTACCTACCTTTGCATTCTTGGATTGCCTATTTATATCATCTACAATAAATATTTCTGGCTATTGTAGGATATTGCGTGGCAGAGCACTTTATAAGGTGACATGTGATTTCGTTGATGCTGCAGTTAAAGGGGCAGTTGGTGTCATTAATAGGTGTATACCCCCAATAAATCCAACTGATCCGGAATGTTTTCATATGTGAGTAAGCTCAAATATAATACTATCTGAACTGTTAGCGAAACAATTCTTATGTCTGTGAGTGTTGTTTGGTTTTTGTATGGAATTTTGGACTAGTGTTATGTGAAATTTCTCTCTCGGAAGGGTGTGTGTTGCATGTGACTGTTAGGAACTTCTCTTTTGCACTTGCTCATCAGGTTTGGTTTGAGTCATCTGGCTTAACTGTTTTTTAATGATGTTTTAATTCCCATTTAGAGATGCTTACCTATGCTCTTATTATATTTCAGGTATGTACACAACAATATTTTCTTTAGTTTCGCTGTTGACTCCGACTATGAGCAACTCCCAAAGGACCAGAAGCCAAATGGTCAAAATGGATCTGGCAGAAGTGTGATAGGCTCCTCAGATCCGGGGTCTAAGCCAAATAAGAACCATGCAGATCCTAGTGGCACAACAAATTCAAAAACTGAAGAACCTAATGGTGTTTTGGACAATACTTCTGATGCATCGGCAGAGGCACAGATAGCAGACAGTGAACAGGCTACCTATGCTTCTGCCAACAATGACTTAAAAGGAACTAAGGCATACCAAGAATCTGATATTCCTGGGCTGTATAATCTTGCTATGGCAATTATTGATTACAGAGGTCACAGGGTTGTAGCACAGGTATGTTTCCTGATTACTATATTTTTTTTTATGTTCTACTGGATACCTTTTTTCTCTTGCACATGTTAATTGCAATAATCTTTCTATATTCTTCTGATAAGTAGATACCTAGATTTATACTACCTCTGTCCCAAAATGTAGCAATTTTTAGCACAGTACCTTGTCCCAAAATGAAGCTTTTTCTCTACCTATACTCTCCTATCAATCAATCACAACCATCCTCCATTTAATTTGTTACCTATTTTGTCTTCTCAACCAATCACAACTATCATCCATTTAATTTGTTACATATTTTTTCCTCTCAACCAATCACAACCTTCATACAATCATTTCAACCTACTCTCTTAATACCCGTGCCCACCTAAAAAATGCTTATATTTTGGGATGGTGGTAGTACCCTTTTAGCATGATATATGATTTCATACAGTTTGCTGCTGATGTTGTTATAAATTTGATCATTGCATTTTGTTGTATGTTGTTGTTTCACTCTATCCTTGTCTTAGTTTCTCTCTCTCTCTCTCATAAAATGTGTCCTGTTGAAAATGTTTAACTGAGTTTTTGTTTATTTGCCTTGTACAACTGTACTTGTCTTGTAGAGCATCATACCTGGTATTCTTCAAGGAGACAAGTCCGATTCCCTTCTGTATGGTTCCGTTGATAATGGCAAGAAAATATCTTGGAATGAGTCATTCCATTCAAAGGTTGGCCAATATGTTCCTTTTAGCATGCAAAATATTCTCTGTACAGGAGTAATGAATTTTCTTCAGTATATGGGCTCTCAAAACTTATGTTCTTTAGTTGATGGTGGTGTTATCTTGTTGCTAGACGTCGTACAGTTCACAACTAACGAGAATTTGCAAGTTAATATAAACTGGTTGTTATGTTAATTAAGATGATGTTGCTTAATAATGATCATGATGGGTGCCTGTTTGATATATTTTGATTATCAGTGGTGATGCTAAAACTGCATGTTGTACCAAGTATGGTGACTAAAGAACTATTCTTGATATTTGAATTCTTCGGATACTTATATACTTTTACTTTTGTTTCCCTGTCAAGTTTTTCACAAGCTTATCATGTGGCTTGTTAGATGAAAATTTAATGGTTTGCCTGACTTGTGCACAATTTGATTTTCTATCAAACGGTAATGCAATTTTTGATGTTAGCCTTACTTAGTGGCACTTAATTTCCACTGAAGATCATTATGGAAATTGGAATAGCAAGTCAAGAAAGATTTTTTTTTTGTAGCCATACTTGATTCTTGGTGGTAGTGATTAACCACTCTGATCATGTTATACAGCAGTGGATGTACTCTGTGCCTTGTGGTATTCAAAGACTATCCTTATTTCTTGATGATATCTATTATTTTAGGTGGTTGAGGCTGCAAAGCGACTCCATGTGAAGGAGCATGTGGTTTTGGATGGTTCTGGTAATCCTGTAAAATTAGCTGCTACGGTTGAATGCAAGGGAATTGTTGGAAGTGATGACAGGTCAAAATCTATATCTAAAAACAACAATGTGCTTTTTCTTTTTCTAAATGCTCAGTGGTTCTTTTGGGTGCTGGAGATCCTGTATAAGCTTCTTCTAGGTGTTTTGTGTGTGTGTTTGGGGGGGGGGGGGGGGGAGGGGGTGCCTCTTTTGGAACCTTTATAATTTTGTCAAACTGCCCAAACTTGTACTCAGTGAACACACACTACAGTGCTAATGTTGATATCCTTTTATTGAATAACATGATCCTTTCCCCTTTTCCAACTGTAGGCATTATATTTTGGATCTGATGAGAGTGACCCCTCGAGATTCTAACTACATTGGACTACAGCACCGCTTCTGTGTGTTGAGGCCTGAACTTGTAGCCTCATTCATTGAGGTGAGCTGATCCCGTGGTCTCCCTTTTTCTGCAAAGAAGATGGTTCGCTGGTATATGATCAGTCCTAACTATCTCATATCTTTATGTAAGCAGGCTGAATCCACAAATAAATCCACTACACAGAAAGTTGCAGATGCTCCTGGAGAATCTAATGGGCAATTGGTAAGTACTTCTGATGCTACGGTTGGTGCAGAAATTTATTATGGAATACTTTGTGTTTGTTCAAAAGCATTCATTCCTAAATTAGTGTTACAGTCAAGTCAAACTGGATATGCTATTTTCCTTTATAACCTAAAACACATTGCCACGTTTTTATTTCTCACTTTCATATCTTCCCTTATTCAGTTGCATGGTAATGATTTGTTTGTCTAAACTCTAAAGTTCTAACTTATCCAATATCATGAAGCAAAATGATTTTCCCATTTTTATTTAACAGTTTATGGGTGTTCAATTTCCCTTGTGGTACTCATATGCCTAAAATTCTTTAAAAAAAATGTGGTTATTCTTGTTTCAAATATGCAAACTGGAAACTTAGTCCACCTATTTCAGGCTACAACTGCGGAAGGACCTGCCAAATCTGATGAAAACTCTGTTCCTAGACCTGATAAGTTTGATGAAGACTCTGGTCCTAGACCTGGCACATCTGATGACAGCTCTGCTACTAAACCAGCTGAACATAACGAGTCAACTGCAGAAATCCTTTTTAATCCAAATGTGTTTACAGAGTACAAACTTGCTGGTAGTCCAGAGGTTAGTCTTAGAACTACTCCCTGCTTGATATCCCTGCTCTAATTTATTGACAGCCTACTCTTTGCTTTCTTAGGAGATTGCAGCAGATGAAGCATTGGTTAAAAAGGTTGGTTCGTATCTTCTAGACACGGTGATACCAAAGTTTGTTCAGGATCTCTGCTCCCTAGATGTCTCCCCCATGGATGGGCAGACTTTGACTGATGTGCTGCATAGCAATGGGATAAATGTTAGGTATCTTGGCAAAGTGAGTCTCTGAACTGATCCAGCTGGATGTGAGTTCATTGCATTTTATGTATAGTATGTTCATTATCTAATTCCTTTCTCAGGTAGCTGACATGATCAAGCATTTGCCACATCTACGGGGTTTGTTGTCTTCTGAGATAATTGTTAGGTCGGCAAAGCATGTGGTCAAGGTGATAGATCTATCTTACCAGCTGTTTGTTTTTATGATGGAAATTCTTTGCATTTATTTCTTTAATAATTTCTAAAGGATGAGTCATACTGTCACCCAGACTCATCCTGCTGTCCATTCAAACAAATGTTATATGGATAAGATTATTCATCAAAATGCATAACTTTCCTGTTTTACCACGTTTAATAAGAAGTCATTGGAAAAACTATGCCAATTTGTTGACCGTACTGTTTGTTGTTCCCATCCCAGGAAATACTTAGGCAAAGCGCAGATCATGATATTGGACCAGCCATTGCTCATTTCTTAAATTGTTTTATTGGCAATGTTTTGGCACCTTCCACAAAAGGTAGTGTTGACAGTACGGATACAAAAACCCAAAAGGTATGCTATTCCACGTGTAAGAAACTCATGTCATCACTTGTATTCTAACTGCAACTAATGGCTATTCTTTTGGATTTTCAAATTGGTAGGGTCATGAGAAGACTCAAAATCAAAAATCTGCCGAGGGACAGAAATCAAGCCTTTCTGCTTCTTCAAAGAACATTGTGCCAACATTTTCCCATCTAACATCTGATGGGATTTGGTCTAACATTAAGGAGTTTGCGAAACATAAATATCTGGTAGTGGCTATTGCTTCTTTTGTTTCCGTAGTTTTCTATAGATGCCATCAATATAACACTCCTTTTATTTAGTTTGAAGTGACCGATGATGCTAAGACTGGTGCTAAAAGAGTTGCAGTACTCCGCAATCTTTGCCAAAAGGTTTGCTTTGTTCAGCTCTATATTCATTGAGTTTGCTATTCTCTTTCAGAGAAATGTTTAATAGTTTGGCTGCAAGTAGTTCCAACAAATAATTCTTATGTGCTCTTTTGGTCAATTGTGACATAATCTGCATAATAGGTGGGAATAACAATTGCTTCTCGCAAATATGACCTCGATGCTGCAGCTCCATTCCAGCCTTCAGATATCCTGAATCTCCAACCAGTTGTCAAGCATTCTGTTCCTGTATGTACAGATGCAAGGAATCTTATGGAAGCAGGGAAAATCCGGATGGCTGAGGTATGTATGGAGAAAATCCAGATATAATTTTCCCGTGAAATTTGTGATAACATGTTTTGATGGACTCATCTTATACTGATTAATGCTTCCTCTGTTGACAAATAAGTGTCATTTTGGACAGTGATATGTACACCAATGCACTTCTTTACTTGTATAGAACCTATAAAAAATATATATCATAGCTAAATTGTTTTGAAACTATTTTGAAGACAAATCTAACCATATCACTTTTAATAGTTGATTTGAAATGTTCAAAAGATGCTTGTCACTTATTTTTGTCTGGAGGGAGTATCCTGTTTAATTTTCTGTACTCGTGGATTTTACAAATTTTTATACCTGCATTTCAGGGAACATTGAATGAGGCCTATGCACTATTTTCTGAAGCTTTTTCACTACTTCAACAGGTATGCATCACAGCTATATTACGGCAAAAACGTGGATATTTGATTTCTGACATTTATTTATGACCTTTAACAGATTACTGGTCCCATGCATAAGGATGCCGCAAACTGTTGCCGGTAACACATTAGCTTATTTGTTTAGGCATCTGGCATTTTCTAGATTTCTCTTTTTGTTTTTATGTACATAAGTCATCCATAATAAAATCTTTGGATTTTAATTTGTTTTCCCTTTGACTGAAGGTACCTTGCTATGGTTTTGTACCATGCTGGCGATATACCAGGAGCAATTGTGCAGCAACATAGAGAACTTATCATAAATGAGCGATGCCTTGGTCTAGATCATCCTGATACAGCCCACAGGCATGTTGTTCAATTTCAATTTTTCTATAGAATTTTGATCTTGTCCTTGTTGTGAAGCTAAATTTCACGTTATTGATACAAAACTGACCGCCCATCCTAGATCCCAACATCTACTAGAAATCTTTAAACCAACTAGAGAATGAATGTATCTTTGTCATATGTGATATTAATTTACAACATCATTTTCTTTCTTTCAATTTGTGCAGTTAATATCTTTTATATTAACTAACCTTGTGTGTTATTTTCTTTTTCAGCTACGGTAACATGGCTTTGTTCTATCATGGGCTTAATCAAACTGAACTTGCTCTGCGTCACATGTCTCGCACGTTGCTTTTGCTAAGTTTAGCATCAGGTCCTAATCATCCAGATGTTGCAGCGACTCTTATAAATGTTGCAATGATGTACCAGGATGCTGGGAATATGAGTACTGCTCTTAGGTATCTTCAGGAAGCACTCACAAAGAACGAGAGGCTTCTAGGACCAGATCATATTCAAACAGCTATCTGCTATCATGCCCTTGCCATTGCATTCAGTTGTATGGGTGCATTCAAACTTTCAATTCAGGTCAGTTCACCAGAAAGATGATTGGTAAAAAGAATACTTTGAAAACATTGATCTCATGTATTGATTCTGATGGCAGCATGAAAAGAAGACCTATGATATACTGGTGAAACAATTGGGGAGTGATGATTCAAGGACTAAGGATGCAGAAAGTTGGTTAAATACATTTAAGTCGCGAGAACAGCAGGTATAAGTTTAAACTGTATTTGGATTTGTGATACTTTTAACAAGCATGCAACATGTTTTATGTATGGCATAGTATTGTAGTTTTGTATTTTCTTAAGAAAATGTATACGGCTATTTTTTATTTGGTCCTGTATCTCTTGTACATCTAATATACTCCCTCCGTTTCACAATGTAAGTCATTCTAGCATTTCCCACATTTATACTGATGTTAATGAAATATGAATGTGGGAAATGCTAAAATGACTTACATTGTGAAACGGAGGAAGTACCAAGTAATGCAATGCAAAACCTTTGTGTAAGAAAATCTTCCATTCTGCTTTGCATACCTTTATCTTCATGCTGGATCCGGTTTTGCATTGTCCATCGAAGACGTAACTCTCATTTTGCTGTACAGGTGAATGCCCAGAAGCAAAAAGGTCAGCAGGGTACTAACCCACCTGCTAATCCTATTGAGTTGTTGAAGGTAAGTTTAGTTGCTGCAATCTTGAAGTCTTTACCGTTTTGCCTTTGATACAACCCTACAATTCCAGGAGAATAGATAGCCGTAGACTCGTAGTTCCTTTTTAGCTTGTCATAGGAAGTACAGAGTGAAAACCTCCTTTTGAGAATCTGGCAACATTAGTGTTGCATCAGATGATGTTGATTGAATTGACTGGCAGTATGATTGAATTGACATTCTCTTGTTTTAGTTATGGAAGCTTTTTGCCCCAATATTTGTCCCTATATTGTTTGTTTGCTATTCTGTACATGGATTAATCCCTGGCACGCTTGGTCGTTTGAAGGTGATGGTACATTGCCACTTTTTTTTGGGTTTCTCCTTGTCACTGTTAACGAAGTATATGTATATGGCTATTAGACATCTCAGTATTTTGTATTTGGTTCTTTTGACATCCAGTTTTTACCTTATGATTTGACAGGCAAATCCTGATTTGGTGAGAGCACTGAAGGCAGCTGCGAAACAACCTGGTGAAGGATCAGCAAATGTCAACCGATCACTTAATGCTGCAGTAGTTGGTGAAGGTGTTCCTCGAGTAAGAGGAGTTGATGAGCGGGCTGCTCGGGCAACTGCAGAAGTTCGGAAGAAAGCTGCTGCCAGAGGCCTTAATGTGCGAAGCGGGCAGGCGCCTGATTACATGTCTAATCTATCTCAAATTCTCAACTATCTGGGCTCGGCGAAGGCGCCTACTGCTTCTGGTAGCACTCCAGCCACTGCCGCTGCTACTTCCGCTACTGCCAGCACTCAAAATGCATCTGAAGGTCAGCAATCGAATGGACCCCCACAAAACGGCACTGCAGGGAATACCAACGGGCCATCGTCTAAAAAGTCCGGTGGTTCCACACCAGTAGGATTAGGGACTTCCTTGGAGTTGAAGAAGCAGAAATCAAAGCAGAAGTCATAGAAAGTAACATCAGTGGTAGGTTTATTTCCAACAATTTTGGAATTCTAGGGTGCTTTGAGTTTTTTACCCACATAGAATTGTCACGCCAGCATGGTGGCAGAGTAATTTTGTTTGTTTTTTTTGAAGGGGTTCTTAGGATGAGTTCAATAATAACAAACGAGAATGAAGTGAAACAATTGTTGTGACATTGATAGACTACTGATGATGAGATAAAATGACTAAGCATTCTGCCTTCACACCAGAAAGCTGAGTCAAGTTCGTTCGTTCATAAAATTATGTCGTTTTTGCTGGAATCGTATTTCGGTACTGCCTAGCTTAGTTGGCAGAAAAAGAATGTCCATGATTTGGTATTGCCTATTTCTTCATGCTTTTTGGATTGTAGGACCATTATCCAGCATTGGACTGTGTCAGAATAACAGTTTCATCTTCTTGAAGGTAAGAGGTAGTACAACGATTTTGCCTTCTTCAAGGAGATGCAGTACGCAGGCAAAATGTGCTACGCTAATTTCGTTTTTGTGTACATTTGCTACTGAATACCATATACACTAAAATAATATATACATGCAAGTAAGGAGTTACTTTTTTAAGTGTCACGTAGCAAAAATTATATTTTATTAAAGATCATGTTTTTTTTTTTTGTCGTGTATCAAGATTTGGCCACTTCAAAGAAGAGATGATGACGTACAGTATCTCATACCAGAAGTTTTTTTTTTTACTTCCTCCGTTTCACAATATAAGTTATTATAGCATTTTTCACATTTATATTGATAGTAATAAATCTAAACATATGAATACGGGAAATGCCAGAATGACTTACATTGTGAAACGGAGGGAGTAGCAAATTTTGTCACTTCAAAAAAGGGATGATGAGGGACGGTATCCCATACCTAAAGGGCTGGAACAAGATAGTTACATTTGCTGCTGAACACTATCAGCATTAAATAATAGAGAGTACAATTTATTTTGAGTGCCATGTAACAAAAATCATATTTTGTTAGCATGTGTTCGGTTTGGGGATCAAGTGGGATGTGTTAGGTCCATCCTAGTTTTTTTTAGGATGGGATGGTTTCATTTATGTGTTAATGATCTTTTTTTTTTAGTTTCAGAGGATGTGGCCCACATGTCAAGAGGAAGTGGATTAGATTGATCCACTTTTGAGGGATGGAGCTAACCAGATCTAGAGGGAATTCCTTTAACGGATCATTCCACTTGTTCCAAGCCAAACACTATGAAAAACGAGTTCTTTATAATCCAACCCATCATATCCCTCCAACTAAACGCATCATCAATGATCATGATTTGAAAGGACCTTGATGTCGCCTAGAGGGGGTGGGGGAGGGGTTGAATAGGCGTTCCTAAAAAATTACCACAACTTCATAGCATATTAGATAGATGAGAACTTTCGGTTCAAATCGGAACTTTTGGTATGGGATTGAAAGTTCCGATCTCAACCGAAAGGTTCAGCGGATAACGGAATAAAACACTAGCTATGGACTTGTAGCACGAATAAACAAAATGTATATGAATCAAAAGGTGACAAATAAGATATCTAAGCAAGATATAAGGTCACCAACTATATTAATTAAGCATGCAAGTAGATCAGGCAAAAACAAGCTCAAGCACAATATGAGAGATGGCAAGAACGAGCAAACCAAGAGAGGAGACACGTTGATTTGTTTCCTGAAGTTCGGATCCACGGATCCTACGTCTCTGTTGAGGGGCCACAAGGGCCGGGTCTATTTCAACCCTTTCCTCACGAGGTTGCACAAATGCACTCATTGGTTTCACTCTTGATTTTCTTCTCTTGCGGAGGCGAAAGCGAAGCCTTCACAAACTTTCCGTGGTACACCACAACCTTGGGTGCTCACCGGCGACGCCTAGCCGTCTAGGAGACCTTAGTCCCCAAGAGTAACAAACACAATCGAAGATTTGCTTGCTATGAACTCGAGTGCTCAAAGTATGGAGTGAAGCTCACTAGCTCTTAACTTCTCAATCTCTCAATCCAACTCTCTTCCCTTCTCAAATCCCCCTCACAAAAAGGCACCACAAAGGATGGGAAATGGGGATAGCTATTTGGGTTTGGATGTATCTAATGTTGCCCAAGAACAGCAGCCACTCATAGGAGGGGTGGAGGAGTTTATATACCCGAGCCCCTCAAAAACTAGCCGTTGGAGGCAAAAGACTGGAATTTTCGAAACTTACGAAAATTTACATAAGCTAAACTCAGTTTTGCAACCATTTTTGGAACTTCCGATAATTTTCGGAACTTCCGAAAAGCACAGAGTAAAACGACTATAACTTTTCGCTCAGGAGTCCGTTTTTTATGATCTTGGACTCTATGGAAAGCTCACTCAGAGGACGACCCAACTCAACCAAAAACAACGCCTAAAGCCACTCAAAAGATAGGTTAAAGCTTGGGTTTCTCTTAAGCTTGGGTCACTTTGAGCACCGAGACATACATAAACACATCGACGTTGCATCCCTCTTAATAGTACGGCATTCCTAAACTCAAATGTAAATAGGAAGAGAATTATACCAATAGGAATGCCTTCTTTCCATCTTTCTTTCATTGTCTTTAGGGACGCCAATGCCATACCGTTTCACCATATATTCTTCAAATGATTAATGTGGTTACTTCAAATGGTCCATCATGACAAAGCCGTCACTCGTCCTTCACCACCGGATTTGGTTCTTCGGCGCCAAGCCCCTTGCTTGCCCTTCACCGCTGCATGGTCCATCGCGACCGAGCATCGCTTACCCTTCACCGTCTTGCCATAGTAGCCACTTCGTATCCCACATCTTCAATATCTTCACTTTGTCATTCTTGGTATCGTTAGGTGTAATGATATCACTTGAGCATCAACACCTTTGTAATCCTTGGGACCTATTTCTTTCATTCAACTCAATAAAATTATTAGTCCCAATGATCCGGTTGTCAACATCCACATGTTGACCAACCGATCGCATGTATAAAAGGATATAAATAAATGATGAGTATCAATCAACACCACAAGTGTCATATCTCAAACATATGCTCACATGTAAAGATCTCAATTAAATGAAATTTAATAACTTGGATCAATTACATGCATAACTAAAGTATAGGATTTGCTCCCCCAAGATGTATGCATACAAAATGTTTGTGTCAATCAAGAGTATGCATAAAAAGAAGGAAACATTAGGAGCTAATCCTATATAAGAATAGAAGGCATTTGTCAAATATAGGCATTAAAATAAAGGTATACCTTCATCATCTTCATGTTCTCAATATAAAGAGACTAAACAAGAGAAAAGACTCAAACAAAACATTAGTCTCACATGCATATGTCAATCACGTGGAAATATTATATATGAACATATCAATATGTATATGGAGAGAAAGAGTGATACACATAGCTTGATCTTCATACATTTCATCCTTGTGATTTAGGTCCACCATCAATGAATGATTCTATCTCAACTCATATGAAGTCCGGGAATCACCTCTCACACACTCCACTTTCATATCCACATGAGACTGGGCAAAGAAATGCTTATAAAAACATTAGTCTCACATAATTGGATTTGTCATTAATCATCAAAACCAAATTAATGGCTCGAACTTTCATGATTTTTGGGTGTCCATAACAAATTTTGCCATCTTCAAAGAATAGATGTTGACTGTTGAGGGACTTCCCATACCTTAAAAGGGTGGAACGAGATGGTTGATATTATAATGATGTCAACATATCTGATTTGGTCTTACATGTGGTATTTGAGTGGTACCAGATTTGATATTTAAGTATCAGACATGGTACTCTAGAAAACAAACGTGCTACCTATGTATTATGGCCTGATACCTAGCATCGCTAGAGGCGAACGCCGTAGTACATGCAGAGAGAAATGATCTCATGGAGTGGCCTGGCACAAAGCTCAAGTCACCCAATATGCATGCAGAGCGCCTTGTCACCTATCGAGCAGGGTGCGCCACCACGCGCCTTTCCTCCCTCGAGTTCACCATGGTCATCACAGCCAAGGAAGAAACTACTGTCGCTTCCACGAACACTCGAACATAACAATGTGGCTCGATGGGGCCGACCTGGATAGAGCATGGTTACACGGGAAGTCTTTGAGGCAAACCGTCGGGCAGGCAGCATAGGGCACGGTGATGATGCGTGGGAAGGCGACGGAGACGTGTCCATGAAGAGATCGCTATAGTGGAGGTATGCCTGCGAGCAACACGGGGAAGAAGAACGTATCACTTCGTTGCATAATTTATCCTGTCTATATGTCCCACTTTCTTAAGATTTTCGGGTGAATTTCACTTTGGGCCCTCTTTTTTTTTCACTTTGGACCATTTCTAGGGCATGTTTGGATAGCTTAGGATTACAAAAAGCAACTAGTTGGTATTCCCTCCGTTTCATAATGTAAGTCATTTGTAGCATTTCTCATATTCATATTGATGTTAATGAATCTAGACATATATATCTATCTAGATTCATTAACATCAATATGAATATGAAAAATGCTAGAATGACTCACATTGTGAAACGGAGGAAGTAGCTAGCTTCCGAGAATCTAAAAAACTAGGTTTTCTAGTTTCTAGCTTCTGGTTTTCTAGTTTCTAGCTTCTAGTTCATTTTTTAAATTATGCAACTATAGCTTATCAGAATCTAGACGAAAAACTAAACTATTTGAGAAGCTTTTGATTCTGGGAGAAGCTGTAGCTATGAGAAGCTTCCCAAACGAGCTAGTTCAGGGCCAGTTTGGTTTGAGGCCTAAATTAGGCTTGCTAATTTTTTGGCAACCTCAACAATAATTGTGTATGTTTGGATTGAAGCCAAATTTTGGCATGCCTATATAACATAGGCCATTTCAATAGCCAAATTAGTTAATTTGGCTTCAATCCAAACACATGTTGGCCTTACCTGTCATGCCAAATTTTGGTAAGGCCAACATTGGTCACAAACCAAACTGGCCCTCAATCTTTTCACTTTGGACTAGCTAAGTTTATGTTTATTTCACTTTAGATCACCCCCAAACCTCCACTTTAACACATCAACGACCTCCAGGATGTTGACTGTGGCACGCTAATGAAATCCTCCACCTAGGATAGACATGTCTAGAGAAAAGAGTCGGCATGGTTCAAAGTGTAACAAACTAAAGTTAGATAATCTAAAGTGAAAAGATTGAATTAAGGGTGGTCCAATGTGAAACTAAAAGGTGGCCCAAAGTGCACCGCACTCTAGATTTTCTGATTTCAAACGGGAGGACCAGTATCCCAGTATGAAAATTTCAGTATCACATGATGTTCGAGGCTAGGAAATAATTATTGTGATTTATGATCATGAGAAAGCAAGCAAAACCAGATGTTTCAAGCATCGTGAAGGCGTTTATTGTGATCGATGATCACGATAAAGCAAGCAAAAATATTTATTCCGAGACTGTTGTATAGGTCTCTCTCGAGCACAACAATGCCAAGGATTTGCAAAGGAGCTAGTACATCAACAAAACAGACATGAAAGTAAGCATCAGCTTCAAAATTCACCGAGCTGACGGTTTTGCAGGACTTGGGCTACACGTACAGAACTTCAGTCAATGAGCGGGCTTATTCTCGACTGTGTAGGGATAGTACTCTTTGCCATTGTCCACTCTGGTAGTGTTGCCGCCAACGTCCAGCGCAGCAGATGTAAAAGCCAGGCAAGAACCAGCTATGAGCGCAGAAGGGATGCTCCTTCCTGCCAATTGGGCATTTCCAGATTAACAGACATGAGTCTTTCTAGCCAATATACTGAACTATAAAATTACTAATTGATTGGTGAAATAAAGACAAGACTATTACAAATACGATCATTACATGCTGGCTTCGTAGATAACCATTGATTGATATGCAGAGGTAAAAACAAAGTTAACAGTTCGTGAGATGTCTGAGTACTACCCCTTTAGTAAAACTGATACACATGGAACAGCTGTTCAGGTACAAAGCAAGAACATACTACGCACAGCAGAAAAATATCATGGGGCACCTGTTAAGAATCCCCTATAAAAATTTTCATTGGGCATCAAGTGTTTGTAAAATCTGGATTAGTCCTACTTAGGTTCTTTGTTTGCAATAAAAATACAACCAATAGAGCATCCGAATAGAAAATGATCAAGCCAATGACATCATAATATCATTCTAAAGCACATTGTCAGCTGATACTAGCCAATGACATCATAATATCATTCTGAAGCCCATGACACCACAGCTTTGTCTACTTTACCACAAGAAAATGCTTTTTTTTTGGGTTGAATGGTAAACATATGCCATTATTCAAAGTTGTCTCTAACTTGTTTCATAACAGTTATCTCGTGATGCTAATGAGTTCCATAAGCCTAACTGGCTGTTAGATCTAGTCTAGCATCATCTAGAAGAAATTATTGCATAAGATAAATATCTTATTAACCTCATAGCAACCTCAATGCAAGATTATCAGGCAAACAAAAGTACTTTTATGGTGAGGATTAGCTCATGCTCCTGAAAGCATAGCCTGTTTAGAATCCATCTTATGTTTAAAAAAAGGGAGCAAAAATAGTGTCAAATATTTCTAACATATGTTTGACCCGTATCTGTCCACACAATAACTCTTACTGTGTAGTCACCAGAAGCCAATTGATATAGGAGCACAAACTATGCCATCATCCAAATTTAGGATGAACCAATCCAAAATGCTCCAGGTATCTAATGGTGGTTCCTTGATCAATACAACCTAGGTTAGTCACATGTTTGTCCACATATTTTCTGTGCATAAGCATGTGACTAGCAACCTATATCTCTACCACACCCACCAAAAAATGGTCAGCCTAGTATAGCAGCTAACTCAAGCAGTCAACATTTTTGAACGAACGTGTTCAATCCTAGATGGAAATGATTCTCATGGAACTATTGTGCATATAAACTGTGTTTAATCCTAAAAGTTTTGCGCTTACGTGTAGACCTTAGTGATACAGGAACCAGCGCGACGATATTTTTCAATAAGTTAACATGACCAAGGTAAAAGGGTTCCTATATCTTAAGGTAATAGTGTTGATGATCTATGGAACACGAAGTAAATATTATTGAATCATCCAATTTCAATCTAAGTAGAAAAGTCCATAATGTAAATAATCTAGCTACCAGTTAGGGTTTAATCCGCCTGAAAACACACAGAACACAGACACTAGCAAGTGTGAATGAATGCAAACGTGAATGTGTTGAACAGGGCGAGCAGCATCAGCTAACCTTTGTAGCCGAATATGGTGGCGCCGGCGACGAAGGCGCCGACGGCCCCGTTGACGTAGTCGTTCTTCTTGCGCTGGCTCAGCACGAGCTGCTCGACGCCGATGTAGAGGCCCCCGACGGCGGCGAACGTGGCCCCGTAGCTGCCGCACATCTTGAGCGTCCGGATGAGCCCCGGGAGCGCGACGTGGCGCTCGACCCGGGGCACGTCGTGCCATGTCGCGACGACCGTGCCCCAGATGGTCCCCGCGGCCAGCCCCGTCGCCGCGGCCTTCACCGTCTTCGTCACCGGCGTGTCCTCCTCCAACCCCATCCCTCCCTTCCCAACACCAACCCGCCCGCTCCTCTCCTCTCCACTCCCTGCACGAACAGTAACGTGAGCCAAACCCCCTAGAAACGGGATCGAGATCTGGTCGATCTGAGCCGGAGCGACGCCCGCGGCGAGCGGCGGGGACAGGAGGCGGGGCGATCGAGCGGAGGCGACAGCGCGTGGCTTACCTGGGGGGAACCCTCCGCGGCGCTTGCCGGCGGCGAAGGATCAAAAAATTGTTGGGATTTTCGGGGGCGGAGGTAGTGAGGTAAAAATGGGGGAATCGCGGCGTGGTTGGAGAGGAGAGGAGAGAGGGGGTGGGAGGGGGGACGGGGCGGCGTGGTCTCACTCGGCTCGGCCTCGGCGGCGCTCGCGGCTCGCCCGCTCGCCCGCTCGGCCGCAACGTTGGCGCGGGCTTGAGCCTTGGGCCTCCTCCCTACGTGGGCTGCCCACTTCGGCTCGCGCGTGGCTTCACGGCCTCACGGGCCTTTCACTCGTGTCACGGGCCTCACAGCCATGACTGATTCGTACACTTCAATGAAACTGAGTTTGTATGAGCATAAGCTAAAATATGCAGTAGAAACCATATTGAAAACCTAGGTATTATTATAGGATATAAAAATAGACGTCTCAAATTTATCCATATCATTATAAGTAAAAATAAACTCACGATGACATGCACAAATCTTAAACGTTCATTTCTTTTTCCTACAATAGTTTTAGGTTTTCACAACATATCTATCCGTATAAGTTGTGTGCCTCAAAATTACGTACTTTTATCCATTTGATTTTAAGATCTGTGCTTAACTCTATCTTTTTCTTTCTTTATGCTTAACTCTCTGATCTCTCACGCGGAGGTAACTGTCAAATATGTATGCGGAGTGTTCCACTGTTTTGGCATGGAAATACTATGAACTTTGGAATAGTAGTATGGCAGTCAATCATGGTGGTTTTTGCAGCACGTGGAGTCCCATATCTATTTGGCTCCTTCCTTGGGTAGCCGTCACCCCGCTCTCCCCCGAGATGCAGAGTTGCCCAATGATGCCGCGCCGGGGCCCGAAACCGGTGGAGACGCAGACGCGGGAGGTGGCGGTGGCGGCCCCCGGCAGCCGAAGTCGCCAGCGATCCATCATGATGTCGCGCCCGCGACCGCGCGACAGCATCACCCAGACACACACCCCGTATTCCCCGTTCCGGCTGCCACCGCTCGCGGCCACGTCCCGCGCCGCGCCGCGCACGTCCCTGCCACTCACTCCCGTTCCGAGAGACCGCCGTGCCGAAGTGCCAACCCACCGCGGGCGGGGCATGGTGATCTCGCCGTGGTTTTCCCAACCGTCTACGCGGCGCGGTGGCGTCCGTGGCGTGCGGCCTCTCTTCCAGTCACGAGCGGTAAAAAGTGGCGCGGCTTTGCCGAAAAGGCCCCAGCCGCTTGGCTTGCCTGCCGCCCGCTCAGCTCCCGCGTCCCGACCGGAGACGACACGAGGGCGGGTCAAGGCGACCAGACGAATCGGCGCCTCTGATGAATCGCGCTCTGCTTTCCTCTGCGCTGATTCTACAGTGAAACCTGCATCGATGCCACGTCTCCGTGCCAAACCTCGCCGTGTCTTCGGCGTGGTTTAGTTCCCAACTTTTTCTTCAAACTTCTAACTTTTTTATCACATCGAAACTTTTCTACACATATAAACTTCTAACTTTTCCATCACATCATTCTAATTTTAACCAAACTTTTAATTTTAGCATGAACTAAACACACCCTTCTAGCTCTAGATGATTATGGTGCGCGCTCATTGCAGCCTGATGCCACTGCTGGGCATGGCAAAGCGAAATGACCGACGAGATGCTTATTATACGTTGGATCTGTCCTCAGGATCAGCACATGACTGGTAAGGTTAGTTTGGTGCTACCGTGGTGGTGGCCCATTAACCACGTTTCCAAGACCAGACAGTGCTTGCTTTAAAAATACTCTTAGCCACTGAAACCATTAGCTTAGTTTTGACTTCTACACTTAACGCCCTCGGTTTATTTCTCAGGTTTAGTACTCAGCCGACACAAAAACGTTTGTAAATACGGCGCTATCAAACAGTGATACAATTCAGATGAGTTTATACCAAAAATATTCTATTTTTGATGCAAAAATTTGGTTTCGAAGTACTCCTGATGCAACCCAACCCCGCTCTACATATATAATGGTAGACCAAATTCGGTTTTACACTTGTACATATATACATAAGCAACTGTACTGTGCTGTTTTTCTCAAGTATGAATGTGAAATATGACAGTATCCAAATGGAGATAAAAATGTTTAGAAATACAGCTCTAATTAAAAAACAAACAGACTGGATTTTCACTACTCAGAAGATAAGGTAAGAACAAACCTATCCAGCGTTGCCAGGCTAGGAACACCGTCTATTTAGCAACTAAACTGAGCTGCTCTAAGAGGCAAAGAGAATCAAGATTGCAGGAATTTCTGCTAATATCACCAGCTGTTGAGAGCTCTGCTACAAGCAGGCCAAAATAGTATTCAGCTTGGAAGAGCAGCTGAACACCTGTTGGTGTACAGTACTATCAGTTCATTTGTTTTGCCTCAACATTGGCAAAACCCTGAGCAATCAGTACATAATTTTGCTTACATTTCGCAGCATTGAGGAACTACTGAAGAGAAGACGATGAGAAAAAAAAAATGAAGTCTACTGAATACTGAAAAATTGTGTAGATGGACTCACTTGCATTCTAGCCCTGCCTCCGCTGCTCGCCTGGGCTTGTTTTTGCGCCGGCTTCCAATCTGCCTGAATCCATTAGTCCTAGTTGATTCATCACTGCTTGATCGAACACTGGAATTACTCTCTTCCAGGACAAGATTGGAGCTTTCTTTCAGCTGCCTGCCTCTCTTGTTACCAGCAGCAGATGCAGTGGTGTTCTTGTCTAGCCTTGATGCCTTCAGCTTAACATCATCACCTTCTACTTCTTCGCCATCAATTACATTGTCTACAAAATTTTCCACATCTACTTGATCAATCTTATCGGCGAAGCGCTTTTGTGGCCTTCCCCTCCTCTTTCTTGCAGGCATAGCTTCTTCAGCGCCGCTTCCTTTGTCTTCATGGCTCCGGACAATCGTTAGCTTCTTTCCTCTGCCTCTTCCTCTACCCATCTATCCAACTTAGCAGTGACAAGATTTATTCAGACAATCACTGAAGCTGCAGGCTCTACTGAAGTTGCTCTATGTTTTTCTCTAGTTGCTATTTGGAAGGAAAGTACTCAATATTTCACCGAGATACCTCGCGATGGCGACAATCCAATCAAGAAGATAGGCTAGAAATCTGCAGTCGTAATACCAAGAACAACATGCTGTTACATCTAACTAGTTCATGATGAAATGGGTTCTTGGGGTGCAGAAGCAATAAAGTTTGAGGTCTATTGAGATCCATATCAATAAAGAAGTTGCAAATCCAGATCAAGCAACATAAATATCCAGATGAAAACTATACAAAACAGCAAGCAATACGCATCTATCAAGATAAGTTTAACAAAAGGATTTTTTTTTTCGATAGAGAACAAGAAACATAAAACAAGGACCGATTCAATATCGGAACCATTCTTTCCACGGATGACAAGCAAGAAACTCACCTTCCATATAGCTGGCGTCCACTCCAAGCAGCATCATGCATCCCATTTCTTCATGTTTGGTAGCCAAAAAAGATGGAATTTTTCGCAGGTGCTACAGGAAAAGAAACGCTGGGTATCCAATGGATCGGCGGTAATATTCGGTTTGCGATGCCAGAAGTACCCGCGGATCGGGAGGTTTCAGCAAAGATTGGGATGTGGTGTTCAGGAAGCAGGAGAGGACTCAGGGCTCTACAAATGAACAACTAGTGCTCTGGGGTCTGGGAGTTCTGGATGGTTGGGCTCCAATAGCTTCTGGGGTAGCAGCAGCAGCTGCACTGGCTGGGGTTTGTGTGTGTGAGAGAGAGAGAGAGATTTGGTTCTTCTCATGAAGCTTTTTTAATACTACCTACGTTTCAAAATAAGTGTAGTCGTGAATATCCATCTTATTTGAAAAATTTATGAAAAAATTTAAAAAATTTTGTTACACATAAAGTACTATTCATATTTTATCATCTAATAGCAATAAAAATACTAATCATAAATTTTTTTCAAACAAGACGAACGGTGAATAGTGCAAAACTGCACTTATTATGGGACGAAGGGAGTACTGCTACTCCTGTACTAGTACTACTACTGAGGAGTCATTTGCTGTTTGTTTATGCTTTTATTTACAGCTTACCAACCGTTGAAAAATACTGAGAGAGAGTGTGTGTTCTTGGCTTCTTGCCATTTTCCAGATTAAAAAAGCAAAGACAGAAGGATCCCTAGCCCTAGGGAAGCGGTTTACTTTTACCATGATGGGATTTTTGTTCCATGTTTCTGGATGTTTAAACACCTAGGACAGCCAGTAGTAACTCAACACGGCAACACCTGACACCCTGACGTCCAAGGTCATTTTGCTTTCAAAGCGATGCCACAGTTCTCGATTGGCTCCAGCTTCCAGGCGAGCAATGCTCCTGTACTGTACAGGTGTTTATTTCAGATAGAGATCAATATTTTGTTCATGGCCTTTACCTAAGAAAACTTCGTGTTTATAATTCATTTGAACAGGTCAACACAGTTTTTGTTCATCTCTACTCCGTACTGTGCTTCCTAGTGCAAGTCATGCAGATGCCCTCATACTTCTCAAACAGTGCTAAGTTAAAAAGTTTAGCAGTATAGTATTTCAGAGTAAAGAATGATCAGGTCTCTTCTATTTACTGCAATACCATGAAGAGACAAATCTTAGCACACTTCAGCTGCTGCAGCAAGTGGCTGTATTAAATTATACCGTATCCTGACACATGCTATACTTTTTTATTGTATTATCTCTTTTACTTTGAATTTGAATTCATCTTTTTATACAGTTTCTTATCAAGGTAGCCAACCAGGAGGTTGTACTGATCGCTAGTGCAATAGCACTACTGTATCTCTGTATTACTGTACTGTGTATCTTGAGATGATTCTCTCAAGCATTTATACAGAAGACGTACATGTTCCTCTTGCTGTCAGGTCATCATTATATACCTTCTCCCAATTAACCGTCCTTCAATTCTCACCGCTAACTTGCAAACGAGGCATGCTTGTTTTGACAAGAGCTTGTTGAACAAACGGAATTTATGAACGCTGCTAGTACTCATTTGAACAAACGGAGTACATTATAAAAGATATAGTCTATCAATTATATTATTAAATTATATTATTAAGACAGTTTTCAAAGGAGAAACCACGTTCGCTGTGGGCAGGGGTGGATCCACAGTCTAACGACCGGGGTGATCTGACACCGATGACATCCAGCGAATGCACGGTGATGCTCAAATTCTACCAGCTGTGACCCCGGCATAAGATGGTAAATGACCCCAGCCATCGTCTTCACCTGGCACGTAGTACGTGAAACTAAAACAATTTACTTGGTGGTGTTACGATCCTAGTTGATTAATGATTCTTTTATTAGCATGCACAAAGCCCGAGTCAATTTTCTTTTGTTTCCTAAGCCTCATTGTAATTAATTGTTTCGTCGTTGTGCTTTTGCTTCGTCAGTTAAGCAGTTAGTACTAGCTAATTTCAGATTTATACCTCTTTGTATGATGAAAGGAAATGCTCTTAGCCTATTTCAATTATCATTCATTCGTTGCTGGTGATCGATAAAAAACACAAGAACAACTTTAAAAAAGATTTTGCATTAATCGAGAGAACAAAAAAATGATCTACCTAGTCTTTTAGTTAAATCAAAATTATAGCGGTGTTCATTTAGATACAGGAATTCTGCTCTCGAATATCATAAAAGTGTAGAGTTGTTATTAGGCTACGTTCATTCACAAGCCAAAGAGAGGAGATCACTCGTTTTTCATGCATACGTTTTTTAGACTGCTGAACGGTGTATATTTTTTCAAAAAAATTCTTTATTTTTTTAAAAAAAAATCATATTAATACATTTTCTAAATTTAAAATAACTAATACTTAATTAATTTTGTGCTAATGATAAACTCATTTTGCATGTCTTCTTTAATCTTCTTCTTTTCCATTCTGTCAAAAGCTTTAAGTTGATGACCCCGGTGGCCTTTAATCCTGACTCCGCCCCTGTCTGTGGGGGCTAAAAATTCCCACATTAATCGGAGAAAAAGAAAAGGAGAGTCCAGGTAGAACTACAATTCAAAAATAGCTGAAATTCGGAATTAAAAATAAGCAATATTAAAAGAAGTGTCCATATAAGAACCCAATACGAGATTAATCGAAATTCACAATAAAAATAAAATAAAATCCGAAATTAGAAAATAAAAGGAGAGTCCAAGTAGAAATATAATTTAAAAATAACTGAAATTCGTAATTGAAAAATAAGGAATATTGAGATAGGAGTCCATATAAGAACCCAATACGAATTAGTTAATATTCGGAATAAAAATAAAAATAAAATCTGAAATTAGAAAAAGAAAAGAAGAGTTCAAGTAGGAATACAATTTAAAATCAACTGAAATTCGGAATTAAAAATAAGCAATATTGAAAATATAAATTAAAAATAAGCAATATTGAAAATATATGAACCCAATACGAGATTAATTAAAATTCATAATAAAAAATAAAATAATATCCAAAATTAGAAAAATAAAAGAGATTTCAAGTAGGAATACAATTTTGAAACAACTGGAATTCAAAAAATAAAAAATAAAAATATTAAAAGAACACTATACTGTATTAATTAAATTTTGAAAAAAAATAAATTCTGAAATTAAAAAAGAAAAAAGAATTCAATTAGGAATACAATTTATAAATAACAAAAATTGATGATAAAAAATAAAGACTATTGGAAAAAAAAGACTATCTAAAACACATGACGAGATAAATTAATTAACATGCCTATAAAAGAGTAGAGTGGTAGCGGTTGATACGGCATATAAAAACTGTTAGTAAAACACCAAATTGAATCCTAATGATTATTAAAAGAAGGGACGACAGGTAGGACGTGAAGCAAACGGATAAGGCTGTTGCCGAGACTTCTAGAAAGTAAAAAAAAACCCATTGATAATCATATTCGATTTTAAAAATCTTAATGATAACAAAAACGAGAAGTAGAGTGCGGCGTGTATAGGAGTACAGTTACAGAGCCGTCGACAGTTGGTGAGACTTCTAGAAAATAAAAAATGAATTCCAACGATAGTTATGTTCTATTTTTAGAATCCTAATGACAATAAAGAATAGGCGGCGGATGGGCCGTAGAGAAGTATAGTGGCATTGTTTGACGGGACTTCTAAAAATTATAAAAAATGAAACCCAATGAGACAATAAAGTCTAAAAACTATAAGGTCCAATTTTTAAAGGTTCGGAACTTCTAAAAAGTAAAAAAAAAACAATGATAATCATGTTCGATTTTATAATCTCAATGACAATAAAGAAGGGAGGCAGCGGGCGAGCCATAAAGGAGTATAATGGCAAAGCCACTGACAGTTTGGCGGGACTTATAGAAAGTAAAAAAATGATCCCGAACGATAATTATATTCGATTTGTAAAATCCCAATGATAATAAAGAGAAAAGACAGTGGACGGCCCGTAGAGGAGTATAATGGCAGCGTTCGACGGGACTTCTAGAAATTATAAAAACGAAACCCAACGAGATAATAAACTCAAATAAGATCCAAATTTTAAAGGTTTTAAGGAGAATGAATAAAAATAGTGGTAGACCGAGCAAGCAAATAAAGAAGTATCTGATAAAAGTAAGGGGTAGCAGCTGATGTGACTTTTAAAAACTATATAATTAAAAGTATAGGGATAGCTATTTAATAAATCTTAAGTAAAATAATACTGAAAAAGATATGATTTTGTTTGGATGCTAGCCGCGCAATTGCGCGGGCCATCCAGCTAGTTCTTTTGAAATTTAGATATGGTTTGGATAGGGGGGGGGGGTCATTTGACCTCTTCATTTCGGATATTTATCATCGGATAAGTTCATGACTCGTGAGCGTATAATCCAGTCATCAGGATACATGAGATGGGCAAGAAAAGCCTGCCTGTTTCATTAGTACCTCTGTATCAGCATGTGAGTCTCATCAGTATCGCATCAGCTGGGGAAACATTGCACTGAAGCTGCGATGCAGATTTTACAAGTAAAGCAAAGCAAGTTAGGACCACACTCTTGAGGGCACTGCATGACCACACCAGCACACCATTTGCTGACAGATAACTAAAAGTACTGTAGACACCAATTTTCTGTAGAAGCATAACTATGCAAGTTGAGTTAGCCATCTCTTAGCTCGATTCAAGTCTAACCTATGACGAGTTAACTGGCTACAAGCTTAAAAAACTTGCAAGCTGCAAGTCTTTTTTCTGCACCAGTTTTTGACAGAAAGTTAACTGGCACTTAGCTCTTGGTAGGATTGCAGACTCAACAACAGCAGGAGAATAGCAACCTTGCATATGCTTTCCCATCTTAGTTGGCTCATCAGTCAGGTCTTAATAGCTGACAAAACCCCTCAAACAACACAGCCGAATCTAACGTGGCCCGGGCAAAATGTTTAAAGAATATACTTTGGATCAACAGGATTCTGAAACTGTTAACTCGGTTCTTCATTCATCGTCACAAAGGCCACCAAAAGCCTGACAACAAAAAATGGATGAGATCAACAGCATTTATATAACCAAGATAAAGTTACAGTTCAACAAACATATAAGACTTCGACAGACAGAAGTCCTACCTGAACCAGGAAACTGTTGGGTTCCATTATCATAAAATGAGTATATATTTTGGACTGGTAAATGGCAAGGATATTGACCACTTGCACTCACAAGGAGAAGCATGTACATACTGAATGGGCAACATCTGGAAGAAATTGATCACAGTGCAGGGTAACAACTTGATGACTGAAACCATGAAATGTCATATCCTGTAAATGTATTGTATCTGAAACTCATCATCTTACACTAGGCTTCGAAAGAAACACGGATTGAACTAAAATTACAACACCAAGTGTACAATTACAAGATGAGAAAATACACACCATGAATGCACTGTTCAATAGCTTCTTTTGTTTGTCACTAACTCACTACAATCATGACAAATTTGCACACAGTCACTGTCAATGCTATTTGGGCAAGGATTTGATGAAATTAACAATAAGGTCAACCATTCGTGCATCAAAAGCAGGGCCTTCCATTTGGAAGTGGCCAGCTCCTTCGATCAAGTGAGTATCAACCCGTCCTGCTGCATTCTTGAGCTTGTTTTGCAGCTGCTTTACACTTGTGAAGCCATCTTTAGTTCCCATGACGAATAACTTTGGTTTCTCAGACTTGAGGATAGCATTGTGGTGTCTGCCAAATAGGACCGAGGCCATTAGACCAAATGGGTACCCAATGCTAACATAACCAATGACCTGGTCAACCTTATCAACTGCAGATCCCGCTATTGGTGCTCCTGCATCAGGAAAGTGGATATAGATATATGACTAAGCATGATCTAACAGCTGCAAGAATGGTTGAAGAAAACTTGTATGTGGAATATGAGTCATTATCTTAACACAATTGTTTTACACATAATCAGTTATACTTGCAGCACTATCTGTTGACAACTTGACATAACTAAATCATAAGAATTCATAAATCTTAAATCATAACTATATGTATGACTTTGGAGTCCAGGGAACAGCGCGTGAAGAGGTTCAGTTTGAGTAGGTCTCAGTAGCCACAGCTAATGAATAGGCCAGAAGTAGGTACACCTAGAAGCAACCAACTAAATGTAAATATGCTCATAAAAATAGGTTATGATATATTGCCTAAAGTCAGGATTTGCTGAAAAACAATGGTTCTAGCTGTAAACAAGCAAGAGACGTTGCTTCTGAGGACACTAGGCTACCCTGACAGAAGGGAAATTTCGCCATTGAAACTTCTTGTGGATTACTTTGCATCTGCACAGAGTCACCTAAAACAAATCAATGTGACTAATACCCAGGTAACTCTGTATTTGTACTTCAAAGACACTGAAATAATAACATGCTAGTATATTTGATGCCAAATCCATAAGACCAAAAACCTGATACTTCAGTTCTGCTGCAACGCACAAGCTGTTTCTATTTTCTTGCAGGTCCATTTAAGTGGCTAATCGCCAATTGCATATTCAGTTAGATCAATACAGTTTCTAATGAGCAAATCACTTGGTCGATTACCATAACCCTCTTCTGTGAAGCTTCGGTGAGAATGAAACAAGGGCACCGACGTCATTTGGGGAAAAAGAAAAATCAGCAACCTACCAGCGGAGGAGCCGACGAGGAGGACGCCGCGCGGGTTGAGATTGTCAGCGACCCAGCGGCAGACGGCCTCGACGTCCCCGACCTCGGTGGAGCCGGTGAGCGAGGCGCGGCCGGTGGACCTCCCGGCGCCGCGCATGTCGAAGGTGACGGCGCGGTACCCGCGCCGCGCGACGCCCTCGGCGATCCCGCGCAGCAGGCCCTGCACGCCGCCCAGGATCGTGTAGGGGTGCACCAGCACCACCGCGACGTCCTCCGCCGCCGCCGCCTCCGCCCCCGCCGCCGGCTTGAACAGCCGCACGCTCAGCTTGGCCCCGTTCGCCGCCTCCACCGTCGTCCACTCCATCACACCCACCCACGCACTCCCAGTCCACCCCTCACCGAGCTGAGCTCAGCTCCTCCGGTCCTCCCCTACCTCGATGTGATCCGCTTGCTCGGGTGGCTTTCCTTCCCTTCTTCCTTAACTCCGGTTGGCTTCTGGTTGGTCTGAGCAGTGAGCAGTTGCCGCAGTTATTTCTGCATGGGCCGTGATCTGGGCCCATAAATTTATAATGGGCCGTGAATTCCAACTGGAGTTGTGGGCTATGGGTCTAAACGGGCCGTAAAAATCGTGTTAGAAGGCATTAGGAATAAGTGCACTTTGCCTCCCTTAAAAGTGACCCGAATCTAATCCATGACCCTAAATCGCAAAACCGGATATCTCGACCCCAAACTATTGAAACCGGTGCAATTTGACTCTCCTGGTGGTTTTGGAGGACGGTTTTGCTGACGTGGTGGTGTTGACCTAGTCTATGGGGTTGACGTGGCGCTTAGGTGGCATTTGAATTAAAAATGTATACTCCACATGTTGTCATTCACACACATAAAAATTGGGGAAAATTGGAACCATGCCATTATAATTTTACAAAATTTGAGATATGCCATCCTGACCCACATGTGATTGACTCATGTGGGTTCTACATGTCATGTCATTGAGATACCGATGGTATATCTCAAACTTTGCAAAATTATAATGGCATGGTTTCAATTTACCCTAAAAATTATGGGGAGAGAAGAGAAAGAGAAAGAAAGAGAGCAGGGAGGAAGAAGAAAGAGATAGAAGATGGCATGTGGGGCCCACATGCTAGTGGGCCCCACAATTTTTATGTGTGTGAATGACAACCGAGTCCACATATACGTTTTAAATTCAAATGCCACCTAACCGCCACGTCAGCGAAACCGCTCTCCAAAACCACCAAGGAAGTCAAATTACACCGGTTTCAATAATTCGAGGGTCGACATATCTGGTTTTGCAGTTTAGGGTTATGGATTAGATTCGGGTCATTTTTAAGAGACTCAAAGTGAACTTGTTCCAAAACATTAGACATGTCGGCTACTACACGGGCGTTTGAGTCCTTTTGTTGTTTCGCTTTTCATTTTTCTCGTTGATATGCGGACCCTAGATATGGCTAGGTCCTGAGCTAACCGGATACAGTCATACAGCTAATATCCACTGAAGTGTTCTTGGTCCGTTACAGTGATCGACGATCGACGCATTCACGCAACTGTACTCTGTCAAACGCCACATCGACTTCACCGGCGATATTTTCTTATCCTCTCTGCCTTTTATTTTTCTCCCCTACCTTTTGACGGGTCCAGCAACAAAGTTGTTTCTTTTGTGTCTGAAAGAGGAAGATTCCAACAAACCGCGATAAGTCGGCAGCAATCCAGCATCTATCAGCGACCTCGGTCGGCAACATCCAACAGCAGCAAAAGCGTAAAACACAGGAGCACTAGCTGGAGACTGGAGTGCTGCTAACAGGCCAAGAACGTTGACGTGACACAACTAATTAATGAAAGCGACAATGCTGCACAATTCACTTGATCTGGAGGCACGCATGCATAAGGTGACCTGGATCCAGTGATAACTTATCACTTCTGGCTGTATCCATGTTGATCTTTTGCTGCCTCTCTTTGGTTGGACTACAGAGACTAGAGAAGTAGAGAGAGTAGTACACTGTACACCAGAGACGACGACCTCTCCCAATCGACGTACGAGAGAGAAAGAAAAAGCATACGTACGCTTTGACTGCCGCATGCGTGCATGCGTCGCTGCACTGCTCGACCGACGACCGTCTCGGTGTCTCACTCGCTATGTCAGCGAAAGCAATAGCACTGTGAGCGGCGGTCACGCATGTCTGCAAAAGGAGGGGAGCCGCGACGTTCGCGGCTTCGCCCGAATGCCTGGATTTTGTGCAAGATTCGTTGCACGATCGCGCCGTCAGGCAATCGAGATCGATCGGACGGCGGCCGCCTCGATCGGTGCATGCATGCGTTACGTAGTTTGGCAAGAGCACTGCCGCATGCATATGCAGCGGCAGGCAGAGTGTGTGTGGCCGATTTCGCTTTGGACTCTACGGCGCGCGCGGTGATCATCAGTGCGGTAGCTGGCTTTGTCCCTAGTGTACGTACGCCGCTGACGCCGCCGCCCGCGACGGCGACAGGGGCAGCTAGCGGCGTAGCGGAGTGAACGGCATGTGGGTGGGCGTGCGGCGTGGAGGGCGTCGCGCGTGTCGGATTCGTGAGCTGTGCGTCGGATAGGCGAGAATCTAGCGTCCTTATAACCAGTAGGATAATCAGTTGATCACTAGACGGTGATACGTGCAGTGCAGTGAGCTGGTGTAGTGAGTAGTGTGATCTCACGACACGTACCGGCCGCAGGAGAGTCGTCGTAGGGACGTGCTGCATGCCAGCTAATACTGTTAGAAGTGGCATAATAAGGAGGACGTAATTAAACAACATTTCTTTGTTATGACGACAGTCTATAGCAGCTGCATCGCTGGAGCATAAGTTATCCGTAAGACTGTAACCGGCCGGTCGAGGCCTACGTAAGTCAAAGGAGGAGGGGAGGGAGAACATCCGCGAAGGAAGGGAGATTTTGGCATTTTGCACAGGTTACAGTAATTTGGAACGATGCAGCTGCCAGTTGAATGCCGCACGGATTTATATATGCGTCTGATGTTTTACGTACTGTCATGCTGATGTGGTTGCGCATATATCTAGTAAACCAACGACAAATTAAACTGCCAAAACTCTCGAAATTTCTGACAAGGACGTGGCACGCGGGAGGAACTCGAGCAACGTGCTTGAATATATGATCAACAAGGACATTTGCATAGAGCGTGTACTGGTAGTACTTCTCCTCGTTTGTAACATACTCCTCATGCATAAAAAAGCGCAACCATCCATTTCATTTTAGTTGTTTGCATATTTTGTGTGCGGAGAATCTTTGAGAGGCTACGGTTCGGAACTTCAGAGTTCAGAGTACATATGGTTTTAATTTTGTATCCATGGGACTGAAAACATAATCATACCTCCAAAATTAATGTATGTCTTACGTCCTTCGTTAGGTCGCAATGTTGTTCAATCACGTCGCGCCAGCAAGCACAGCGACCCGCTTTAATTTCTTGTCCTTGAGATCCTTTTAGGACGCTTAGCCAGTTAAAACGATGCATCTCGATCACAATAATTATTTTCACGTGTCTCTACCGTTTTTTTGTTCCCGAAGGAATCGTAGTCCTGGAGTACTAGTGACCATACGAACTGCAGATTCGTGAAAAAAAAATTGATCGGTCTCACCGGGTGAGTTCAAGATAATAGTATCTAGTTTAAATAGGAGTATTACTGTTTCGTTTTTACTGTCACAACTTCAGAATGTCACTTCAATAATATAAGTTTTCAGTGTTTTTTTTAAAAAAAAGACGATTGTCAAGATTTAAAGATAAATAGTTTCTTGGATAGTTGTTTAAAATAGGAGGGAGTAGCTTATAACAAGCCTAAATGGCAAAAATGGAGGACAACTAACTAAAGTGTGGTACTTCCAGCTCATTACGCCATGTACCCCTTATGTACTATACGACGCATTTTTTTCGCTACGAACAGCAGTAGCATTGTCCTCGCGACGGCGACCTAAACCTGATCAACCGTCCATCCATCTGACTTTACTTGTACTGTTGTACACGCACTAGAGACGTGCGTGCGTGCATTGTTCTGACGATTAAGCATACGCACGGTCTTACGTACTCCCGGTGAAATTCACAGGCCTCTCTCTGGTCTACTGCCAAGCACTTCACAGGATCCCCGTTATTTTGGGGCCGGAAAAGGCCTAAAGGGAAACAGCTGGCGCGGCCCATGCACGCTGCCACACAACCACAGTGCCATATGTGTCGGCCACTACTCGCCCCGGCCCCGCAGGAGGAAACGAAAACGGCATCCAACACCGCCGGCCCGACCCCGACGCACGCCCATAAATACGCGCCCCATACACCGCCCAGACACACGACCCGCTATCTAGCTAGCTAGCTTCCCCCCCCCCCCCCCCCCCCCTCCATTTCCCACACCTCCCAGTACGCGCGTCTCCGTCGCGCTCGCGCCGGCCGGCTGCGTCTGCGCGCGCGGTACAAGAGATCGTTCCATCAGGGAGCGCGGGTGATCACAGCAGCCGACGCGCGCGCGCGCGCGGCAGCACGGCGTTTCACCGATCGCGTCGTTGCGCGCGATCGAGCTACCGCGTTGTTGTTTGAGGAGATTTAGCTAGGTAAGGCTTGCGGTGTTCGCCACCAGCCCACACACCACTCTGATCTCGCGCCGGTAAATGACTGGACGCCTGGGCAGCAGCTGCGTCGTCGTCGTCGTGGAGGTCGTCGCTTCCTTTGTGACGTGCCTGTCGTCGTCCCCGTCGCCGGAGAAGTGCGAGCTGCCGCCGCTGCGCGTCCGCACCGGAGGGTTCATCAGCGAAGGTACGCTTGCACAAAGAGATGCGTACGTGTTATGTACGTAGGGCCGGCCGGTGGTGTGGCCGTGTGATATACACTACATGTGCCATCACGTTTGGAGATGGTAGTGGTACCCTGTAAGTTATGAATAGTCTGATATATGACTGTGCACTGTGCACAAGCTTGGTGCCACCACTCAAGCTCCTTGTTTATCACGTAAAAAAAAGGAGTTTCAGCTCGTATGGGCTGTGTAAACACCCGACTGACGTATGGGCCCCCGGAAAAGGACGAGGGCCCCTTTGTCGGTGTTAGGTATCTTTTCTTCAGTCGTTTCAGCTTTTAATTACTTGCTTAGTGCATCTCTGACAAGATTGTCTCGCACAGGTTAAAGCAAAAAAGGCCCGGAAGTTTTCCCTTGATAAAAAAAAACGAGAAAGTATCCACAAGGGCGACGATATATAACAACAAACAGAAAGGTAAGGTATATCCACGGGACAATCTTCAGGCACAACACGAGTTCTAGTTAGTCCAGTTCTTCGCTTGGTGCACGCTCCAGCGTAATGAACAAAATGTTATATAGAGTAAGAGGCGAAATCAGTCGAAACTATCATCAGCGTCAGCTTTATTATATAGCGTGATGAGCCATCAATTCAAACAATATCTTACTAAAGGATAATTTTACTATTCACCGAAAGGTACAATATTTATAGCGTAAAAATTTTAATATAGAAAACTTGATATCTCGAGATATTTTCTCAAGTACAATAAATTTTTTCTTTACTAAATGATTTTGGAATTTCATCGGCTAACCTTGGTGATGAACGTAGCTAGCTCCGCCCTTTATATATGTACTCCATTCTAAAATATAATAATTTTTAGACTTCAGGATTTGTCATAAAATATAATAACTTCTCCATTAATATTCTTTTCCCAACCAATCACAATCCCCACCATTTACTTTTCATACATACCTCCACTACTCATCCAATCACAACTCTCCACTACTCATTTCTAATTACTTTCTTAATAATCGTATCTAATCTTAAAACTTCTTATATCTGGGACGGAGGGGTATTATTTTAAACCAAGAAGAAACGTTTCGAGCATGACATTGTTTTCGCTCGGATAAGAGTCACGCGGCATACTTGCTTCATCTGAGTACTATTGCAAGTAAAGATGAACTCTGGCCTTTAATTGCAAAGGGTCCAGGAACATCAAAAGGAAAGAAAGAAACTAAACAACTGCCATCTCCATGTTTCTTTTTGAACGAAAGGTCATCCTCATGTATCGATGGACTTTAAAGTATCGAACCGAAACGATACTCCAGCTGACATTAATGGAAGTTTTTTTTTTTCTACACCAAAGATGTATATATGTACACAAACCATTACGTATGCACCTGTACCTACGCACACGTGAGTGCAACCCCTTGTCTCTTCATCGGACCCATGATGTTTATTGTCCAACATAAACCACCTAATTGGTAGGTGGAAATGCAAACCTAGACAATTATTGAAAATGAAATTGTAGTTTCTGGAACTGGCAAAGCTAGAAAAAAAAAAGAGCTTAGGTGATCGGCGTTTTTTTTTTCCTATTGTTTAGTTCTTATTTGGCTACTTGTTTCTTGAAATAAAATTTTAAATCAGCCATTAGGTGATCGGCGTTTTGTTGTTTGTTTGGAAAATTCATAGAGCAAGGCAATGGCTCCAACTGCTGTCGATTCGAAAAGGATTTCTGACATCACTGAAGATGGATCAATGGACAGGCGAGGAAATCCGGCAGTTAAAGCAAAAACTGGGAATTGGAGATCTTCCATCCTCTTGCTAGGTAAAGCTATGTTTTACTTTAATTCTGTTATTCATATATCTACAAATTAACTGTTTTAATAAGATTGGTTTCTTGTTTATTGAAAAACTGCTTTTCTTGGATTCCCAACATGACAACGTTGGTTGTTGATTAGATTAGGTTATGTTTCAGTCTTCAAAGAACTATGAACTAATATTGTCAGCACATAGTGTGATCACAACCTTATAGCTTGTTATTTGCTAGTAAATTCCTACTTCGCTGTCTGAGTTGTATGCAGTTCAGACTTCAGATTTCCACCAACTGGAACCTTCAAGAATAATCCTTCTTGCAGAGCTTCTAGCCAGTTGAGTGGCAGCCAAACCTGGAGGTTGATCCACCGTTGGAAAGCTATCAATTCTGTACTCTTCAGGTTTAACACTACGCGTTTTGCTCTTCATCCAGATTTACTCTGCATGGGCAATAACCAACCTGACTAAAACCTTACTTCAGAAGACCGATTGTTGTGAACTGTGTTAAACCTTTGTGTTCGTATTCCCGAAAAAAAAAAAAGTTCAACCTTGTGTTGCATTAGGACACTTCCAAAGCCATGTGCAGAATCTACCTAATCTTGTTTTTCAATATATAAGCTGTTACAAGTTGGATTTGGGATCGATTGGACAGTTAATTCAGGTGTGTTCCTGATGCAGTCAACTATGGGCTCGTGACATGCGCCTTCTTCGGCGTCGGGGTGAACCTTGTGGTGTTCCTGCGGCGGGTGCTCCACCAGGACAACGCAGAGGCAGCCAACAGCATCAGCAAGTGGACCGGCACGGTCTACATCTTCTCCCTCATCGGCGCCTTCATGAGCGACTCCTACTGGGGCCGATACATCACGTGTGCAATCTTCCAGATGATCTATGTCACGGTACGATGGTCAAGTTAATTATATTATTATTATTTTTAATTAGCTCTTCTGTTGTTGGAATGATCTTGCTGAACTACGCGTCGTGTGTGTTGTTCTGAACTTTCTGCTGATGATCAGGGCCTGGTGATACTGTCACTCGCGTCGTGGTTCTTGCTGGTGAAGCCCACCGGCTGCGGCGCCGCGGGGGAGCACTGCGACGCGCCGTCGAGCGCCGGCGTCGCGCTCTTCTACCTGTCGACCTACATGATCGCGTTCGGCAACGGAGGGTACCAGCCGTCCATCGCCACGTTCGGCTCCGACCAGTTCGACGAGACGGACCCCAGGGAGGCCCGCTCCAAGGTGGCCTTCTTCAGCTACTTCTACCTGGCGCTCAACGTGGGCTCCCTCTTCTCCAACACGGTGCTGGTGTACTACGAGGACGAGGGGAGGTGGGTCATGGGGTTCTGGGTCTCGGCCGCGGCGGCGGCCATGGCGCTCGTGCTCTTCTTGCTCGGCACCCCCAACTACCGCCACTTCAAGCCGACCGGCAACCCGTTGACCCGCATCGCGCAGGTGTTCGTCGCCGCGTTCCGCAAGTGGCGCGCCGAGGTGCCACGCAGCGAGCTCCTGCACGAGGTTGACGGCGACGAGTCCCAGATTGCTGGCATCCGAAAGATCCTCCACAGCGACCAGATCAGGTGAATATCTTGTTTGAACGATGTGCCAATGCACTTTGATCGATTTGCCGTTTGACTCAGGCATCAAACAGTGTTGATTCGAGATATATAATCGGGAGTGGATTCTAATCCCTCGAGGGGATATCCCCTCGTATACCTTTTTCTTCTAAATTCGATGTAAATAGTTGTGAAAAATTCTAAAATTTTTTTTGACAATGTAGAGTATAATGATACCTACTAGTCCACCAAAATTCAAGTTCAAATTCGATCTACACATCGAGAAAAAAAAACAAATTTAGATATAAACAGTACGCTACTATTCATATGCTGAATTTGTCTTTTTTATATCTCGACGTGTGAGTTGAGTTTGGACTTAAGATTTTGTGGAGATGTATATATGTGTTGTATGAATGTTATCAAATTTTTTCAGAATTTTTCATAACCGTTTAGATAATTTTTAAGCAAATGAGGGAATATCCATTCGAGGGATTAGAATAGTTTCCTATATAATCGATGTGCATTTGGTGGCGTGTTTTGGTGTTCAGGTTCCTTGACAAGGCGGCGACGGTCACCGAGGAGGACTACTGCACGCCGGAGAACATGCAGGATCCGTGGAGGCTGTGCACGGTGACCCAGGTGGAGGAAGTGAAGTGCATCCTGAAGATGCTGCCCATCTGGCTGTGCACGATCGTATACTCGGTGGTGTTCACCCAGATGGCGTCGCTGTTCGTGGAGCAGGGAACCACCATGAACACCAACATCGGGTCGTTCCACGTGCCCGCGGCGAGCATGTCGGTGTTCGACATCCTCAGCGTGCTGGCGTTCATCGCCATCTACCGGCGCGTGCTCGTGCCGGTCATGTCGCGCCTGTCCGGCAACCCGCAGGGGCTGACCGAGCTGCAGCGGATGGGCGTGGGGCTCGTGGTCGGCATGGCGGCCATGGTGGTCGCCGGCGTGGTGGAGGTGGAGCGGCTGAAGCGGGTGGGCGCGCCGGACCAGCCGAGCTCCCTGAGCGTGCTGTGGCAGGTGCCGCAGTACGCGCTGATCGGGGCGTCGGAGGTGTTCATGTACGTGGGGCAGCTGGAGTTCTTCAACGGGCAGGCCCCCGACGGCGTGAAGAGCTTCGGGAGCTCGCTGTGCATGGCGTCCATCTCGCTGGGGAACTACGTGAGCATCATGCTGGTGAGCGTGGTCACCAGCCTCACCGCCGGCGACAGGCGGCCCGGGTGGATCCCCGGGAACCTCAACTCCGGCCACCTCGACAGGTTCTACTTCCTCCTCGCCGCGCTCTCGCTGGTCGACCTCGCCGTGTACGTCGCGTGCGCCGTGTGGTACAAGGGCATCAAGCTCGACAGCAACGAGGAGAAGGCGAACAAGATCACCGTGCACGTTTAGGCTTCGGGCCTGTAACTCGTGACGGCTCCTGTTTAGATACTGGGATGGCAACTAGGCTTGCCGTAGTAATAACGACGCGTGACAGAATCATGTATGGCCCATGCAACTTCTCTGTCACGACTAAACTCCAGGAGCTATATATAGCCAGCCCATGTTCGAACCATGTATTATTGGATTTTGGGAATAAGTTCACTTGGTGACCCTCAAAAGTGATTAAAATCTAATCCGTGACCCTAAACCACAAAACCGGATATTTTAACCCCCAAACTATGGAAACCTGTACAATTTGACTCCCTCGGTGGTTTTGGAGGTCAGTTTCACTGACGTGGCGGTATTGACCGGCTCTCCTTTACACATGGCGCTGACGTGGCATTTAGAATTAAAAAATATGTGTGGGACCCATTTGTCAATGACACAGAAAATAGATTGTGGGACCCACGTGTCCCTTCTCTCTCCCCTCCCTCAGTTCCCTCTCTCTCCTCGCCGTTCCCTCTCCCCCTCTCTCTCTCCTCCGCAGCAGGCGGAGATGGTGGGGCGACCTGCGAGCGGCGGCGGCACCCGGGCTGAGCTCCACCGTGACGAAGACGAAGGAGACCACAGCGGCGGCGGCGGGAGGCACACGCGGCGGGGTACAACGAGCTCGGCCCGGCAGTGGGAGGACGAGGGGAGCCGGCGGCGATGGCGGGAGGGCAGGCGGGTGAGTGCGGCGGCTTGTGGCAGGAGGACGTGGGGAGCCGGCGGCGGCGGGAGGGCGGGCGGGCGAGGGCGGCGGCGGCTCGTGGTAGAGGGAGGACGAGGGGAAGTTGCAGCCGAGGTATCCGAGTTCCTCTTCGGCCGCTTCGCCGCCGACCACGCCGCCATCGCCATCGCCATTTCAGGAGTCAAAGTCAAAGTCGCCGTCGCGGCCTGCTTCTCCCGCCCGCCGCCGTTCCCCTCATCCTCCCACTGCTTCTCCTGCCCGCCGCCGTTCCCCTCGTCCTCCCACTGCTTCTCCCGCCCGCCGCCCGCGGGCTGTCGCTGCCGCCGCTCGGTAGCCGCCGACGTCTCGATGCCGGGCACTGGGTGGTGCGGGTGGTGGTGGTGCGAGAGGAACGGCGAGCGGCCGCCGCTTCATCTCTAGCCCATGGTCGTCGTCACCGCCGCCGCTAGCTCCCCGCGGACGGCTGTAGGGGAGAGGGAGAAAGAAAGAGATAAGGGAGGGGAGAAAGAAGAAAGGGAGAAGATGGCGTGTGGGGCCACATGTCAGTGGGCCCCACAATTGTGTGTGTGAATAACAAATGGGTCCCACGTATAACTTTTTAATTGAAATGCCACCTAAGCGCCACATCAATGCTATGTGTAAAGAAAACCCGGTCAATACCGTCACGTCAGCGAAACCGTCCTACAAAACCGCCGAGGGAGTCAAATTGCACCGGTTTCCGTAGTTTAGGGGTCAAAATATCTGGTTTTATGGTTTAGGGTTACGGATTAGATTTCAATCACTTTTAAGGGTCACCAAGTGAACTTATTCCTTGGATTTGTGCTAAACACTTTGACTTCTGAATCTTGTGACGATCCAATAGCTTGAATACATGTGTGTGGAATTTGTAGCTTTGAGTTTGGCCCAAACAGCGAGTTGGTGAGGGCGCTGCACACGGACCAGCCCACCTACCCCGCGCGGTCGTGCGGCGGCAAGCCGCAGATACTGCCAATGCTGGTGAGTGTGCGCCGCACGCGGCCGGGACGTGGCAGGACTGCCGAGTGCCGACCACACGCGTCGTGGGCGTCGATGACACGTACAGACTAGTAGTAGTAGACTACAGAGAACATCTACTAGCAATTCGTTGGCGTTGGTACCGAGGCTGCTTCGCTCGCTCGAGCAGTTTGCACTTGGGCTCGCCATGTTAGCACAGTCCACAGTGCGTCCGAGCAAGGTTGGCTATAAGAGGCATTTTCTCAGCTTATCCATATACTTTCTCCGTCCTAGTAAAATTGACGTTCAACGCCCCAGGCTTATCTCAAAAAATATGTCGCTACACAGAGAAGAGGCACTTTAGACGCCAAAGCAAATTTAATGGTTGATTCAAATTTTTGAATATGTTAATAATGGCTTTGCCCCTTTATCAAACGTGTGGCCAAGGCGCCGATTTATGTACTCCCTGTTACACGTGGCAGTGAGTTGTGGTTACTTTATTACTGCTGGAAACATCCTCTAGAATATTCTGAGTGCATATATAAATGCTGGAAATGACAAGCTGAATCAAATCATGGGGACAATTTGGTAATTTTGCACAACAACTAATCTTGGTTGCTAACCTTAAAACGTCAATTTTACTGGGATAGAGGAAGTAATAGTTAGCTCTTTATAATTAATATAGGACCCACTTATCTCTCTTATATAGTTTTTTGGTTCTTGTATCCAAGCCGGCTATAAGTTTACAGCCAGCTTCTCCTCTCTCTCTCCTCCACCTCAGCATTTAGCTAGCTTATAACCTATATTATAATTGCTCTTACGCGCATCGCGCCAACTCACAAATCACGAGTTCGGGTAGAAGCGAGGAGCACATTTACTGCAAAGCTACAATTGTAACATCAGGTAGAGCTGTATCCCCTTCGATGTGCTAACGGGATGAGAAGTAGTAGTAGTTGTTGTCTTGCGTATTGGAGGAAAAAAAAACGAGTTCAAGTTATTTTAGACTCTGTACTTCGTCTAGAAGCACAAGCGCAAGGCTGCAGACCGGACCGCGTGGAGTATAGCAGCATCATTACTGAAAGAAAACAAAATATTGTTTTCAGCTGTCTAAATATCGTCCTTATTTTGGAATATTGCAACAGTAGACCTTGGTGTACAGATGATGACACTCAATTAACAGCTTGTACCGTTGAAAGCTGCAACGCACTGTGCCATCTTTTTTAGAACAAAGTGAGGTACCACACTACCTTCTTGAATTGAAATGATGGAGCTATAGCCATTTCTTCTTTTCTGATCTCTGTCCCCGTAGAACTTAGGGCACAGCTAGTGGGGATGGCCGTGCATCATCAGCTTTCTGTCACGCGAGTAATTCTACCGATATTAATCCTGTTAGTCCGCACATATGGTTTCCTGCAAATCTGTGCATTGTTCAGCACGGACGCTGTTGCCAGAATAGACCTGATCGAAGCATTGAATTAGCAGCGACGCACTCTATATATAACAGCGTATCAGTGGATTATTATTACCCGTTACACCCACTTCGCACTGAAGCCTCCCCAAGGAATTTATCTGACAAACCATCCCAAATTGCCATGTTGCAAATTGTGCCAAATTGATATGTGCTGCGCCACAGGACTCAAAAATACCAGCTGCAACTCTTTGAAGCTTATCTGCTTCATGTAAATCGATTGTGTGTAACTGTTTCTGCCTTCTTATAAATATAGCCAGGCAACCAAACCTTTCCAAAAAATAAAAGAAAAGAAAAAACACAGCTGCAACTGCCATGAAGTCATTTTTTTTTTGAGAACTCATGCATTTTATTAAAAGGGGGAAAAAAGCAATCTGTTTCTGAACTGCCATGAAGTCCAGTCCATCGCTTTCTGCCAGTAAGCACAATCCCAGCCTCCTAGGGAGTACTCGCTGACCGTGCTACCGTGGCACTGCTCTGTGCTCTGCCTAGTGCGTATGGTCACCAAACCAGGTAGATCCACGCATGTGTTTGGTTTAACAAAACTACCAAAATTACCAACCCCGAAAGCAAAATGCCATTAGTACATGACTACGAATCACTAAGTACGTAGTACTGTACTACCTAAGTACCGTCTAAGAGTAGTCCCCGGCGCTACAAGAAGACAACACAATGGCCGTCTTGCGCCGTGCTAAGCTGCTAGATCTAGCACATATATTTTCCAACCAGTTGCACCTACAGGGACCTAATTAATCGACCTAACTATTGGGCAGATCGGAGATATCTCACCAGATCAGTGTCTGACCACATGGATGACAACGTTGATACTGTCACGGACCGTGAACACGGTCATCTCGCCACCAGTTTTGGGTGACCAAGACTGTGGGTGATGTTGGACGTACACTGCTACGAGCAGCACAGTGCTCTATATATCTTTGCAGCACATGCAGGATGCAGTTAGAATTGGGCACGATCGTTGCAGGCGACAAGAGAATTCACGCAAAAGCTGCAGAGGACAGTAACATTAATTTAGATCGATGGACGAAGCAGCTGATTAATTGCGTGTTAGCTGGAGTACATAGTATATGTCAGCATATACATTACGGGACATGTTATGTTATACAGTATATTTTATCGGAGTATACAGTACGAACACCAATACACCAACTTGGGGACACAAGTGGGCGCGAATATGATCGGTCTCTGACTCTGATGACCAAAATTAACTAAACAAAATGGAAAAGACATGATATAATACTGAGAGCGTTTGGTCTGCTGCATACCATGAAGTTTAGGTCGAGGAATTAGTAGCCTAGTCGAAATCACGATTCACGAATAATAATCAACCCGTTAATATATTACTGTATCGTTGGAGAGAAAAGTGACTAGCTAATAATAAATGAACATCTTTCCTGTATGCGTGTATCTTGCTGAAGAATATCCTAGCTAATCCGCTGTTATGCGGCGGCCAAGGGGTTGCCGACGAAGGGTTCCTGAATTTATGAAAGAATATTTTCCGGCGTTGCACACTGCGCAACTGCACTTTGATGCTGAAAAGACACAAGCTGGCGGATAACCCAAAGGCCAAGTTAGGAGGACATTCGAGGGCGACTCGCTGAGAGATATTTTTTGCTGCAAAACCAGTTCAGAATACGCCATCACGTGGCCATGATTGTCATCAAACGAAGGCTTTGGAACAGGTAGCGTGCGTAGGAGCCATGCACAAGGCTAATCAGTAATCACAAAGCAAAGCTCGCCTTACGTTATTTACGAGTTATAATCTTCTAAATAATGGCTTAAGGGTTGTGTACAAGCAAACGATCCATATCTAATAGTACGATCCAACAATAGTATGCCATGTACTATTTACTTCGGGTCGACGAGTAGTTTGAATAAAATCGTGCACTGGACAGAGGACACGACCCTGTACGTGTTACGTACTACAGCAATGAAGTTAGACATCTGCTGAAAGAAAAGTATGCTTGCAAAACCAGACTTTGCACATGAGAAATGCGTTAGAAGAAAAAAAAAACCAGTACAGTAGCGATTAGTGAGACAAGGCCTGGGGGATTAGATTAATTGGAGTATTGGACGAATTAAGTAGCCAAGTAGCGCCACCCATTTCAAATAAAGACCGGAAGCAAAAATGCCGTTAAAACTTCGAAGTCAAATGCTGTATTTGGTTGTCAAAGAAATCGCATAATTTTTGTAAACCAAAGTACCAAACCACTAGCAAAATCTCAAATCAGATTGATCTGAAAAGAAAGGTGACAAAACCACTCTCTAAGCTACAGGTTGGTGTCTTCGCTGAATACAAAATAACTAACTTATTTTTGTTTCAGCCCCTGTATAAATTCTAGCTGCTGTGTGCCTTAAACTTTTGCATTGAAAACCTTAAAGTTAAAGGACAAATTATACATACATACATACATCACTTGGGCCACATGTCAATGGAAGCCGACCTACCACTTTGTAGAAAAGCCCAAGATCCCTTCATATCTCATCCTTCTTCGTCCGTTTCTCCCGGCTCGCCTCGGCGGTCGTCTCTCTCTCGGCGATTTCCCATGAATCTGGCTCGGATCCGGGCCATCCGGCCCGATCCACCTTTGCCAATTTCCAGCCTCTCTCGGTCTCTCCCTCGTTGAAGCCTACCCGGATGCGACCGATTCCCCCCGCCGCCGTGCGCCGCGCCATATGCTTTCTCCTCGCATCGCGCCGCCGCGACACCACCACCAAACCCCTCCCTCCTCACAAGAAAACCCCACCCGGCCGATCCCTCCAGCACGGCGACGCGCTCCCGGCCGTCGGATGGACGCAGCGGACGGCCCACGCGGCCCCAGCCCCCCGATCCGGGTCAAGGCCGCCCCCCGGGCGCGCGATACACGTCGCGACACGTGTGCGGGCGTCAGATTCCCAATCTCCGACGTGGTGTGGTGGGCCCCACCTGTCCGCGCGTCGGGCCCCACGCGCCAGCGTCGCACGGACCGCTTTTAAATAGCGCATCGACCCGGTGGATTCGGAGGCGGCCTCCTCCTCTCCTCCTCCCCTGCACAGACCACTCGTTTCCTCCACAAAGAGGGAGGGAACAAGGGAAGGGTGTCGCCCGCCCCCCACCCCGATCTGCCTCCGCCGCTCCGCTCCTCCGCGCCTGCGAAATCTACCAACGCTAACTCAGGTGCCTCCCACATTACCCTCCGCCACCGCTGTTGTTTCGTGATTCTTTTCGATTTCGGTACGGTGTGTGAAATCGCTGCGGTGATTTTTGGTTGTTTTCACTCTGTGGAGTTTGTGTTCTTGGGAGTAATGGTGGTGGATTGGGGGATAGGACAGGCGAGCTCGTCGTCGTTGATCTCGTCTCGCCGCCGGGGATTGATGGGACCTTTTTGAGGTGGATTAAAGCAGAGCTATAGGATTTTGTTGTGTCTCCTGGGCAGATCTGTAGGATTTACCGATAGGATGATAGTTTGATATGCTCCATTTCCGCATGCTTCTGTAGTTGTGTACCTTATCTCCATCGCTATGCCATTACAACTCATTGTAGGAACTTTTGCCAAACCTTTTAGCTATTCCCGTTAATCTTGTGATTAAAGCTGCTACCTTTACCCACCAAAGCTGCCTCCTTTGGCTGCATGCTTCCATCATGGCCTCTGGCCCCTCCATGTTGGGATTCGTCTTTCAACGCCTCAGGACGAAATGGCCGATTACTCTTCTTCTTTTTTTTTTCTGAAACTCAGCGCTATGGGCACGAGTCACGACGCTGACAAACCGACGACCTTACACACGGACAACATTTCAAGAAAAGAAAAAGTTTGATTCTTGTGCGGTCGTCGTTTCTGGCATTAAAAAAAAATCTCTCTCTCTTTTTTTTTCGCCTATGGAACCTAGCCGGCGGCAGGGCACGGCATATGCTTCTCGTGCTCCCGGTGGTGTGGTTGGAAATGCCACTGATTTTGTAGAAAAGAAAGCGAAAGGAAAAAATAAAAAAGACATCGCACTCACGCGCCGGGCAGCAGCCTCCGCCGCCGCCGCCCCCGCCCGGTCGCGGGCTTGGTGGGTTGCTTGACCTAGCAAAAGGCATCGTGATCCCCAGGTCGCTCCACCGTCAGATCCCGTTCGTTGCATTTGGACGGTGACGATTGCCTCTTACTTTCCAGGCAAATTATCACTGTTCTCTGCATAAAAATACTGTATGGTCTGGAACCCATATGCCCATCGTCAGGCAGCAGCTGCATGTCTTCGCTAGGATACAAAAGTGCAGGGGTCACACAGCCTGCAAAGGTCGGCAGGGTGGCGCTGAACTCCAGCCCCACCTGACGGCATGTTTCACCAATTTATCCCCCCTCTATCTCTGTACATTTCCAGCCAGAGATAAGCTGGACACGCAGAAATGAACAAATCGTAGATTAGCGGATCTGGCCCCCCTTACCTCTTCTTGGATTTGCATCCACCACTTGCAGTATGATAGTTCACACACCACTAGTGCATGCATGGCTGGCTTGTCTGCTATTAGCTGCATGTGCTGGTGATTTCCAGCCACAAACAGGTGCAGCGAGCTAGCAATCATCCTAATCAAACGAGTGCAGCCGTCTAATCGGAATACAAGAAGGCCAGATCACCAGCACCACAATCCTGGAGCCCGTAGGAAAAATGGTAGGCTCGTGTGCCTTCCAAGTCAAGTGAGACAGTCGCACATGAATCTGCCTTGTGGGATGGCATTTGCGTTAGACTAGACGCGTGCAGTGCACTTGGTTAATTTGACCCTAGCTAGGTAATTATACTAATTAGTCTTGATGGTACTGTTCCACCAACCTGCAGGAGCAAGTGGTTTTCTTTTTTGCAAAGATTGGTGTCTTTTTAAGAGTAGAGGAAACTTCCTGTGTGTTTAATTGTTCGTCAAAATTGACCACTCATTAGGATATGACGATGTCTGATGAATATGGATAGCTTATATTTGACCGCCCAGTTTGTATGGCTGGATTTAATGACCTTATCATAATCAGATATGGTACCATTTTTTTCCCCCAAACAAGTGATAAATTCCTTCTGCACACGTTTCTGGGGATGGTCCTAGGCATCATCCTTCAGAGTTCAGACTATCTGGACAAAGTGTGCGTTCCGACATATGCACATTTTTATCGAGGAACATATAACTACTGTAGTACTAGTATTTTTCAAAACCACATTACATCCCAAGACCAAACCTTTCTCGCTTGTTGAATCAATCACCATTTCCTTTTCGTTTACTGCACCATGCTAAGCGTAATTAGGCTATTCCCAACTCAATGATTAGGATGATGTCTATATCATTAAATAAGTTATCATATAGGATAAAAAATGATGTGACAAGTGAATAAATGAGTAAAGAGAAGGAAACTATGTTTTGCATGAGATATTGTTTCTACACAATATCCAAGACATCATGTGAGATAAGAAGCATTAAATTGAAGTATGGAATAGTGATGTTTGTATTGGAAGAGTAGTGTCTAGGGGGTGTTTAGATGAGGCTAAAACTTTTTAGCCCATATCACATCGGATGTTTGGACGCTAATTTGGAGTATTAAACATAGACTAGTAAAAAAACTAATTTTATAAATGAGAGCTAATCCGCGAGACGAATTTTTTAAGCCTAATTAATCCATAATTATCAAAAGTTTACTGTAGCATCACATTGTCAAAATCATGGCATAATTAGACTCAAAAGATTCGTCTCGCGAATTAGTCCAAGGTTATATAATGGGTTTTGTAATTAGTGTATGTTTAATACTCTAAATTAGTGTCTAAACATCCGATGTGACAGGGACTTAAAATAAGTCACTGGAAACCAAACAGGCCCCTAGTACTAGTTTCTTGATGCTGTGGAGTTTATGGAAACTATGTCTAATGGGTTGAGAATGGCCTTACTAGTACTAATTCACTGTGCTATGGTACAGTGATCAGTCTTGTCATCTTGTGGTAACTTGCGCAAGGCAGATCCGTAGCAGTACATGTGAACTTACGATGCACGCCCTAGAAAGCGAATCTGAACATGGGCAAGCACATGCTGCTCGGCTCGCTGCTCGGAATAACCTATCACATATACTTTAATCAAGAAAAGTGATGGATCGCATCATGGGTGTGCCGCCCTTTCTTTTCCTGGGTTGATGCTCCTCAACTCGTGCATACGTAATCTATTGCTTATTGGCTTAGTTGCGAGATATTTTTGTTCGTGTGGGGTTTCCGTATTATTGCATTATAATATTGCTCAAATTGCACCTTCTGATCCCACTACAATATTGCAATCGATTCTCACTTTCTCATCACCTGCGATTGTGATTGTTGTTGTAAGCAGCAAGATGGGTGCCGGCGGCAGGATGACGGAGAAGGAGCGGGAGGAGCAGCAGAAGCTGCTCGGCCGCGCCGGCAATGGCGCGGCCGTGCAGCGGTCGCCGACGGACAAGCCGCCGTTCACGCTGGGGCAGATCAAGAAGGCCATCCCGCCTCACTGCTTCCAGCGCTCGGTGATCAAGTCCTTCTCCTACGTGGTCCATGACCTCGTGATCGTCGCCGCGCTGCTCTACTTCGCGCTGGTCATGATCCCCGTGCTGCCGAGCGGGATGGAGTTCGCGGCATGGCCGCTCTACTGGATCGCGCAGGGCTGCGTGCTCACCGGCGTGTGGGTCATCGCGCACGAGTGCGGCCACCATGCCTTCTCCGACTACTCGGTGCTCGACGACATCGTCGGCCTCGTGCTGCACTCGTCGCTGCTCGTCCCCTACTTCTCGTGGAAGTACAGCCACCGGCGCCACCACTCCAACACCGGGTCGCTGGAGCGCGACGAGGTGTTCGTCCCGAAGCAGAAGTCGGCGATGGCGTGGTACACCCCGTACGTGTACCACAACCCGATCGGCCGGCTGGTGCACATCTTCGTGCAGCTCACCCTCGGGTGGCCGCTGTACCTGGCGTTCAACGTGTCCGGCCGCCCGTACCCGCGCTTCGCGTGCCACTTCGACCCCTACGGCCCGATCTACAACGACCGGGAGCGCGTCCAGATCTTCATCTCCGACGTCGGCGTCGTGTCCGCGGGGCTCGCCCTGTTCAAGCTGTCGTCGGCGTTCGGGTTCTGGTGGGTGGTGCGCGTCTACGGCGTGCCGCTGCTGATCGTGAACGCGTGGCTGGTGCTCATCACCTACCTGCAGCACACCCACCCGGCGCTGCCGCACTACGACTCGAGCGAGTGGGACTGGCTCCGCGGCGCGCTGGCCACCGTGGACCGCGACTACGGCATCCTCAACAAGGTGTTCCACAACATCACGGACACGCACGTCGCGCACCACCTCTTCTCCACCATGCCGCACTACCACGCCATGGAGGCCACTAAGGCGATCCGCCCCATCCTCGGCGAGTACTACCAGTTCGACCCGACGCCCGTCGCCAAGGCGACATGGCGCGAGGCCAAGGAGTGCATCTACGTCGAGCCTGAGGACAACAAGGGCGTCTTCTGGTACAACAACAAGTTCTAACTGCTGCTGCTGTGAAATCAGCATCACACATCCATAGCCAAGCAGCAAACAAATTTGAAGAAGAAGATTACAAGGGAAGAGAAGATAGTGTCTTCGGAAATCGTCGTAGCAAGTATCCATCCATCCATCCAACCCATGAACAATCGTCTATCTATCCATGCATCTATCTATGGTTAGTCTCTTTAGATAGGAGAGGGCACTTGGGCACAGAGGAAGGCTATTGCAGTGCCATTGCTAGAGTTGCCATCAAGTGCAAAGTAGGCGGATCAGGCGTGTGTCATGCCTGTGGATTTGTAGTCTATGTATGTGTCAGCTGCTGAGCTCCGGTGTCGCAGCCTTGGTCCCTGTCGTGTTATTTCCATCGTTTTTTTCCCTCCGCCATTGTTCGGTTTAGGTGTTGTCATGGTCGGCGTCCGTGTGGACGACGTGTCTTGTGCGGTTTGTCTGTCATTGAGTTGGCTCCGTCCGTTGCTTGCTGTTGTAAAACGCTTGTGGTGTTCATGGCGGAATAACTAAACGTCGAATGGAATGACAACTTTTTTGCGTAGTAGTTGGGTTGGTCTCTGAATTTGGGAACTGATGAATTTCCGTCTCCGCTTACATTTGTTGCTGGGATGTTTTCTTGCTTGCTTTCTTTCCCAAGATTGTCCGGCTTGGAAACGGAAGAGCCCATCCACACAAAAAGCGTGTGGTGTACAGCATTGCAGAATCAGCATGCTAGCTACGTGTTCTGTTTTGCTGAAGAGAACGTTTGGATCTGATATGGACATATATACATGGTTGTAGTTCTGCATTTGCATGTAGTACTACAGGGTTAGCTATATTGCCATGGTGTATTTGGTGTGGTCCTATCTTTGGGCCGTGGAAGTTGTGGCGAGCACCGGACGCAAATCCAAAGCCATCTCGTTTGTGTGGCTAAAACAGAGTGTGTCCTCTGCGATGTTGGAAACCAATGCTTGACCTGTGAGGACAGAGGGCCAGTCACTCGCACCCAGTGTTGCTTTCGGGCCTCAAGCCCTCAACTGTCTCGCAAATTGCAGCTCCTACCAAATTAGATATGTACTGACCATTGGTGGTACTAGCAAGAAATAATTGATCTCTCGAAATAGGACAATATTCCCATCTTTTCTGGTCACAGAGTTTGCTGAAAACGTAGGGAGAGCACGCCTGCATGGCTGCATCAGCAACAGCAGCGGCCGGCATATCCATCAATCTCTTTCCGGCCAACGGTGGCTAGCATATGTAGGAGTAGCATGTTCAGGCCATTCACAGTGCGCCACTAAATTTTGGCGTTCTTCACATGCCACATAGACCAAAAAGGATATAAGCTACATGCTCCACAGTGCAGTATTTGTAGTATGAATACCACCGGTACCAACTTTTCACTTTTCATCTCCCCTCCACTCCCCCTCTCTCTCTCTCTCCTCTACTCCTTTCCCCACCGGGCCACTGGCAGAGCAAACGCTGCAGAGAGCGGCGGCGGCCGGCACCAGGTTGAGCGGTGGTTGGCGACCTCGCGGCCATCACCGCCTCTCCCCTCTCGCCGACCTCAACCTCATCTCCCCCTCCCTCTCCGACAAGTAGATCGAGGGCGCGGCGTGGCCGGAGCCGCCCTCCCGTCCTCCTCTTCCGGCCACCGCGAATCGAGGGCTGGCATGGCCGGCAGCGAGCGGAGGTCGTCGCGGATCGGGGGGCGTGTGGCTGGCAAGCTCCAGTGGCGCAGCCGGCAGCAAGCGGAGGCTGTCGCGCAAGCGGGGGCTGCGACGAGCTCCACGGTGGCGCCCTCCTCTCCACGTCGTCCACCCCTCCTCTCCTCTCCCGAACGCGTCGGTGGCGCGGGAGCGGGGGAGCGGGTGGCCCAGTGCCGTCGAGCTCCTTCCCCGAAGCAGCGGCGGTCCCCGAGTTGGCGTCGGGCGGCGCCGCCGCTCCTCTCTCCCCGTCAGCTGCCTCGCCCCTCTCCCCTCTCTCCTCTAGCACAAGTGTGGGTCCCGTTGAGACAAAGAACGCGTAGCTAAAGTCGGCTACGCGGAGCTGAGGAAGCCGCCCGTTTAAATGACGTGGCAAGGAATATTCGTTTTTATGGATTGAGACTGCATGCCACGTATACCCACTGTGAATGGCCTCGTAGCACAGCGGCAAACGGTGCCATGCCCATGCGTGCCAAGATCACGCGAGTCATTTCATGGCTTCTTGGAGGAGGCGACGATGACATCGCGCCGTTCCGCGCGCGTTTGATGGGAGAGACAAGCAAGGATGTTCGGCCAGTGTCATGTGATGGGAACGCTAGTAGGACACTACGGAGTACGGAGTAGGCTGGAATCATGCAGGCAGCAGCATTTCTTGTCTCTGTCCCAAGCCTGAGATGTTTTTGTTCTGTCTCGAGGGGTGTGTGTTTGTTGGGTGGCCTCTTTCTGATGTAACCGAGCGAGTGATAAGATCACGTGTACTCCCTAAAAAAAGTCAAACCCTAAGTTTTCGTGTTCAACGTTTGACTGTCCGTCTTATATAATTTTTTTTGTAATTAGTATTTTTATTGATGTTAGATGATAAAACATAATTAATACTTTATACGTGACTTGTCTTTTTAATTTTTTTTATAATTTTTTCAAATAAGACGAACGGTCAAATATTGGACATGAAAATCGATTCTGACGGAGCAGAATGATCCCGTGTAGTCCTTTCTTCAAGCAACAAACTTTACCGTAGAGATGCGTAATCAGAATATCTGATGATGCTTTGGAGACGCGCTGGCGAGAGAGATTTGGAGCACTGTTCCGATCAATCAGACTTAACTCCAGCTCAATTTAATTTGGAATTAGCGCTGTCAACGTCGTGATCGACTCATGACGAATTGGCGATCACGATATATGACCATATAATAAACGTGAGCATTAACTGCTCATCGTCCGGACGCCAATCGATGGCCACTTCGTACAATAATCAACAGCGGCATACTCCCTCCGGTTCCATTTTAATTGACGTTTTAGACATTGACACGGTCTATAAGATACATCTTTGATCTTATTTTTCTATTATAATATATATATTAAATAAATATATATTTACTTTTATTACAGTACTTTAAAAGACAAATCTATATATGTTGTTCTAGTTCCTTTAAACTAAATATTTTTAAAGTTATTGATGGTCAAAGTTATAAAAGTTTGACTTTAACTTTGTTCAAAATGTCAATTAATATAGAATCGGAGGGAGTATGAGCATATCCTTCGCTCTCGCTGACACTGTGCAATAGATCGCTCCTTTTCAGGCTATACCGAATGTTGTTTTAAGAAAGACATATTAATCTATTTTTTATGTTAGTTTTAGCTAATATTTAATTAATCATGTGTTAATAAGCTGCTCCATTTTTTAAAGAGAAGAAGGTTCCCAACTAACACAAATGAATATAGTTTTCTAATTCTATAAATCTAAATAGACGTCTATCTACATAGATAATGTCTTATTCGACAATGCACGCGTTCCCTGTACGTGCCAACGACGCAAGGTACGATGCGAGCTTGCAGGAGAAAGCGCCATGAATTAGCACGTATTGCGTGTCACGATTGCATCCATGCGCCATCGGTATCTCGATTCGATAGCAAAGCTGCAAAGTTGGCAAAACCTGTAGGGTCATTTAAATCGTAGGATTGAGAAAATGTAGAAATAGAAAAAAACGTAAGATTTTAATAGGAATGTGTCAGGGTTATGAATACCACGTATACCTAATAGTAGTCGACTAAATCTCGTTAGGACCCACCACATACCATATCTTATACGGAAACGACCTACGGATATAGGAGGAGTTCTGGATAAGGGAAGACAACCAGAGTTCTACATGAAAACGACAAGGACTACTCGGATTGTATCCATATTGGTTTCCCTAGTTCTACTTGGACAAGGGGACACCTATAAGTATAAATACAATGCCCCCTAGAAGGAGAGGGGACGATCAACACACCCACCACAGTCAACATAGACGGAACAATAGATCAAGACAGAAGATTAATATAGAAGCCAACATACGCCAAGACAAGACGCCGGATATCGACTTCAAAGATAGGCACGGCTAGTCCCCTACGGTGTCTTCGGATACTGTCAGGAGATATGAAAGCGCTATCTCTGATCTCACCGGGCACGAACTCGAGGAGGAAGACTACCCTGTTGTCGATTACGAGTCATAACTTCAGACCGCCATGTCGACAACAGTTAGATAGGCTACCCCAAATATTGTACTGGTGTGATTATGGTGAATAAGAGCAATATCGGCTTCGGCCAACATGATGTAGGGTTATTACCTGACAATTCAGGGGCCCGAACCTGTATAAAAATCCCTGTCTCCATATCTTTTACCTCAGTCTTGCGTATACCCTAGTACCAACGATCCCCATACCATGCAAATACCGGAATCGCGACATCAAACGTCGACAGAATGTAAGTGCAAAACAAAAGATTGCAAAACACAGAAAAAATATAGGAATGACCGTTTGATTGAACCGAAGGAAAAACGCAGGAATTAGATGAGAGAGATAGACTCAAAGGAAAGTTACCAAGAGGTTGAAGCTCTTGCTAAATTTTCTCCAAAATCTATATAGGATTGTCCATTTCATAGGAATTTCAAAGGGTTTCAATGGAAATTTTTCTATAGAATTAAAATCCTCCAAAATTTCTATATTTTTCCTCCAATTCAAAGGTCCCATACTTTCCTTTGCCAGCGTCAAGAAGGGGAAGCCGGAAACGTGCACGGTTATGGTGGGCCGAAACCTGAAGTACACGGACCGTGAGCCCAGAAGGACCACCTTGCATGCAAAGGGGCATGGACCAATACTGCAAGTGGGCTGTAGTTCTGGCTAGGTAACGATGGGCTTGCAGGCTGCGGCGTAATCGTGACGATGGGCTGGAATTCGAAACTCGTCATTGTTTATAGAAATAAGTTCACTTTAGGTCTCTCTATTTGTCGGTCAGTCCGATTTTCGTCCCTTTACCACAAAACCGGGTACGACCGGTCTCCCAACTTCCGAAACCTGGCAAACGAGGTCCCTTGGCATTATGGAGGGTGGTTTTGGCCGACGTGGTGCCTATGTGGCTCCTTTGACTAGGTCTTCGTCCCATGTGGCAATGACGTGGCGTTTACGTGGCAATTTTATCCCGAAAAATAATAAAAATCGTGGGACCTATATGTCAGCTACATAAAAATTAAATTAAAAAAAGGTGGGGCCCATGTGGTCCCACATGTCAGCCTCCCTCTTCTCTCTATCCCCCATCTCTCTCCCCCTACACTGCCAGGAAAGAAGGGCGAGCGGCGGAGCCGAGGGGACGATGAGCGGAGCGGCGATGGAGCGAAGTGGCGCAGCGGCCGGCGGTGGACGGAGCAATGGTGGGCGGCGGGAGGAAGCGGAGTTGAGCGTCAGCGGGGTAAAATGGAGCGGCAGCAGGCGGTGGGCGGAGTGACAAGGGCGCAGAGGCCGGTGAACCGCTGCTCCTCTTCCACCCTCCTGTTGGCTGCCCTCTCCACCGGCGCGGCGCACGCCGCTGCTCCTCTCCCTCCCACCCGTCGACTCATGTGCGCCGCCGACCCTCTCCCTCCGGCAGCCGCGCGCCGCTCCCCCCGCCAGTCCCCGCGCGCCGTCGCTCCTCTCTCTCCCTCCCGCCGGCCGCCGACCCAAGCGCACCGCCGCTCCTCTCCCTCCCTCCCGTAGGCTGGTGCGCGCCGCCGCTCCTCTCGCGTCAGAGGTGCGCTCGATGTCCTTGGCGAGGTGGCCGCCGCTCTGCCCGCCCCTTTGCTCTGCCCGCGGCCTGCCGCCGCCACCGTTCCGCCGCGAGGACGGACACTACACCATGACACTAAATTACCAACAGACATCTGTCACCAAAATCACCGAGAATCTATCTGTCGCTAAAGGTTATGACACACTATTTGTCGGCAATACTGCCTGACGAGACATAAAATGTGTCAGTAATTCCATATATTTTGAGGTCAAAGTATCTGTCGGTATTTATAGTAGTACTAACCAAATATGTGTCAGCAAAAAAATATAGGTTATAATTAACAGAAAACCTACACCCCGGGCTTCCGTTGCAACGTGACAACTACTACCACTAAATATCTAGCATCCTTATCCTCTTCTTTGTCTCTTCCCCTTCCTTCTCCCTTATCTCTCTGTGACTACCAGCACGAAGACGACGATGGTGGCTAGCTATGTGGGGTGGCGCGTTGGGCGTGGAGGACGCTCGTCGGAGCCGGTGCCCGCCGTTGTCCCTGTTGCCGTCGCTCCACCACTGCAGGGGTCGAGGCGACGACGAGGAGCTCGGCGATGGGTGCGGTGAACAAGAGGGAGAGTAGGAGCGGGACGTGGAGGCCGCCGCTGGCGCCGGGGAAGGCGTTGTTGGGTGGGAGCTTCTCCTGTCGGCTCAGGACCCTAGCCGCCGAGGAGGACGACGACGGCGCGGCCTCGGCAAGGGTCGCCCTCAAGCTCCCCTCCCTTACCGCGCTGCTCTGGCTCCCCGCCCTCGTTGGTCTTCTCATAGGCTGCCCCACCTCGACGACCATCGGATTCACAGCTGCCTCCTCCTCCACACTCCGCCTCGCCGACCACCGGATTCGCCACCGCCTCCTCGTCCTGCTCCACCACGCGGCTGCCTTCTCCTTTCTCCCTCTCTCTCTCCTCCTTCTCCTCCAGGCTACCAGGTATCAGGTACTAGGTATCACGGTACTAGATAACATGTACCAGCCGGCAGCCGGTACCAGGTATTAGGTACCAAAGATATCAGTCGGTACCAAAGGCAGCCGATATCAGGTATCAGGTACCAAAGGTATCAGTCGGTACCAAAAGTTCCAAGTACCAGGTACCAACTGATACCCAAGGTACCAGGTATCAAGATGGAGTGCACGTGAAAGCGGGGAGGAGCCACTTAAACTATCCCGTTACAACAAGATTCCGTTTTGTAGCTGCTCTCTATAATTAAGCCACAACTAAACCCTAAATCCCCTTCTCTTTTCCCCACTTCCCTACCCCAGCCGCCACTGCTCTTTTTTTTTTCGGCGATAGCCCACGAAGTTCGCCGTCTCCCCTCCACAAGTGCGTCACCGAGATCCTCCGCCGCCACCACCGCCGCATAGCCAACATCCGCCGCCGCAGCCGCCGCCGCCGCTGGTGCTACAGATCCGGCAGTCCCCAGCTTCGGCGGTGCCAAATCCGGCCTCAAGATGAGCCGGCGGCGCCTCCCACTCCAGGCGCTACCCCTTCCCTCCTCGCCGCCCCCTCCTCGCCGGCTCGTCCCTGCGTCAGGTCTCGGGTGAGGGCGACCGTACCCTGTTTCCCTTCTCCTCTGGCGCCTGCTGCCCCTTCCTTGCCCAAGCGCCGACTGCCTCCGCAGTGCCTCGTCGCAGCGACGACGGGTGAGCAGCACCGGCCAACAACGCGTCCCCTGCTCGCCCCTCCTCTTATGGCTGCAAATACCTTCCAGATCTGATGATTAGTCCTGCAAATCCCTCTCAGATATGATGCTTGATTTGTTCGTGAAGGTACGGTGCTACTCCTGTCTCCTGTGTCCGATTAATTAAGTTTGTTAGGTGTTAATTGTTGTGTGCATTAGTATTCTCCAGTGAGCCTGCAATGTTGTTATGTCCAGATGTGATGAGTCGGGCAAAGCTGAAGTGTCATTGCTATGTTTATTATACCTTGCCAGGGCAAGCTAAACTGTTGATGCATGTTAGTAGCTTATTATTAAAGGAACTCATCGAGTAGTAGTAATTTTTCTCAATATACAGAAACGAACCCATGCACTTTGCTGGAAGGGACACCTAGACTTTGCCTGTTTTTCAGTGCTACGACTAAATAATTTATATTTCTCAGTGGTACTACCGAATAAGTTAATCTCATGATTTTTTTTCCCTGAGATTGATCAGTGATTTCTACTTATATATTTATTCCTTTTGAATATTCTAAATGATGTGATTTGTAAAGTAAGGTCATAGCTCAGTTATACTTTAGCGTGGTTGTTTCTTTATCAACAGGAGTTAGGAATGAAATAAGTGAGTTTTGATGTAGCTCAACTCAATGTAGTACAAATAACTGCTCAAGTGATTTTTTTTTCTCTTTTGAGAATGGGACAATGCACAGATTAGTATGAGTGCATTCTCCAATTGCTTCCTAGTAAAATTTCTGCACCATGGTTATCACTCCTCCAAATATGATTCTGCCCTCTTGATAAAAAAATATTGTCTTCAGGTTTGCTTTGCATAAATTTTAGATTTTTCTTGATTGCATATTATTGCTATATGGCACTGAACAATGAAATTTATTTCTAAATTTGTAGGAAGTCTGAAAATATCTAAACATAAGTCAGAAACTAATGTACATGTCCAGATTGAGCCCTGGGTTATTCCCTGTACTTTACCCATTCTCCTTATCTACTTGTCTTGAAAATTAATGAGACATCACCAGCAATTCTTTGTATGATTTTGGCCATGTTACTCATGGTTTAAATGGAGCTGCTGGCGTCTCTTAAAAAAATAATTTGGTCATGCACTATAGAAGAAAATCATGGTGTTTGTTTCTGCTTTTTTTCTTGTCTCTGGAGGTAATATATTGTTGGCTCAGATTGTCAGACAGATTTTGCATACTTCATTGTTGACGGCCCGAGGAGTCGGGGAGTGGATGATGTTGTGGTCGGTCGCCGTTGTCTGCAGCTTCTGGGAAGGCTCATTCTGATCATACTTACCCTTGTGCTTCCACCTAGTTTTAATTAGGTGATGATGTTCGTTTGAGTTTATAAAATTTATAAAATTTTATAAAACTTATAATAGAACTTTTATCTGTTTATATATTCCTGTTCACTGAGTAAACATTCTGTGGCATTTTAGTTGATTTTTCTTATCTTTTGCTGATCAGATATGCTCATTTTACATAAGATGGCTACTCATCTTATCTTACATAAATTGCATATATGGAGTATAAGCTATAAGCTTATATGTGTGTTACTTTATTCTGGTTCAGAGATTAAAAACTCAAGCCCTCGAGATAAAATCCAAGTAGCTGTAAGGTAAAATGGAAGAGATGAAATAAAGGTGGTCTCATTAGTACTACTTTTATTTTGTCTAAACTCTAAAGTACAAATCTAGAAGGAAGATGCTGCTGGTTATTGGTTATGAATTGGCATAAACCTATGAGCATATAACATTATTCTTCGACCGAAAGAATAACACACTCCTGTCTATCACCAAATAGTACCGTCCTAACCCCTAAAAAAGGTATTGATCATGAGTAATGACACACTTATTTGATTGGCAAGACTTTTATGGTCATTGTGAGGTACAGAGAGGTATTTTTTGATTGTCAAGAAACATTTATTTTGGGATGCCTTTTGCATTTTTGTACAGGAGACATGCCCCTTTCTTATTGTAAGATTTGTTAGCATCTGTTTGAGCATATGATTTGTATAGCTATTTCTTCTATGTACAAGGCATTTTTTATTAAATGGATAGTGCAAGATTTAGAATGTGAGCATTGGGAACTATTGCAAGTTTTTGCCTTGTAACTACAACTTTAACTACAAGTGAAATCCCCCTGTCACATGGAAGCTAAGTTAGTCTTCAGTATTTGTAGTACTCATTGAGCTTGTAGTGCTCGATACTAATGCATTTCTGTTTGACCAGTAGGGAATCGAATTTGTTTGAACTATATAGTTATATTCCATACAAGCAATTCCTTTTTGCATCGATTTTATGCTTGCCTCTTATCGAAAGAGCTTCTCCTTTTCTTATCTCAGCTATACCTTATATATCTGACTTGTATATCTGAGCAATACACTTTATTTACATTACAGGTGATGTATCATGTGAACTTTTGACAAGGGTGAAGCGTGTACCCGTGTTCTCCATTTCGATGCTTTTTAGGATATTTTCTACTATTATGTGTATGTAATCTATATACGACATGTAAGCCCGGATAAAATAGCGATTTTAGCATCTTTTTCCTTGCATACCATTATGACTCATCTTTTGTCATTTAAAATGCGCTAGTGCACTCTGATGTTATTGTATGTTGAATTATGTAATCTACTAAAATGTGTGCGAGGGCTCCATGCATGTCACAGTATTGGTTGCTGCAATAAGCTAGCTCGGTTATTATTATTATTATTTTGCGTTGTAAAGTCTAGGTGTCATATTATCTGCTAGCAAAGGTAAATATTCCTATCAAACTATCTGTCAGCAGAAGTCCATATGTCGGCAAAAGTTCATCTGTCGGGAAATATTGTCTGTCGGTAAAGAACAAAAACCACTGTCAACCCATCTGTCAAAATAGATTTATCTGTCGGAAAATACTTTTGCCGGCAGCATTTGGCCTGACAGACCCGCTCTGTCGGCAAAAGTTTTCCTGACAAAAAGTTTGGCAGGAAAAAGGCCCTTTGCTGACAGATATGCGGTAAGCAAGCTTGGGGCATGGTGTACGGAGAGCCGAGAGGAAGAAGAGGAAGAGCCCAGAGTGGAGAGGGAGAGGGGAGGGGAGCCGACGAGCTCAGCTTGGGTGGCGGTGAGTGCGGCGTCGTCGGCATCGCTTCGCCCACTGTCCGCCGCCCGCTATCGCGCTGCTGCTGCACCCTTGTTGCTCCACCCACGGCCCGCTGCCGCTCCATTTCGCCCCGCCGCTGCTCCGCTTCCTCCCGTCGCCCACCGTCGCTCCGTCCATCGCCCGCCGCCCGCCGTCGCTCCGACGTCCATCGCCCGTCGCCGGGCCGCTCCATCGCTGCTCCACCCGTCACCCCCTCGGTGCCGCCGCTCGCCCTTCTCTCCTGGCAGTGTAGGGGGAGAGAGAGGGGGATAGAGAGAAGAGGGACGCTGACATGTGGGACCATGTGGGCCTCACCTTTTTAAATTATTTTTTGTGTAGCTGACATATGGGTCCCACTATTTTTATTATTTTTTCGAGATAAAATTGCCATGTCAATACCACGTGGAATGAAGACCTAGTCAAAGGAGCTACGTATGCGCCACGTCGGCCAAAACCGCCCTCCATACTCCGATCAAGGGACCTTGTTTGCCCGGTTTTCGTAAGTTGGGGGACGGGTTGTACCCGGTTTTGTGGTGAAGGGACGAAAATCAGACTGCCCAACAAATAGAGGGACCTAAAGTGAACTTATTCCTTGTTTATATCTCATAAATGTAGTTGAATTTGGATAGATTTTTTACACGCTTGTCCATCATCATCTCTCCTACATGTGATATATTTTTTTTTCATCTAGTTGAACTTTTTTTAAAACAATACTGTACACAAGTTTTCATATGAGTTGAGATTGATTTTCATATTATAGCTACACTTAGCACAGTGTATCTCAATGCAATCGCTATTAATACACCAATTGAGAGGAAACTAGGGCTTACAAAACTGTGTGGTTATCACGCGATTACCATGTGTGGTTTTAGTTTTTGAAACCAAGGTATACCTCATGGTAACTGTCAAACCGTGGGGTGGCCGTAACCCCAAACTATATAACAGTGGGTTGGTGGTAACTCTATCCTAAACGGTTTGGTAAACCTTGAAGGAAACTACTTTAGCTGATCTTCATCACTTCATACGGTTCAAGGGTGGGCAGCAATCCAGTGTTTTGGAGGCAAGGGGTGAGGGTGGTGAGTCGGTGAGCCGAAGAAAAAAGAAGCAGGTGTTGGAAATTTGGTCATAATTCGGCATATTTTAATCCAAAATAACAAGATAATAAACATGATATTTACAATAGGATTTGATCCAGTGATAGTGGTGAATGTAATCAACATGAGCATGCTTAACGTTGAATAAGCATCAACAATCACATAATGACACAATGTTGACATTGCGATGAACATTAACAGTAAAACTTCTAATTGAAATAATGTAATAAGGTTATACCCCAAGAATGGTCCTCCGCTGGAGTTTGAGGCAGTATTGCCTCCGTTGGTGTTGACGGGAGTCTCCTTCTCCTTGTCTCCAGTGTTCGACATGTTGGTGAAGATGAAGTAGATGTTGACGAACAGTGAGTAGTCGCGCCTTGCGCTCCCCAAAAACCTGATCGCCCGCCCGTCTGTGCAAACGTCGCAGCAACGCGTGGTTTCGGAGGCCTACTCTCCCAACGCGTGTGCACACACTCGTCGGGATGGGATTACCGTAGCAACAACAGCTTTGGAAAATGGATGAAAGTGTGTCTTCTTTTTCTCGCGGGAGATCAAATCCATTCCCATTTTATAAGAGGAATGGAAGATGAAGAGTAAGAGTCATGGAATAGGAAGAGGAATGGAGCAACTAATTGTCATCAACTAGCCATGAACCATCCTCCACTACACAACCATCAACCAACAATCAATTAAGAGTAATTGATGTAAGTTACCAATGGAATAGGAAGAGGAATAGAGCAACTAATTGTCATCAACTAGCCATGAACCATCCTCCACTACACAACCATCAACCATCCATCAATTAGGACTAATTGATATAAGTTACCAATTCCTTAATCAAATGGATTAATTCTCAAAACTCTTCATCCCATTGATATCCCATAGAAGAATGAATTCACATGAATTCCTAGCATAATGAGCCTTGGAATTTATTTGATTTAATTGATTTAAATGGATTAATTACCCAATTAAATCTAACAGCAGGAGCTGAAAATATAATTAGTCTCGATCAAATCAAGCAAAATATGAATATAATTTGGTTAAGACAAGCAAAGTTTTTATATTTGAGAATGGATAAAGGAGCAATGTTATACATAGTAGCAGCGGCGGTCACATTTCGATGGATTGCACATGCTCAATAAAAAAAATAACCGAACATAACACATAATGTAATCGTATAAAAAATAAAGTACAACCAATAAATGAAGGCACAAGAGAATATCCAAGATAAATAATAGAATATAGTTATGGAGTCACCTAGCTCTAGCCAGTTGCTGGCTAGAGGTTATAGCGCATAGTGGTGGAAGCACGACCGTGCACCGTGGAACCACAAATGGCACAATGCCAACACATGCAGACTGGTGCTGGCATAGTCACCAGCGCGGCAAAGGGTACGAGCGTTGAGCGATAAGTAATAAAGATGATCAGTTATGGGTCATGACGAAGGGGCATGTAGTCACAAGATTGGAAGAGAAACAACGGTCGATTGCCCCATATCTAATCACTGGCCTGGAGTTGCTTATGGGCTGGTGAGTGATGACTAATGTGGGTAGCCTAGTACTAGGACAGGGTTCTAGTGGCGTGCAGTGAATGGGTTGTAGCTGGGCTAGCCAACCCACCCTTCACAGTGAGTAACTCAGCCCTTGTATGGTAGTATGCAAGCTAGTTTTGGTTTTTAAACACAAAATAAACAAGGTCGATTGAATGTTAACATGGAAGTTAGCTTCAATGCAACACGCAAAAAAGTTAGAAAACAAGACAATAGAAAATGTCCCTCACATATTTATGTAAGAGCTAGTTATATTAACGAGAGGCTGCCACGAGCTTTGCTGCACAACGTCGCATGTCTCCTCCCACAAACTGGTGCAAACACCGGCCACTGCTCATCAGGTTTTGCCACGATGCTAGTTCCTCCCACAAGCCTTGTGCTGTGTGCCGTAAGGAGGAAGAATGCACGTGAGAGAGATGTAAGAGGGATGAATTGCTGCTTGATTTAGGGGGACGAGCTGGTCTCCGATCTAATGGGACACATCCGTGTATCGCTCCAACCAAACAACCACAAAACTAGAATCACCCTACCCCGTCCCGTCCCATTAATGTGAAGACACATTAGATATAATTGTGTAGCAACTACTTTTGTTGCCTATGACTTATATGCTGGATGTGGCATAATGCTAGATCTTTAATCTTTTGACTTCCACTTTCATTATGTTTATCTTTTGTTTGCTGCATGTCAATTTATTTGTCCACTTGTCTCCTTTTATATATACACACACTATATGTATCATTTATGTGGAGACCCGTTAACTAATATGTATGGTGATTGTGTACTAACCACTTTTTTTTTTTTCGTTGCGGGGAGTGTACTATATTGGGACAACAAGGTGATCTAGTTGCTCTCGGCGGACAAGCGATCGTTGATGTCTGCCTCCGCCTCCGAATCCACCCCGTCATCAGCCGGCGCCAGCGCGGAAGAAGGTAAATGTTTCGATGACGACGCATTAATGCAAGTATTCCTGATCTTCCATTCATAGTGCACCTGGTAATAAGCATTGCTAGCTGTTGCAGCATGTCGAACATTACGTGCTTTTGTCACGCACGGCCGGCGTGGATGACGGCTTCGCAGCGGCGGCCGGCGTGCGACACAGCTTCGACTGCGTGGTCGCAGTGTGTCTAACGACATGTTCATGGCAATGGGAGTAGACTAGCTAGCTAGAGGAAGAAGGGGATCGGGCAAACAAATCTAACAGCGCGTGTGCCATGTGACTAGGCGAGCCGAAGATATACAACGCTGGGATTGGGATTAGATTGGTTACTCTGGTAGGAGAGGACCGAACGTAGCATGGTTGTCTCGATCGATCACTGGTGCTAGAATTACCCAATGATAGTGTTGCTTACATTTACAGTCTCGTGGAGAAGAAGTTTACAAATTGACACACTAATCGAAACCGTATTACTCAGTTTCGTCTAATGCAATTCAAAAATTTCTCAAATATTAACAAACCAAATCAAATTCTTTAGGTCTTTTAAGGTTATTCTCCCCTTAAGAGGATTGAAGGGGATATGGACAGGATAAATTTTAGAGAACTTTTACGGTACAATATATTGGTAGTACTCCATATACTACTGGTATAAACAATCAAGGGCGTACATTGATTTGCCTACCCACGACTTAAATTGACTGCAGTGAAAATTAATTTTTTTTTTTTGGGGGGGGGGGGGGGTTAAAATGGTCTTTCTTTATGTTAGATACTTTCTCCCACTCTAGCTATCCAGTACGGATTAATGTTTTTATGTGTTTCATGAATCCATAAATCCGATCAGGAGGATTTAGTTGTGCCATCTATTCAAACGTAGCAGGTCAATAATCCAATCTGACGCACAAACAATATTTGGATTACAATCGGAGTTAAGATCTAACATGAAATAACTAAAGATCATTTTCTATTTTGT